ATTTTGTAGGCCGCCTCCTTTAAATAAACCCAAAAGAAATAAATGTTGAATACACTGCAGATGATGTTACCTTTCTCATACACTTTTTATTTATTTTTTTATAAGAACCAGTAAACTTTTGCCCAGGATCAGTTTTCTTATTTTTTGGCAGATTATCAGGCTCAAAATGTTATTGTATTCTTATATCTACATACTGTTCAAACATAAAAAATTATTATTGTACAGCAGTATATTAATTTACTGTTTTATAGAAGGTAATACATAGTCTCATCTACTGCAAATAAGGTACAATAATATTTGTTGGTTTTCTATTTAAAAAAAATAAAAACCTCATTTGACATTTTATCTTGGCCTCATTTTTTAAAATTATTTTTTACTTAATCTTTAAGCAATTTCAGCCTCAGTGTTCTTAATAAATGTGTTCTTATAAAAAAAAAAATGTACATTATGAGCAAAGTATTGTGGCAAAGCCATTTTTATTCAGTTTCCTAACATTGTGGTAGCGATTTTGAACAACACACTTACCATTCTCAGACAACCATGCTTCAATACCACAGCCTGCACTGTTCACGAACTTTGAAGTGGTTCACATTGTTTTCAGCGATAGGTGTGAGTATTTCACAGCTTATAATTAAATAAATACTGCAACCTCTTCTCATCATTCATAATGATAACATTAAGTCTACTATACCTAAATTAACACAAAATTTAGTGGTTGTCTACGCCTTGCAAAGGCCTAGATATGTGGCTTGTTTTGTTGCCTCTGTCAGTGTAAAAGAAAATGATGAAAATGCCATATTCTTTAAAAATGGATAAGAAAAGCATGCAGAAAATGGCCTCAAACGGCTACTACAGGTCAGTTCATGATAACTAGAGCAGAAACATTTACAGTAGAACACCTTCTTTGGGCCACGCCTATTAAGGGGATTAATGAAAACTCCGGAATAATCTTCCAACATAAAGGTTCGTATTCTGGAAAGTTCAATAATTTGAATCTAAACTTTATTGTAAATACTTTGTTAATATTTTAATTTATTTCAATTATTTATATTTATACTTCTGTTGAAACAGAGTCTTCAACAGTGATTCAGTTTGTTTTTTACAATCCTAAGCATTTGTATATTTTTAACGTTCATTTCATGTCTTTGTGTACTGCAGTGAATATATCAATTCAAAACAAAACAAACAAGAGAAAATATATCTTTTAATACTACAGCCAACCACTTTTCAGGGGGCACCCCTATTAAGTAGACACTTTTCGGTCTTGGAGATTTCTCCTTAATAGAGGTTCTACTGTAATTGATTGTTATATAGTTGGTCTAGCCACTCTGCTTGTGTTATATCCTATTCTAATCAATGAATTATAATCACTGGTTAGTGCTTATAAATATTTTCCTGAAAACAAAATCTAAATGTTTAAATAACCATCATAAGGGACTTCCCCTAATAATAAAATAGTCCTTGTTTACAACAAAGGTTAAACAAAACAGGAAGTGAGAACTACCTCCTAAAAAGGTTTTTTTTTCTTCAAATTATTAAACGTTCCTTGAATTAAGAATCGAGTGAAGTTTTTCACGGTTCACTAAATGAGAGTGCACGGTTTAAGCATCAGTTTTGGCACTCTGCATTTTGCTGAACTTCAACCTTTAATGACAGCGATCGGACGAAGCTTAATCGCCTTCTTGCTGATACCGGCAGCATGGCACGTGTCCACGACATCTGTAACATTCTTGTATGATTCTGGAGCCTAAAAACAAATGCATTACAGGATTAATGAAATTTTCCCGAAAAACAGACCGTGTATTGAAAATTTACGAAAACATATCTCTGAAATTAAACTGTGAAAAGTGTCATTTTTAGTTAAGTCAAATTATACCTAATGAACTTAAATTTTGAAATTAATAAAGAATGATAGGTTAACAATCTCTTATTAAAATTAATTTAATTTTGTTTCATTTCATTTACTTATTTGGCACAAACAGCCCATGGACTGCGTCAGCAACATTGCAGGATGACACTGCAAGTGGTGCCCACATATGTCATTTAAAATTCAAAATTTTACAATATGTAAATATACATAAAGTACATCAAAAGTGAATAAAATAAGTAAAAAAAAATTAAAATAAATAAACAAAACAAGGTAATCAGGAGAAAAACATGAAAATACAGATAATGGAAAAAAAGCATAAAAAGGAATAATCATCCAAAATATGTGTTTTAAAAAGTTGATATATGCCACAAAAACCATGATATTTGCAAGGATAAAATATGCAAATATGTGTATATGAATTTAGATATATATTCATGTTCTGTAAATATCATTATGTGTGGGTATGTAAAAGGCGACATGAGAATTTTGATTAAACATCTGAACTGCGCCTCCGTGGTTCACTCGCAATTGCGTGTCGCACGTGAAAGATTTCAATCAATTGATGTTGTCATTATGTATACAGCTAATTTGCATAATTCATTTGAAGGGTCCGTGGGGCATGGTAATTTAATTAGGTTCTATTTGCCGACAAATTAATTAAGTTATGCTGCCTACATTAATAACACAAGCGTATAAGCCCTAATGCACCCCACTAATCTTGGCCCACAAACGCTATCAAAATAATGTGTTTGTGTGAAGGTGTGAGTGTCAGTTGCACATGTGTGTTTGTGTTGGTTGGTATGAGTGTGTAAAAGTTAAAAAACAAAACTGAATAACAAACATTATTAATGATGTTGAGTTCTTAAGATATTTTTACCATCATTCATCCATCATCTTAATTCACCCATCGATGTCTACGGTCATCAATTCATCCATTGTTTAACATACAGTAAGATGTGTACCAAATTCAAACATTGAATATTTCATTCAGAATTTTACTGACATGTATTTATACTATGAAATCATTACAAACAAATTTATGGGTATGTCAAACACTATAGCATCTCATTTTACTGTTTGTTTACTCAAAAGGTTATTAACTCATCCTCATCTTTATCATCATCTTTATAATTATCAATACTATCATCGTTATCACTTTTAATATTATCATCACTATCATTATCATCATTATCAATTGTATTTACACCAAGTTGTGTAAATAAAAATAAAGCAATATTGTAATACTGTATCATTATCATTCCTATTGTCATCATTATAGTTATTGTCATCACCATTATATTGTCATCATTATCATCATTATTGTCTGTTAATGCCTTAGACACTGTCACGGTCATCATCATTATTATAGACATGATAAAATAGTACAATTGGTTTAGAGCAAGTGCAAAGCTGTGATAAAGTTGGGGTAAAATTGTAGACCTGGGGAAGAGTTGGGGTAGAGTAAGTGTAGACTGCCAGTGTACATCAAAAGTAGAACAGGGATATTTAAAGCAAACAAGAAACAACAATAAGCAAGTGTATAGCAAATGTATCTTCATGGACCATAAAAGTTTAAATTTAGGCCAACTTACCTTAGAATTACTTCAGTCATAAAAAAACAAAAACCATACTTGTTGATATTTTGAGGACCGCTACATTAGCCCTTCGCAGTGGTGGCGCCAGGACCTGCCCGACGGAGGGGCTAAAGTCCCCGACAGGGGGGGCTAGTGTAGAGCAAGTAGGAAGTAGCAATAATAGGTGTATAGCAAGTGTAGACCAGGGTCCCTTCATGACGTGTGTTGTTATTGAGAGAGGTCTTAAAAAGTTTAAATTTAAGCCAACTACTTAAGTCGTAAAAAAAAAACCATACATTTTGATAAAATTTTATAGAGTGGGGAGGGTAAAGTACACCCCTCCTCAAAATATGCCCCTGGCAGGAAAGAAAGTGTAATGCAGGGACAAAGCAAGTGTATAGAAAGTTAATAAAAAGGAATTCTTGATGAACTTACCTCCTCCATGACCAACTTCGGTGATGCAACTCTGATTGAGATTCCCTGCCCAGAGAGCTTGTCAAGAACCTGCTGATAGTCAATATTCCGTCGGGACTTGGCCCGTGATAATGCACGTCCCTTATAAGGAAAAATAAAAAAAAAATCTGGAGTAATAATTTTAAACTTTCAGCACAATGATTATGGTATTGAGTTACTAAATAATCAATTTGCTATGCGGTATGAAGACTGACTTACAGATTGAGACAACCGGTACATGAAAGCGGTAAAAAAAAACAAAGGAACCTACTAAATTCCTTATTGCAATCCACACTGAATGCAACTAACTACACAGCTGTGCAACACGTTGATGCATCAATTTATATTTTCAAAAATTGTTGAGGAACAAAATATAATCCGACCATTCAGTGAAATAAGTGATTCTTTGCTTAGAATACAGACGGTAAAACAAATCGCGAATGTTACATGCATGACGATCATAATCTGTGCTGTGTGAATGGCAAATAACAAGAGGCCGAGGTGATTTAACGAGTGTGAATTCTGTGTGAACCAACACAAGTTTATGCCTGGCAATTCACAGTCTAGCCAGGCTACCAACAGAACGTACTGTACATGTTTGAGCTACGACCAAAAAAATGTAGGTTAAACTATAACTTGCTACAAGATTCGGCTATTCTATGATGGCAAAAAGTGAACTGTTTCCTGAAAAGAAATATTGTAAACTTAAGCTGCACAAATGGTAGCTGAGTCAAAGACAGTAATTTTACAGTATTTTAACATAAAAATATATTTATATCATTATTTAAAAAAATCAAATATATTTATAGTTTTAACCAAAATCTATGAAGTGAGTTTTACTGCTGTATGTATTAATAACTCATATGATTATTTATGGTCAAGAATAAAAAAAAATGCTTGCATCTGAGATCATGAACTTGACTATCTCTGTACAGTTGAACTTGCCAAGTCAAATCCAAAATGGCATTGAAAAATCGTTTTACTTAGATAAAATTCAACTTACAGATCATTAATTAATGGCAAACACAACAATTTGACATGTAAAATTAGATCTAAGCATACATTAACACCACATGCATCACAGATAATGAACATAAACATGGTAGTACATTTTTGAAAAATATCCTTAGCAACGAAATTAAAAAATATTGAGCATTCAAAATATATCTTTACAACTCATTTGCTGCAATATGATAATTGTGTTTTATATTCATTTCAAAATCTGAGGTTGCTTTACAACAGTAAAATGGCAGCCACTTTGCTTGTGTATGGAGATTTATTTGGAAAAAAGAAATATGTTTGAAATTTGCACTAATCTGAACCAGAAAATGACAGCCTTATCTTCTTCCCACACACTTTTACATTGTCTGGGATTTCCAACAATTTTGGAATACAAAATGTTATTATGTACAGTCTGCTTTGTTACACATGTTAACCAATCACAATGCTTTACAATGTTACCCTAAACTGAAACTCATTCACTAGCTGAACAACCTTTTCAACTAGTTTGATGAAGTACGAAAATGGTATTTGTTGGAATAGAATGCGACAGGATGAAGGTTTCACGCCCGAGAGGAGAACTTGTTATCAGAATATGTACCACACCTTTATCACATGACAAATGACATATCTGAAATTGAGTAATGCGACAAGTATCCCATAATGCAAATGGAATGCTTTGTATCATATTATACAACCTGATTACCAAACACACAGTAATCAACCCAAAAACCAACATATTATATTATAGTACATCATATGCCATAATTACCAAGTTACCCACAGTGCAATGACATTGTAGCCAATCACAACTCTTCTTTCTTCTGTCTTGGCTTGGAAATTCTTAATTTTTAATAAGCACTTTTCAAGCTTTAGTAACTGAAGTTTTAACTGAATGGAGCTATTGCTTGGTAATAGAGGTGCTCACCCTACAATTTTATGGTACTGGGTTCAAATCATGTGAGCCAACATTCTGTTCACATAATTACAACTTTCCTTCCTACCCCCCTTAGATTGAGACTAATTTTATCTGAACAGACCTTTATGGAGTATTCCATTCTGTCAACCATGGTGGGGCTGAAGTGGATGTGAACTCTCCTAGTAATTGCCTCCCCTCTGATAAAAGTTTTTCATAAACAGCAATATTTAAAGTATGTGAGCAAGCAATTTCCAGACATTTTGAGTTGCCACATCATCATATTTTTTTTTGCCTAGAGGTAGATAGGGACTATGGTGATGCTCAACCCGAGACATCTCTTTGTTTTTGCAACAAATTATCTGACATTTTAAGTCTGAGAATGCCATTTCCAGCCATCCATGAGTTTGCAAATCCTTAATTTTTTTAAACCTCAGTCCCAAACATGATGGACTGGTGTGAAGAAAATTTATGTTTTTTAGAGTCCAGCCAAAGTTTGGTCAATCCAGCTTTTTTACACGGTTCTGAGAGGTTTTAGCACTTTAACTATAGCAAATTAAAAAAAAAATTAAAAATAAGGAGTGGCATTTCATAGAAGGAGGATGCTTGGCCTCCCCGTCCTCCTCCCATTTCCTGTCACTACTGCCAATAATCTACAGTTTAAAAACCGGGTATACAACAGTCAATAACGCGTGTTAAAAATTAGTCCAAATTGGGTCCACTCTTGAATTGGGTCTTACACTGTTTGAAAATCCTGGTTACAGCAGTGTTCATGCACGGTTGGATAGAAAAATTAAATATGACAAAGACTTACCGCTCCATGGCATGTTGTGCCAAAGGTTTCTTGCATGCCTTTGTAAGTTCCTGTCAATACATAGCTGCAAGTACCCATTGTTCCTCCAATCAACACTGGCTGTCCTGTTAACTAACAAAAAAAAAACCAGCTGCATAATAGATTCTATTGACCAACTTTTGCCATTTTCCCCATCATTTTCACAAGAGTACAGAACGTTAATGATTAAATTTTTTTTTTTTTTTTATGGATCAGAAAAACAACAGATAATATGAACATAGATGAAGGAGGACACATTCTATCACATATCTATGATGATATCATATGGAACCACAACACTAAGAGGGGGAGGGGGTGCTCATCGACGACGCAGCGATGCACTTCGACCTCAACAACACCAAGGTGACGTCAGACCAGACTGGAAATAACATCACCAGTCTACTTGAAAAAGCAAACGGATCGTTCGCGAAACGTAGTGTGAGTACTATTGTTTTTTATTTTGCTGGATCAACACTAATAAAAAATTTCATACAAGTTAATGCTTAAAGCTGCATTTGCACTAGACACGATAATGACATGACAACACACATGATTGCTTTGTTTATATTCTTCAACGCTAAGCGCATTTTTATCGTGTGGTTGTCGTGTCGTTATTGTGTTATGAAAATGTAGCTTCAATAATAGTAATAAGTTATAAATATAGCACTACAATGCTAAACTTCAAAAGCGCTGAACAGACACACACACAGACACTAAAGGAGTAACTCTGTATGTACATTTTTCCCATTTGTAGTTGTTACTCATTTCTCCCAACCATTTTCTAATATTTGATAAAGGCTGAGAAAAAAACAGACATGGAAGGTCAATTTGTCTCACAAGTCATTCATGCTAATGTAACTTTGGCTTTCAATCTGGTAAATAACCCATAACTCGCAGCGTCATTATGCTGAATTGTGTATGGCCGTGGACCTTGACTACCGTAGCTGCTGTACAGAGGTGCATTCCAAAACGACAGGGGGCTGAAATGAACCAGAGAATCAGGGAAACCCCCTACTCTTCTGAAAGACGCAATGAGTTCTTTAAAGTGCACATGAGCCAGATGTATACACTGCACCTCCTGTTAAGCCCTTATTAGAAAAGATTTAGTTCTACTAAATGAACAATGGACGAGGAGCAAATGTTAAGGCTTTAGTTAGGGGCGCCCCTGCCTTATTGCTATGCCACTTCACTAGTTCACCATCACTCTTTTCTAGGAAAACTGTGGACTGAGAAAAAACCTAGATACTTGGTTGATCTCATCACTCACCTGGTAATCAACTGGAATTAGAGGATGATGCGGGGGGAATGCACGCGTGGAGCCTTTGCGATGGACCAGTAACGTCTTCTGCTCACCATCTACCATGTACAAACTTGTCAGTTAAGGCAAATTAAAAATGAAATGAACAGCAATATAAAGGATAAAACTGGTAAAAAAATTTTTGAAGAAATATATTAGGCTATGTTTAGACACAAGTTACACTGGCGTAATGTTTAGCTAGATTGATTAAATAGTTGACTAATAAATCTTTTTTAGCTCTACTGCCTCTATTATATTGCCCTCATCGGAGTTCTCGAGATTACGAGAACATGTTTTCATAGGGGTGGCACAAGTGGCAATCGAGCACCTAAGATCTGAAGGGGGTAGACCTTTTGGTTGGGGAGGGAGATTTTGAGGATGTCCCTTACTTTTTGTGGGAATTCAGTCAAGGAGTTCCCCTTGGAATCTTCTAAGGTTTAGCCATCTTAATCTCCTATCTAATTGATCTCACACTAGACAGGTGGGGAAGAAGGGTGGAACAAAGTTCTAGGGTGAAGGCAAGCGCTTTTTTTCAACCCACTGGACCAACCACTGGGAAAAGGATGAAAAATAAATAAAGATAATACTAATGCTACAGACTGCTGTGCATTATATTATAAATCATAATAAAAATTATTAGCCACATCAAGGATATATGTTCTTCCACTTTAGCGATATTATGTGAAACATCATAGATAACATGCATGTCAAGATCGTCAGGATTCGAGTGAAACTGCTTTGCAAATGCCTGAAAGGAAAAATACCAAAAATGATAAAAATACTAAGTATCATAATAATAAAGAAAATGCAATACTACGGTAAGCACCACAATAATAAAATAGATGGATAATAACATTTGAAAAGTACTAGGATTGGTCAATATCATTCATCAGATAAGAATAGAAACACGGCTAACTACCGCTAATTACGAATTATTATTCTACCAAATTTATGAAGAAAATCTTTTCAAATTAGCTTATAGTTACACATCCCTGATTTATATTATCATATTTTTATCATTACTGGTCTTCCTCTAATTAAGATTACTCCACTTAAAGACCAGTTTTTTGTGGTCCTAAATCTACATGCTTTATCTTTATTATTCTAATTAGAGACCAAAACTGCTAAGACCATAGAAGCCCTGGCCCCAAAATTGGTGTTTAATTGGAGGAAAACCTGTAGTCAAATTGAAATCTCAAAGAGTACTACAAACATGCATGTGATCCATACTGCACACAGAACCAACAGCTTATTGTCTCTTGTGAAAGACAGTGCTCTGTTGTAGCTTTCATTTCAGCTGTCTAGCAGAAACACAAGAGCAGCAGCAAAGGATTCGAACCAGGAAACATGGTTTGATAGGATCTCCACAGTTCATCATATGCACAGTGGCTACCACCAGCTAAGTGAATGGGGTACCTGCTCCCCTCATTATACAAACTCGCTAACATCAAATAAAAGATCAGGACAATTTTCGCTTCTACAAAAAGGGTGGGTCGGGTACCAACAAGGGGTCCTAAGTCCTGCAGAAATTGGTGACAGTTGCCCACACTCACCGAAGCAAGCAGGAATCTCAGAGGGAAACTAACCCATCTCCTGTAAATTCATTACATCTGCATGTCTTTACTACTTCATTACCCCTTTCTTATCAATTGCCTCACAAAGTCACCTATTATTATTATTATTATTATTATTATTACCAAGTACAGCAAAAAAAAAAAAAAAAATTTAGAAAATTAACCAAATCTCTCGCAAGTGACGTCTTCTAACTTGGGACCCTTGCAGATTTCTAGGGAGAAAGTTGAAAGTTGAAGCTCTGCCATTAATACTGTTTATAGGGCATGTTCGAAGTCACCGAAATGATTGTACTAAAATTATTAATTAACCACAAACTTTGGATTTAATCTTTTTTTTATCAGATAATCTGAAAATCAGTACGTCTCAGTATTCAGGGATTTTGAAAATCAAAAGTTTTGACAATCCCGATAAAATGGGGCATTTGCAAGTGTGTATTATCAATGGTATCATTATCTGAATTATCATTATCATTATTCTTATGAATTATCATAATCAACTTCATACTCATTATCACATTTTAAATGTAAATTTTACACCACTGTAGTATTATTATTGTTGCAATGACCATCTTACCTGTCTTGTGAGGAATGTCATGCTTGAGCGATTTACCCATGCAAAGTTTGCAGCGGCGGCCATCGCCTTCAAGTAGTCCTGACCTTCTTGTGAGTGGATACGTGCGCACGCAAGCTGCCTGTCGTTTACAATGATCTTATCACGTTTCATTGCCTTCTCCATTTGTACTAATGCATCTAGAAAAAAACAGTAGATTACTATTACCATGGAGGGCTACTAGCAATATCTGTTCCAAATATTGAAACTTATATACCGCATACTTAGATTCTAAGCATCTGATTGGTTAAGAAGCGGGCAATAGAAAGTACTATTCTCCTATGGTATAGTCCTTGTTTGTCCTGCAGCGTTGCTATGCAATTTATGACACGCATGAATGGTAAAGGAGACATGACTTCTAGGAAGCTGAGAGAGATTGACCCTTTGATCGCCTAGGCCTAGGAAGTAAGTCTAGGCTTACTTAGTGTGTATTATTTTCATTATTTTTTAGGTCTCGCATAATCTATGCGAGGTATATAAAACAAATATCGACTGCTTTAGATTCGGGGAACGGTGAAATCTATAGCCCCTCAGTGATGTGGAGACCGTACCGTACGTAGCTTATCTTGATCTAGATAAGTCTCCACATTACCCCGGGACAATTCTCCTCATGAGCAGTCAATATTTGTATAATAAATATTTTAACTACTAGTATTCAAAAACCAAATAAAAAAAAGAAAAGAAAGCATGTTGCTTGCACTCTATCCCTTTTTTCGGCTGCCTGTACTTTTTTACTTTTAGGGGCTAAAAACCTAAGGCCGGGGGAAAAACTGTACAATATGACGATCGTACAACCATCGGCTGAGGAATCAATTGCCAGTGACTGTCGATGGCAGAGTGTAACATAATGTAATGTAGTTTGATTATAAAGCTCTTTATATCGAAGTTTTAAAGTGCTAAATAAACTAGCTCATACAGTAAACTTCTTTTTTCCCTGAGGGTTAATTGAGTGTGAAATACTCTCATTTGTCCCAAAAAGAGGCTGTTTAAACTAGTACAGCAAAGGGTAACACCCTATTTATCTTGAAATATATAATCTATATCTAGTACACATGAACTAATTGTTTAACCTGGGCATACAGTTTATAGTTTGACATTTTATTCTTATTTTATTTTATTATTTGTCAGTTGGTTTAAGCCAAAGGCCAAGGATACGCCAAGCAGCGTCCCTATTTTGATATTCAGCTTAAAGTGTTCAAAGCTGAAGCCTAGATGACCTGTTTCACCACAATATGACGTTCAAACCAGATGCTCTTTCATAACTGGTAGCTGCTACCTGTTACATACCTGTGGCTACCTGATGTCCAAAACCTCGACTACCACTATGGACCATGACGCACACCTGTCCCTTGCGTTCGATGCCCATCTTCTGTGCTGTATGGTTGTCATAGATTTCATCCACGACTTGAATCTCAGCATAATGATTACAGCTCTAGATGATAAGAGTGGATTTTAATGATGGGAAAGTGGGTTAATAGGGATGGGAGGAGGGCCATGGAATTAGCATTAGATTGAGTGGGAAATGGTTGGCGCATCACTTGTGTCTTAAGACTCCCAACCATGAAGTAAGGGGGTTCAAAACTCTTACTGTGGAAGCTGCTTGTATCCTTGGGCAAGGCACTTTATCTATGTTGGTCTCTCTCTACCCAGGAGTATAAATGGGTACCTGGTAGAATGTTGTGGCACTAAATGTACTAGCTTCGTGCACTATATATGTAGCGCAAGACTAGATATACTCCACAGGGAGCAGAGAAGGTTGCACTTTGTGCTGGTTTGCCATTGTAAGTTATCCAGTGACCAGGGATAATAACACTAAGGGAATTTGAACATGTAATTTGGAATTGACGCTATATAAATATTAAGCATTATTATTATTATTATTATTATTTTTATTATCATTATTATATTATTATTAGTATTACATTTTCCAGGGCAGAGCGTGTGCTTTGCTTAAAGAAAGAAGCAGAATTACTTTGGTATGCGTTATTGTAGAACCCTTTGACTCAAATAATAATATAATATATATATTATTATTACATATATATTATATATAATTAAATAATAATAATAATAATTATATAATTATTATTATATTATATATATTATTATTATTATATATAAAATATATATTATTTTCATAATATAGGGGAAACCTACAAGCATTCAACTACAATATAAAACATAGCGTGCAAACCTGCGGTAATCCTCTTTTCTTGGCTCGTGTGCTGACCTTTGTGGGGTCAGCCTGAAGCATTCGTCCGTATTCTTCACAATGTTCTTTGTCTTCTGCCCATGCATAGCCTAGGAGGCGAGATTAGAAAAAAAAATCCACCAGTTTTATAAGACTGTATTTGCTGTGAACTGTTTTTAAAGATAACATTGTATTTTTTAACAGTAATATATTTTTTGGTGTTTCAGAAACATATTATATAAAATATATTTTACCTTCTCGTAATGACCAGTCCATTCCCATTTCCAGAGCTTCTTCCAGGTCCCTTAGTTGAAAAATAAAAAAATAGGATTACAGTTACTGAGTTACTATTCTTTAGTTGGAAGGTAAAAACTGTTGCCATCTAATTTTTTTATTTTTTTTTTTTATTTCAACCATCTTTAAAGAGGGTAACCCTTCCAGTTTAGCCCAGTAGGTTAACTGATATTCAGGGGCCCTCTTTAATAAAATCAAAGAACAGTACAAACAACATCATCAAGGATCTAATACCTGGATCCTTGGATAAAATCAGGCAAAACAAAAGGCATTATTCTCTTTTGTATAAACTCTACTACTAGTCGAACATAAACATTTATTTTACAAAGTAAAATAGGGTTTATTCCATAAACAATTTTTTTATTTTTATTTTTTTTATCTTTATTTCTTTTCCCAACCAACAGCAAACACAAAATCTGTCACAGGATGGAACAATTAAACAATTTAACAGTTTTTTCAAAAAGCAGTCCTGTGAAAAATGTTTATGTTTATTTAAACTCTTAACACCAAACGCATATAAAAGAATATTTGCAATTGGTCAGTGTAAATTAGAACATTGCCAACACAGTAATAACACCGCTGATAATTAGCGCTCTCTGCCAAATGCTGACATTGCGCTATTCATCAATGGAAAAAGCAAAGATAGAAATAAATCATTGCTAGAATGATAGAAACTTATTGGAACAACTTACTTTACACCCATAGGTATTACACCTTTTGAGCCCACCCCTACAGGAATATGATCAAACAGAGACTGTGCTAACTGCTCTTTAACCGGGTTGACATCTTTTTCCGTCAAGTTTGTTCTGATAAGACGCACGCCACAGTTGATGTCGAATCCCACACCGCCTGGAGACACTACAGAATCCGGGTTGCCCATGTCAAAGGCAGCCATATTGCCTGGTAAAGAAAATATAAACATTTTATAATTTTTTTTAATATCAAGTGATTCCTTTGGTATATTTTACATATACACTTTAATTAAAATGTTATGGCCCAAAAATCCAAATCTATATAGAATTATAGTAGTTTAAGTAGAAGGATTTTGGTTTTCTGTCAATGCACCATTTGTGTCTTTTTAAGGAACCCCTAAAATATCAGGCTAGCTTTAATATGTGGCTGGAAAGGCTATCCACATTGCCTAGCTGGAAGGGCTACCTCCTATATGGAAGGGCTCTGCATTTAAATGGTATCTATGTTCTCTAGCTGGAAGGGTAATTACTCTACCTAGGTTGAATTGATGCACACTTAGTCTAGCTAGAAGGGCTACAAACTATATAATCTAGTTCCAATCGATACCCAGTTTGTCAATCTAAAAGGGCTACCTACTTCATAATCTAGTTCTAATTGATACCCATTTAGACTATCATAAAGGGCTACCTACTTTACTTCATCTAATGTCAATTGACACCCAGTTTATCTATCTATACTGGGTACCTACTTAGTCTAGCTATAATTGATACCCAGTTAGTCTATCTGGAAGGAGTACTTACTTACTCTAGCTATAATTGATATCCAGTCGGTCTATCTGGATGGGTTACCTATTTAGTCTAGTGCGATGTGTACCCACACTTTTGAAAGAAACACTACCCAACTGGTCTAGCTCTCTGTAATAGCAAATTAAAAATAGCTACGTACTTGATAGCTAAGAAATACTCACATATTTTAGAAGGGCTACCCATTTCTAATAGTCTAGCTGAAAGTCCTACCTAGTTTTGTCTTGCAATTAGGGTTTCCATCATCTGATTAGAGATTTTTTATAGCCAAATCACTTTTATCCAAAATAAATCCAGTATGAAAAGCATGCATAACATTCATACGCGGTTAAGTTTAACGGACCAAATTGTGTCCACGAATAACAAGGTTGTTTATATCGTTAAGAAAATCCTTGATAACAGTGCGACTCACTTAATTCATCATGAGCGACGATTTTGTGCTTATTGGAAAGTGTCATTGCAAATTTTGTGACCTGAATGTTCATCTTAAACTCATGTAAATTCAAATGCACACTATATTCATGCATATGATTGATAGTTAATGAACACAAAGACACATCCTACATGACCATCTCATGTTGTTATAGATCAACAACAGAAAAAATACATCCCAGTGAAAATTATAAAACAAATAGAGAAAAAAGATAAGTATATTCAAATTTAACTCTGAGAGTGCCATTCCTGGCCATCTACAGGTGCCATAATCATATGTATTTTCTTACCTCAACCCTAATCACGGTGGGGCTGAGGTGGTCGGGACCCTCTACCCGTGAAAGTGAAAGCCTCCCTGGCCCCATCTATTTCAAATTCCCGGGTCCGCAATCTACTTACCTATTGCAAAGCCATAGCCCGAGTGGAGATCAGGTAGACCAATGGATCCTTTAACGATACCAGGCAAGGCTGCCACGTTTGCAATCTGCTTCACTCCGGGAAGAAACCCTCCCATTCCTACAAAAACAAAACAAATTGATTTTATATCGTTGAGTACAAGCAGGCAGGTTTCATTTAGTACCACATAAATTGAATGACTAGGTAAGACGTTGCACATCAATGCATAGGTGAGTCGTGTGGCCGAACAGGGGCACCGTTAACTACAGCTAAATCATCCACACGGGGTTTCAGATACTCTTTGCCAAAGTTCTGTTAGTAGTACAAATCGTCTTTAGATAAGGACCTTAAATGGAGGTCCAATGTACACGTCCGGCTCATGTGCAATTTAAAGAAAACATTGCACTTTTTGAAACAGTAGGAGTTACCTCGATTCTATGGTCCATTTTAGCCCCTGTCTTTGTAGAATGATGTGAAAATTAAGCTACTAATCTCCTCTTTATGGTTGCTTTGGTAGTCATGGAGCCAGTCAAGTGCACCTTTAGTCTCCCCTTACCCACTCACCCCTTATCAACTTTCCCCCTAAAAGTACAGGTAATAATACTTCTTAACAATATAAGCCTAAGCTTAAGAAAAACGAATATGCCTAAAATGAACTTAGCAAAAAAGAACTTATTAAAAAACAGGTTATATCCTGTTTTATCAGACGGCAAATTTGTTAGAAGGCTAGATTGTACTTTGTCAACACAGTATAATTTTTATCTACTATACTACTACACAAGTAGCAGGGTTGTACCTATAGAAAACTAAGGGTGGGTGGTATACATTTTAAGGGTTGGTAGGTGATAACGTTACTCTAAATATTATTTTAAGTGGATTTAAGGATGGGCAAAGGGGGTTAATAAATGTGGGTGGAGAACCATGAAATTAGCTTTAGACTGGGTGGAAAAATTCAAGGCTAGTGGCCCTGCCCACCTCTGAAACACTACCGTACATCCCAGAATAAGTGCCTGCTTTGTTGTATACATTTTACTTACCCTGATTTCTGCACGAGTTGCGAAGCTCATCCAACATTAATGTCTCTAAATGTTTGTTGACATAGAAGTGACCTTCAACCTATAATGAAAATTCATTTTTTAATTACAACTATGTTTACCCACTCAATTAAATAAAATTAAACAATATTGTAACAGCCATTTTAAGTGTTGGTGGGTGATAACATTGGTAAACTCTTAATAATAAGAGTGGATTTTAAGGATGGAAAAGTGGGTTAATAAAGGTGGGTGCAATTAGCTTTAGACTGGGTGGAAAACTTTAAGGCTGGGAGGCCCGCCCAACTCTGTCTACCTTAACTACAGCCCTGTAGCAAATGTAAAACAAAATAATATAGAATAAAAGAATAATTTTACAACAGCACCCTCAAAACAAATTGCTTATTATTAAATTATGGTGTAAAACATTTCTGACATGTAATATTTAATATTTAATTTACTCTTTCTAAATGTACAAAGATTTCATATGTATGAAGAAGTCATGGGATAATCTTTAGAAATTAAATAAGGTGACCTCACAAAATTAGTATAAATTACATGCAATAATAATAATGTACAAGTAAAAAAGAAATTCAGGCATTGTAAATAGCTCAAAGGTAATAGATTGTTAGAATATAGATGGTGTAGTACAAGTACTATAATGTAAATTATATGGATAGACCTATAACCGGTAATAAGGAAATGGCAAAGGCGGTTTAATACCTTGTTTAGCCAACTTATATTTTTAAAGATTGTCAGAGGAGGGCAGAAACAAAATATGTTGTTTTCTTATTTATCTAATTTATTTTGCCAAAAGCATCTTGGTGGAGGAGAAAATAAAAATATAATTTTATTGATGAATGTAAGCAGTTGTGAGGTTAATAAATACTTTTAATAAATATAAATTAAAAAATATAAAGACAATCGAAGAACTCAATTGAAACATCGAGACATTCTCAACCAACAACGGTTCTTTTCAGAACTATCTATGTGGTGTACCGCCAGCATTAATATATAAATATAAATTATTTAAAAAAAACTATTTTTTCTGAAATTTCCATTTTCGGTGCGAAGGGTATGCTAACTGGGCAAATATAAAATGTTATTTTCTATTTGAAATTAAAATTATTGGCTATCAGAGGGTTTGCTAAACAAGGTATGAAAAAACTCTTGGCTAAGCTTTTATGTATGGCATTGCAAAAACTAGTAGTAGTAGAGGTAGCTCTATATAGATGATAATGATGATGATGATGAAGATGTTGATAATGATGACGATGATGATGATGTTGATGATGATGACGACGATGATAATATGATGATGATGCTGATAATGATGATGATGCTGATAATGATGATGATGACGACGATCATGATGATGAATTTCACGAACCTGCATGTTAGGCACAAATCCTTTCTTTATCCTCCAACAACAGTCAGACATCCTCTCGAGAAATTCCATCTCCTCGTTGAAGCTTCTGCTGGCCATTTTTCCAATCAAAGACACAGGTATGTATGTACAAGTAGGCTTAGCTTAAGACTGTGTGGTACCGGTGCTGTTTTGTAGTTGCACTTGTAGTTGCACAAACTGCTAGTTAACAGGATACCAGAAAATACACTATAAGGATATGAATATGACATCAGTGTAATAACAGTATGTCAAATATTTGTTAAACATAATTTTGAAGCAAGACACCCACAGGGAAACAAATTTTTGATATACTGTATACAAATGATTACAAAAAGGGGGTTTGACAAAAAACTTGGGAATGGTTGCTGAGATACAGATTTTTGAATATTTAAAAACTGGGGGAAATGTGGAAAAAATATGGTTGTATTTAAATATTTATAGCGTCCTGTCAATGAAAAGGTGGTCAGTTTTGTATCCCGTGCCACCGATGAATGATCATAAATTTCTAAATCTATATACCATTTATGTCCACATGTTCTAATAATCATAGGTAGGCCTAGGTTTTAATAAATAGATCAGTTACTATTAATATAAAAAATATATACAAAATATAATACAATTTGAATAAAGTTTAAGATGAGTAAATCTTACATGAAACTTGTGTACGGGCTCGCCAAAATTGTGTGTACGAGTTCGCCAAAATTTGTGTAGGAATTGTGTGTACGAGTTGGCAAGTATACGAGTTAGCATTGGTTTGTTATACATTAAGATTTTGCCGAAATCCAAGTATTCAGCAAAATGTGCGTGGAAATCGGCTGTTATTTTCTGAAATGCGTGGACGGATTTCCAAGCCAAATATTTGTACGGAAGATATATTCCCCGCTCAGACCCTACTATACAGTCTGGCTATACTACCTTAATCGACCTCTTTCTCTGGAGTCCCTACCTATAGCCTAATCCTCCTGTCCTACCTAGACCTGGGCCTAGTCAAAGGTTCTATATGGTCAAAGCCTAGCTTATTAATATTGACCAACTAGGCCTAGCCCTGCCCCCCTTACCACCAAGCTACACAGGGCAAAGATTAAGCTAAATTTCATCACCTATCCTCACCGAAAGTCTCAGATCTTGACCAAAGATGACAAAATACCCTTTATGCCAATTCACAACTAAATGAATATGACGAAGGTTAAATAAAGTTGCATCACATTATGTAAGTTTATTAAGCTGACCGGTCCATTCAGTGCATGGCATGCGCATGCAGCTGAGCATTTTTGTTGACGTTGTAAATTATAGAGGGCGGTGTTCATTATAAACACGTGGGTGAATGTTGTTTTACAGGCAAAGCAAACAAGTTATGTTTTGAAGGTAAATAGGTAATGAATGCAACACTAATACCTTGAAAGGCATGGTGTTGTACTTAGCGTAGACACGCCCAATTCAATTTCCATTCGTGAGGCCATTAAGTTACTAGACCGTGCTAGAAATCCAAGACCAAGGGCTAGGCTTAGGCCCTAGCCTGCCTACCTACTACTACTACTGACATTGTGAGTCACTCACTGAGTGCATGCATCCATAATCATTCATATAGCCTAGGCCTGGGCAGGCGTGCCTAGTTGGTGTGAGTTAAACTCACTGTCAGTGATTAAGACAGAGGCCTAAGCATAGAGGTCTAACACTACACACTGTACATGGTTATCCTGTCAGCTTATATAGGCCCTATTTCTAAGTGAAATATCTGTGCAGCATCATTCTAGAGGTGAATGCACATCCGCTGGTGGCAAGCAGTTTTCAGCATCTGGGTTTAGGCCTAGGTTTAGCTAGAGAGGTCAATGCGTAACTGCTGTGGAAGCGGCTTGGCACAGTGGGGTTAGTGTCCTGGTTGCAGTGTTCTCTCAACTGAAAAATTTTTACTGGTAAATTTGTCCATAAAGAATTGCAATGCGCACAATGTGAGGTACGTTACCCCTTTTTAGTTGGGTTAAATGACTTGAAGACACAACAACACATATTCATAGTGTAGATATAGGCTGGAATGATGTTAATTTATTAAGAGGGCCAGCCTGGACTACCTAAGCCTAATCAATAGTTTTTTTAATTTTACAAACTCAAAATTTTTACTGGTTGGTTGGTTATTTTTACCGGTAAAATTGATGGCTAAGACGGCTTCGGGAGAACACTGGGTTGGGTTGGTTTCCCAACCCAACCAGGACACTAACTGGAAGCTGTACCCCACCACATGTAGGAATTTTTAGATCCCTGGTTTTTAGAGCTACTACCGGTAAAAATCAGACCACAATAATGGACTTTCGTATTTAATAAGTTAGCTGCTTTCTTCTTAACTCTGGCAGTCAAAGCAACATTTGTTACAACAGATTGGTTTAATTTTGGGAGTGGCATGGGAGTGGAAAAAAAGGCTTCAATTACTTCACTTGATTACTTATAATGCAAGGCATTCTCTCTATGGGTTCCAAACGTTTACAAATTGATTACATAATACAGGTCTCCCTCTAATTGAAGATCCCCCCAATTAAAGGTCACCTCCAATTAAATTAAAGACCATTCTTCTTTAATCCATAATTCACATCTTTTATCTTTATTATTCTAATTAGAGAGCAAAGCTGCTAAGGACCATGAAACCATGGTCCCAAAAGTGGGTCTTTAATTGAAAGGAGATTTGTATATCCAATCAGTATATTTATTTGAAATTTTGTTTTATTTTACAGAAAATGTTCCATCTCTCAAAATCGTTGGCGGTGCTTAGTAGTAGAGTTGCACCATTTCTCTGCGCTGTTACACCACACATGAGGTCACAATCTCAATCATTCCTGAAGGTCAACCTACCTGCAGTCACACTTGCCTGTGGAAATGCATCGAAAAAGAGTTATTGTACAGATGCAGATCAACCAGATGGAGTTGATGACAAAGGTCGTGGACTGGAGTTACACGAGGCAACGGAGTTACTTGAAGATATGAGGCTTTCAGGTAAACCGGTCCCAGATCGGATCAGTGACTCAGATTTAGAACACTTTGCCTCAATTACATCCAAGAAGCAAAGGAAACGATTTGTCGCGTTCATGTTTCGTCGAGAAACTATGAGGCTTAAAGATAAACAGAAGCGACTTGAAAAGCGGGAACTAAGAGAGAAGGAGTCAAGAACAGAAAATTTAGAGGATGGACCAATGAAAAACAGAATCTTTTTGAAAGTTTTACCGAAGAGTATTTTGGAGTTTGATAACTGGAAACTTTCGCAAGGAATGAAATTTGGGCAAAACCTTGTTTTTGATTTTAGTTATGATCAGTATATGCGGCGGCAGGACGCAGTAAGTATGTGTTTGCAAATACACCATGTAATACATGCGAACAAATTAGCTAGGGAGTCATTCCACCTTCATTTTGTGAATCACTATGAGGGCAGTCTATCACACAAGGAGATGGTACGTATAACGCAGGAAGACATTTACAATAAGATGATGGCGACGGTGACTGCTGATTCTCTATTGGACAGGTTCCCTAAAGAGGATATCATATATCTATCTCCAGATTCGCCAAACATAATGCAGTCTTTTGATCCAGCTAAGACTTATGTTATCGGAGCTTTAGTTGATGGCAGAAAAATAGAAAAAGGGGTGTCTTTAGGAATGGCAAAGAGGTTAGGGGTCGCCCATGTTCGTCTACCGATTGATCTTTACTTGCAATGGGGAAGTGGAAGTGCGAAGAACCTCACGTTGGATCAGGTGTTTAGAATTGTAACAGAGTTTAAAGAGACCAATGATTGGACAGAAGCGATGAAACATGTTCCCACCAGAAAACATGAAGGAATTAAGACCCCCGATAAATTTGTAACAAGAGTTGCTAAGAAAGTTCAGCCAAGCAGTGAAGAATTTGTTTTTAGTCGAGCCAAACAACGAAATAATAGTGTAGTTACTGGTAATCAGAATGAGGATGAACTTAATTTCCAAAATGCATTTTGTAACAATAAACCGAGGAGTTATAAACAGAAACCATTTGGTCAAAAGAAGCGAGAAAGGAACTTTTGGGAGGAATGAAAAAAGCATTTACAAAGTTTTGTTTTGAGATATACTGTATTTATTCAAATAAACGCCCCTCTTTGAATAAACGCCGCTTCCATGGCTTCCTCCCTCAAGTAATTGCTCCCGAAATGAGTGTATAGAAAACTAATGGAAGCAACATCATTCCCATTACATTCTATTAATGTTCTAATCCAGTAGAATTACATTTTTTCTAACCTGGTTAGGATCAATAAGTCTTTATGATCACGTAATGACACATTTTGACAGTAATTATGCGTTGTAGTTTCTAAGTTTACAGTGAAATTAAGGAGTGTTTATATGAATATAAATGTATCCCTGTATACACCAAAAGAAGTAAACGCTTGCCTCAAATAAATGCCTTCACCGAATAAACGGTCCATTAAAACCCTTATTAACAATAAACACCCAGGGAATTTATTCAGATAAATACAGTATATGAAAATCTAGATGGTAGTGCTTCTTCCCAACTCCAGGGATTTACAAATTGATGACAGATTTTTATCACCAGTACCTATCAGTATTCCAACCATTTGTTTGACATACTGTAGTTGTATATTTTAATGCTTAGATGCCACTGTGTTTTATGCCTTGTTCGTGAACCTACCGTCTGCCAGATAAAAATTACTTTGAATAAATGTATAATGTTTTAGCACATATTAAATATATATTTAACAAGGTCACTGCCATTATATGATCTCACAATAAGAAACCTATGTCTTCACACAGATGGTTTTGGCAAAAATTTAATTCTAATTTTTCCATCCTCTGATGATTTTTCATGTAGTTGGCTAACAAGATATAAAAACATTCTTACCTTATCAGAAAGGTTAAAATTGGAGAATATCTACTTACATTTAAAAGGACATAAAATCGTATGTATACCGGTAAATGAAATATGCATGTATTAATTCAATGCATGTTTATGCCATGGTGGGTATTCAAAATGTTTGCAATGATAGAATAAAGCTTACACCCAAGCATAGGAACTACATCATTGTCGGTGGCGTATTACTCTGTTTTTTATTTTTAGCACACAGAGAGCTTGCCTACTTGTGCTATATTAGAATGAACTATTATTATTATTATTCTCAAAAAATCTTGACCTTTTAGTTTACCATGTTACTGTTGTTGAGCAACACAACAATTCTGTTTTTGCCTAATAATAATATTGTTATTAAAAATATGTGAAACAAATATTAATAAATTAATAAATTCTGAATTTGCGATGAGCTAGTTTGATTTTTGTACGCTTGCAGGAGTGCACGAGTCTCCACGGCTCACAGGAAGACATGTTACCTCGGTTCTTGTTAATATACCGTACTTATAAGGTCCGTAGTTGTTTACTACTGAAGTTTTTATGCCATCCATATGTTGGGTGAATAAGGATGTAGGGCTAAAAACAAATGTAAAAATAAAGTCCAACTGTCCAATATCTGTTTGATGGAGTAAACTTTCTTTGACCCAGCAGTGAACTAACAACCTAACTTGAATTTCTACACTATATTGTCCTAATAAAATAAAGTAATTTTTTGCCGACGTGCTTTAGTTTCCTGTAAGGTGAACGACCTATGATATGATGTCACTTTTAATATCAAATATTTTGCATGCTTCATTCCTATTCAAGGAGATCTCAATTACAATATATACCTGATTGGAATGAAGATGTTAAAAGTGTAGTGAAGCAATGTTCCCTAAAGACGCATTCAATTAAAGGACGGATATATCATGCTAATAATACAAATACGAAAGGAATTTGCCAGACTGAATTTCAAATTAATACAATTGAAATGAGAATGTGAAGGACGTATGGTGAGAGCAATGAAATGACTGGTTCGACCCCATGTCATCTGAGAGAGTGTGCATTTATTCATCACTTATGCTGTTGCGTGTGCATTACAATGTAAAAAATAACCTGTAAGGGGCGGTGTCAATACCATTCGAAGGTGTTAGACGTGTTAGTGAAGATAACACGGTAGCTATGCTAGTGTTAAGGAGGATAGTAAAGGTCTGTTTACTGAACCATTAAGTACTTAACGCAAATACGTAAATAAGCTGTTACATATGCTTATGTAGGCGGTACATCGTTACCTTCGTTTCATGTTTACTGAGGATCATTATCTTCGTTAATTGTTCAGTTAATCATCAAGTAATGGAAAGATGACTCAACTCACAGGGTCAATGTGCGGAGTTACGTATAGGCATTGTCCAACTACTATAGCAACTGTAGAGAAGCGCTTTAGTTCACATTATTCACGACAGGGGCTGAAATCAACCCTATCATCATGGGGTAACCCCATACTCTTTCAAAAGATGAAATGGATGTACTTCCATTTTAAGTCCTTTGACAACTTTTTTTATACGGTACCTTGTTTCGCGAACTTTTTTAAAGACTCAGAGGACAGCGGAAAAAAAAAATCATTTTTCTCATTTAGCAAAATGATTTTGCCAAAACCACCTGGGCAGAGAAGAAAATAAAAATAAAACTTATATTAATGAATATAAACAATGTAGTAATGAAATTGATAAATGCTTTGAATTTATACAGTTAAGGAAGAAATAGATTATTTTTGGAGATTTCAGGGGAGCGGAGGGGTGGAATAAAAATAAATATAAAATTTTATTTTTTTATGAAATTTCCATTTATTCATAGCGGAGGGTGTGCTAACTGGCCCGAAAATATAATTGTATTTTTTTGCAAAATCATCATTATTCGCAGTCAGTGGGTTCGCCAAACCAGGTATAAAAATGTCTCTTCTTATCCGATAATACTTGGATTTACTAACCGAACCGATTGGCACGAAGCAATACCGATGTTAAAGCTGTAGTTGGCGGTGCCTCTGCCGTACTGCTCGGCTACTCGACTCACCATCACTGATGTCTCTAGTTTTACTTTCATCACTCTTGTAGGTTGCCTTGATGAAAGTAATGAATTAAAAAAAATTTTTTATTTGCATCCAACTGCAACCCGCCAATTAGTGAATGGAATAATGCTTTATAAGATATGTAAAACCTCGAATAGAAGCCCAATGGGCGTAATCTCGAAAAGTAGCCCATCTTAAAAAGAAGCACATCCACAGGTCCTGAAAAAAAAAAAAGAGCCCAAGACTTCAAGGTTTCACGGTATATATTTCGGGTTGCAAATGTCTGCGACAAAGCTACGAATGTCTGGTTTACAAAATACCTTCCACCCGGAATGGACACATCATTTGAGGTGCAAGGTAGGCTACATGCTGTTGGTCCCGACACTAAACATTCTTTAAAAAATAATTCAGACTTCAATACAAGAAAAATGAATACAGTACACAAGGGGATTTAGTTGTTTGATTTTATTTATTGGGAAACAGCACTTAAAAGCCATTTTAAATAAATCAGCCACTTATACTGAAATATGCACAGGTAGCAGTTGGACCTGCTACGAATTGACACACAAGACAAAGTGCGTTCAATTTTTCACATATATTATATATTATTTACCATTTGGAGTTGGTAGATGAAAACATACGAGCCAAATGAATTAAAATATCTATCAAAACTACAAATTTGCTTTGGATTTAAAATATTATCAGTTTAATGATTAATATGTTAGACTCATCAATATTGCAACATCATTTAGCAACAAATAGCCAGTCACTTAACTAATTGGGTTGGGGGGGGGGGGAAGAGATGAAGCATCACACACTGCATATCTACATCATTCCTGAAAACGTTTAAAAACAAATTTCCCAGAGTTTGTAAAATAACAGAAACAGTTAATACGTAAGTCATAGTTTGATTCTAACTTATTTACTAGGGAGCTATCGATTTGTGCGACAACGCGACGCTAGAACAAAATCACTCATGCGTGATCGTCCTAACTGGCGTCTTACGTTCTCTGCATACATAGATTTTGGCCAAATTGCATTCCAGAATCTGCTCGACGAGGTGACCTTAACGTTCTCGCATGCGCAGGTGGCTTTTAGTGACGTCATTACGTTCTACGTCCTACCGTCATCGTGCAATCGGAAGCTCCTTACTGTTGGGTTTATACGGTTGAAGTCGGTGCAGGTATCACTGAATTACAAATTCAAAAGTTGTAATGAAAGTTTTTCTTATATTAATGCAATCTGGCTATTCTTCATAAACACCATAAGATATGTTAAGGGGGGAAATATTTGTAAGCAATTTCATTTAGCGGGTGAATGTAACACGCACAAACTAAAATATATTAATGCAACAACTCAGTTGTATTCACAGTCATCACCAATTTACAACTAGTTCAAATGTAATCAAAGTTGACATAAAATCTATGTAACCAACATTACATAAAATCATTTCTAAAAAAACATTTAGCAACATGCACAATCTGTAAAAAAAAGCAAAGGGAAGATGTTGACAATGGTAAATCTATCTTTACAGCACTTCCAATATTCAAACTATAGAGGACGTTATTAAGAGGTATTTCAGCTAAATACAGTATGCATAGAGAAACAAATCTAATTTCAATTCATTAAAAAAACATTTTAAAAAAAATGTGTTTCATGAGGCATATTCGTATAACTTTTAATTTCAATGTAAGATATACCATCAAAAGCATAATATTGATGAAATGCATTTTCATTTCAAAACCAAACACAGGTTACTTTTGTGATAAAAATATAAGAGCTACAACCAAAAAAAAAAACAAAAAAAAAACAAAACAAACATTTTGGTAGTTTTCAGTGGGTAGTACAATTACTACTAAAATCTGTGGTATAACATTACTTTTATGATAAATCTTTTGTCATGTACAAATTAACATCACTAACTAAAAAATAACACTGCATCTTCAGTGTATATAATCAGATCTTTATACAATTAGCAAATAGTAAACTGGTATTTCATTGTAAATTACAATCCAGTTGGTATAAATATATAAAAAAAAACAAAACAATGAAAGTAATATTCTATAAATAACATCATTTAATAACATTATTAATTAATAGTTATTATATTAATAACATAATAATAATATCAAGCCTATCATGTTATACTCAAAGTGCAATAAACTTTAAGCTCTGTTATATGCCCATATATAGTCATGATGTGCCTATATATCATATAGTGTGATGTCATCATGACCATATTTAGGCATATCACATGTTTTTGTCAAATAAAAATTGATAGTTTGACAGGACTCTGTGCAGATTATATTTTATTATAAAAAAAATGTTCTATGCCCATATATAGTCATGTTATGCCTATATATGGACATGGTAAACCTATATATAGTCATGATGTGCCTCTATATATATGTTCATGATGTGATGTCATCATGACCATATTTAGTCACGTTGTTATCAAATCAAATCTGAGACTGGACAGGGCTTACCTCTCAGGTTTGATGACGATATTATCTCAGTAGTTTCGGCATCATCACAAATGCTGATTGTCACGTGATCACACCAACTCGCTTGGTCACAAATGACAATAAAGTACAGCACAATTCTATACGGCTGATGAAAGCGCCCTCATGATGCCGAGAAAATATTGCTTATTGCACTTTGGAGAATAACCATTATAATAATACAAATAGCAATAATTTAACTATAGTAAATACCCATATATTCAAAGTTACACGTAAGTAATCATTTAAGAGGTATGGCAATGGCATTCATGAATGTTCTATTTAAATTTATATTTTGTTTCCTTTGCAGTAAGTTCATAATATAACAATGCAGTTGGAATACAGTACAACCATTAGTACTGTAAGAGATATAAAAAAAGCTCTAGGTCACCCTATAATTATAACTTTACCAATTTCATATGGAGTACCTTCATAATGAAATCTTTTATTTTTCATCAAATCCATGGGGAAAAAACTCAATTACAAAGTAAATCTAACAGTGTATTGTAAACATTTTTTTAGCTTTAATCTTTGTCCAGATATCAAATTTTCTTTGACAAAAAACTGTTGTATGCCCATATATAGTCATGATGTGCCTATATATGGTCATGATGTGATGTCATCATTCATATTTAGGCATTTTACATGTTTTTGTTAAATAAAATTTGATAGTCGGGATAGTCGCAGAATGCGGCCAATCACAGCAAGATGCGATATAAAATTAATTAAATATTCAAATTCGTTAGAAATATCACGCCTACGTCAATAAATAGCATTTCTTTTATCTAAAGAATTTAGTTTTATAAATAATGTAGTTATATTTACATTTTAAAATGAATTTAGATTTTACATTTGATTAGGATGAAATGCAATAAAATATTCATTAAAAACTTTTTTTTAGTAAATTTACAATACTGGTACAATCAATGATTAATTGAATTTAATCAGGGAAGGAAAATTTGAAATCTATGCAGCTTCAACTTTAAACTCTGAACTTTGAATTTATGCTAAAATTTTAACATAAATATTGCTTGAGTGAGTGCTTAACATTGCAAGAATGTATTATTTCCAATAAATGACATCACAAGGCTTAAAACAAAATAAACAATTTTACGCTTCAATAGACACTACAGGCACAGATCAACAATCTTGATGGTGGACACAATAGACTGAATTTCTTGATATTAATTTTGCCAACATCGAAATACTTGCTTTAATTTTACTCACACTTCGCTAGCATTGTAGACAGGCTGTTTTAATGATTACTACTCCGATATTAAAAGGCAATGAAGTCAAGAAAATCTAGAATATTTAATTTGATATGTAAAGCCAACTGTAATTTGTTACTACAGCATAAGTATAGTAATTGTTAAACAGCGCCATCTAGAGTTGAGATAATTAGACTTTTACAATTTACACTATGACATTATCATCAAAGGTACTTAACATTCTCTTTCATAGTACCTCATAATTATCACAATCTTTCAGACAATATAATACATCAATACAGTTTATTTATACAATTGGTTTGTTGCCTAGTAGGGAAAGCAATATAATTTGTCATTTCATCCTTACTTTGTGAATAAATAAATGATGTCACGCATCAGTGAGCAATATACAAATATACCTGCATGTGAGAGTTTAGAAATGAAATGCCATACCTTGTACCACCTTGGCAATAATAAAGTAGCACAAGTAGCTCAATGGCTTATACCCCCTTCAGACTTCCCTCCATTGCGATCGATTGTGATGTAATCAATGGTTATGTTATGATTGGTTAACTGACCTCAACCAATCAGTGCTGTCGTGATTTGTTGTGATCGGATTCCGTGGTAATCGGGAGTAATAAAGATTGTAGCACCCAATCGCAGCGAGTAACAATTGCGATTACTGTTGGTGAGCTTTCACACACGATTGTGAATTGTGATTGGGTGACGCACTTGCTACAACCGATCGCAAAGCGATGCTAGTCTGAACAGCGTATTAGATGGTAATAGTGATATTCAACCTTTGTGTTAGTTACATCTAAATTTCATGTGTGTTAGTGTTGCATGTGAGGATCACATACACATGCATCTCAACACCAGAGAATCCATGAAGTGTGAAACCAGTACTAATTCTAAAAGTGTTAAATAATATCAGTGTAATATTCGATTAGTTTGTAGGATAAAGTGTTATTGTCTGCAACAGGTAAGGTTCCTAAACTCACATAGGCTCCCAAACTTGTACACACCGATAAAAGACCATTTAGCTTACTGTAAAAAAACCTTGGTAAATTCTCTACAAATGTTGCACACAACACTATAAAATATTTACATATTTTTAGTTTTGAGTGTAAAATTACTTTTGTAGACAATCAAAGAGTACTCATCGCTTAAGAGTACAACATAAATTCTATGATATAATATACTGTATATTTTATCTAAATACTGTATATGTGAACCCTGATCTCTCCGAATTTGATATGTGCGTCAGCCAAATGTCTTGTTGAATAGTTTGTGCAGCACTAGCTACAAAATTGAGGCTCCATTTCAAAATTTGCTGGGCTACCATTCAAGGCTAGTGGGCTAGTGATCGTCTGCATATGGCGGTAGATATCTCCATCTCATTAACACTATAAACAAGCAATGTTAAGAAAAAAGGAATATATAAAGCAAAACATAAATAATTGAAATTAAATAGATGAAATATAATAATAACATAAATGCACAAATATGAGAATTAATTATGCAGTTAATTATTATGCATAAATAAGTAGATGATATTATAATCATATAGGTTTAGATTAGAAAAACATGCTAGTGATAACAATCCAAAACAAATGATGAAATATTTCAGGCATTAAATTTGATAGATTATTAAATTGCAAAATATGAAGAAGACACATGAAAAGATGATATGACATAAAATGACAAGAAAGTATAAAAGTAATATTGAGCTATAGATTTATATAATTAAAAACAATTGTTGAATACACTAGTGAGAAAAAGATAAAGTGGATTGAATACAATAGAATAATTATACTTACATAAATTTGTATTTAAATAATATTATATTTTTTTTTATTAAAGTGCATTTTTACTGCAAATAGTGCAACCAGTGCTTAAGACATAAACAGAGTAATTGACACTTAATTTAAAATGGTACTTAAGTCAAATTTACACTTAAGTCAAATTTATACTTAAGTTGTAAAAGGGATGTTAAACAATCCTGAGGCTATTTGCAGTATAATAAAACCAGAAGAATGTAAAAAATAACCACAAATCCATTGAAAATTATTGATACCATTTCACACCTTTTATAATGTTGACAAATGTAACAGGTTGTGATAAGGGACATTTTTGAGAATGACAAACTGTATGGATTCTGTTGTATACAGTGAATGGGTGAATGTAAATAAATCGTAAGTTCCCTGAAAAAAATCACTTTGTTTTTGGCTCTTATTTTATTTTAAACTATTAGTACATTAGGGTCTGGACTTCACATCTTATTGCTGTGGTTATTGATTGCTTCCAAAACCATCACATGTATCGTAAATGAAATTAGTAAACTATTAACAATGTAATACAATATAATATTTACATTTTCGGTAAATTGTGATCAAGTATTTTTTATAAAATACAGTACAAGAGAAAATTAATAAACTCCAGTTTCTTTGAATTGACATGAATCATCGTATCACACATACTTCAAGACAAAAATAGTCACACAACAAAGGATAAACAAAAAGTAAAAGTGTTAGAAGATTATGCAATCCATAGAGGGTGTAACCACTAGAGGGAGCCAGTCAAACCACAATATAATTGTCACAGACAAAACACAGCAGGCCACAGACTGAAAGCAACATGGAATGCTTGGTCTACAAATTTTATGTGACAATAATCTGTTGTATGTCCATATATAGACATGATGTGCCTATATATGGTCATGATGTGATGTCATCATGACCATATTAAGGCATGTCACATGTTTTTGTCAAATAAAATTTGATAGTCTAAACAGGGCTTTAAGCCACACTATAACATTTTATATGACAAATAAATGTCACCTATATTGGGTGTGTTATGACATCATGCCCATATATGGGCACATCACTTAAATTTGTCACATAAAATTTTATAGTGTGGACTAAACTCTATGATATTAAACCCAATTAAATGATCATACGGCAAGGTTTCAAAAACACAGTGTATTGTGAAATTTCTAGTATGTGTGGTATTATGTGTCTAGCATAGTCCCAAGTTAACTCTTATACATTCTAATCAAATAGAGTATTTATCAACAATGTGATATGTTACAATTACATGATGTTTCATATAGTACTGTACTTCAATGCTTTTATATAAGAAAATTTTAATTAATATACAGTATTAAAGTTAATTTAATCTGCCTTTATCCATAAAAAATTAGGTGGGCCTGCACCACCTGTGCCCACTCCCTTGACTTTATCCCCAACTAGGTTTATGTTATCACTGTGCCATGTGCATCCCAAACACCAAGGTTTCTATGTGTTCCTAATATTTCTTGTGCTTTTCTAAATTGCTTTTCGCATAAAATACAGTGTTATCATTTGTGTTTGTTAGGCAACAAAGCAACGCGAGTATTGTTCAGTTGGCGGCGCTATTATCAAATTGAAGAAATCTACTGAGTAAGAGATTACATTTTATTGGATAATGTTGGATGCATCCCAACATACTACAGACTGAAAGTTGAGAAAGTGCAGGTATGCTAATAAACCTTAACCTTTGCCACTAATCTATACTCAACTGTGTTGTCTAGCTTTCGCCAGCTTATAAATAAATCAATTGTAAGAATCTCCCGCATAATCAAGTTCCTAAAATCTTGCAAGATTTAATATAATGGATTTTAGACAGCTGGTTTGGAAATTACAATATCTAGCGAGATTTTAAGATGCATGTCGGTGAGAGGTTGGAGGCAGGAAATGAACATGTTATTATTACGTTATTGAGGTTCAGAAGTTTATCCTGACGATCAAGACTTGGTTACATTCAATCTAATCCCAGTGGCTGCCTTCATTAAAAACTCAATTGAACTCTGACCCTTTCGTGATTGAATAACTTGAAGGTACATACTACTACTCTAAAAATATCATAACTATTGAAATATTAGTAATAAATAAATAAAAATTAGTCTGATCATCTCCACAATGCCTTTTTAGTGATTCTATTTTCTGTATGAAGTATATAAAGCAAGGGGAGGGCTTAATCCCCCATTTCCTCCTGTTTGCACCACCACTGCTCAAGATATGTAACTTTATGCAAATTTGATCCTTCAAAAAAGAAATTATTGAATAATAAATAATTTATTCTTCCCCAGCTAGATGCACATACCACTGAATCAGAGCATACTACAGCCTTCGAAAGCACAATAATAATAATATTTTACCAGAAAATTAGTAAACACCTCACTTGCTTTTATCTACTGTACATATCTATGTCTTAATTCTGACCAAAGGTGAAATTACTGTACTTGGCTACAGTAAAGTACATGAAACAAACCATTTTTAAATTAACTGCCATTTAACTTAATTGATGTGTTCTCGCGGGTATTGTGCAACAACCGCGTCAAGTAGCGTACATATAGCAGACGAAAACTTGTAGATTAATCAAAATGACATACGCAATGAATATTTGTAAGAAAGTTCATCTGCATTTGTAATATAGACCTACTTTCACCAGTAATATAATTGCACTGCAATTTTGTATAAGGATTAGTGAAGAAAGTGAACGAAACAAGCAATTTTAATGTAACACTGAAATAGCGGCATCTATTGTGCAGTGGAATACCGGTACCTGCATTTACCGGTAATATAATTGTGAACTTCAAATCACAAGATTTTACTTACGCTAAAAATACGGTTGTCTGTACAATTTTGTGTACATAACTAATATATTTAATGAAACACTAAAACAGCAGCATCTATTGTGTAGTGCAATATATAGCTTCTACATGGATTTAAACAAAGTGCAGCATAGATATTGGACGATGTAAGCCTAATTCTCTCGACAAAGGCATCCACGCAGAGCAGCTGGTTTCAGAACTGAAAGCGAATCGTTTAATACATGGTTCTGATTTCACCAATATTATCAAGCCCCAATTATTAATGACAGGCACTAGTAGTAAAACCAGATCCCTGAAACTGTGAATTAATAATACATACCTTGTAAAATACATCTCATGGTTTCTTAAAGACAAATTTAAATGTTTATTAAGTTAGTATAAAACAAGATTTTATTAAATATTATTGTTTACACAATAAACTGTCTTTTTGGAGACTGGTGCCGGAATAATTTTATTAACCAATCAACAATACTATTTGAGAGAATTTATATAGTGGTCTTTACTGTAGTCTCACAGCTAAAAACCACAAAAAATAAAAGGCAAGTTGAGAACGTGTTGAAGCATATTTGACAATGCTAGGAAGCACAAGCTTGGTGGTCACATGGTTAAGACACCAAGCTAGTTATCTGGAGGTTGTGGGTTCGATTTCCACCCGAATCACTTGCAAGATTTTTTTTTTTCGCAAGTATTTGGGAACGTACTGAGCATTCAGTACTATAACTTTTCAGGTACGGGCAAACATTCGTGCTAGGAACTTATATTACAAACTGAATGAATGAATGAATGTGTATGTATAAATGAATAAATTAATGAATCGATAAATAAAGGGAAATAAATAAATATAAAATATACTGTAGATTAAGTTTGTTTATGTACAGTATGTTGATTATCTATTATAAATATTATTTATTTCTATAATTTCTTTCTTTTTAAAATTGTTATTATTAAACAAAATAACTAAATCACAGGAGAAAATTATGTTGATATAGCTATTTAAACAAAAACAAATTCAGTTCCATTTATTTTTCAGAACAAATATTTAAATATCAATATAGCAACACCCCTGATGACTCAACATTGCTATTTCAACAGAGTGAGTAATGGAGAGTTAAAATATCAAGCAGAGATTTAAATATCATCATCGTTCCTAGGCCACCTGCAGGCTGTGAACGGCCACCTACACTGTAACATTTAAGAAGCATACATAAGCGATAACAACCAACAGTTTACCGTAAGATTTAAGGATGTAATGAGTTTAATATAATCACTTAGGATTACTGATGTACAGATGAAGAACCATCAATTAATGTTAAAACTGTACTCAAAATCCATGTGAAATTGACAAAATAGTTCAACTTTTCTTAATAAATTAATTTTGATATATTTAACCTTGTCAATAATTTGTTTGTCAATTATTTTAATTCAAAAGTTAAGCAATTCAGTTGGCCACCAGCCTAGTTAGAGAATCAGGGAATTTGGGCTGTGGGCACTTGGAATATCCACAACAGCCCCCTCCCAGAGTGGTGCATCAGGAAGTGTCTAGGAGACATGGTTTATTTAAATTGACTGTGGTATTTTCAAAGTTCATCCAAATTAAACAATTAGAAAATATAAAGAAATGTTTATTATTTATAAAAAGAAAAAAATTTATTATTTCTGTTAAAAGATTTGGTTAAAATAGATGAATAACAACTCAGTGAGTATTAATACCTGTACATTGAAAAGATTCCCTACAAAATAAAACCATTATTATTCGTGCTAGGGAACAAAACGGACGAAACCACAACACAATTTACACCCTGGCACACAGACAAGTGATGGTGGACACATGTGCAATTTACACACACCAGCACGTAATAAACACAGGTGGATGATGGGATAGTTTATGTGCAACGCAACTGACAATCACAAAGGGAACACCTCCACACGCACAAGAGATATATCATTAACCATAAGCATACCTACCACACATTTAGTCCTGGTACGAAACAAAGAAAAGAAAAACGAAATCTGTCACTATTCTATACAAGCACAGGCAATGTGGCTATCGTAAGTCTATGCAGACATTACAAACAGTGAGTTCACTAAAATGCACATAACTAATAAACATTCTGTAGCAAAACAGGTTTTTTTTTATACACTCCATTTCTGGTCATAAGGTTAATTATGAGAAGGATATTAACAAAGTACAGTAGAAACATAATTTTTGAACAAAAATGCAAATAAATTAAGAATAACTTATACCCAAACCCGCTTTCTCAAAAATTCATTCAATAAAAATATATTACATTATATTATTACAAATTTATGCAATTAGTTTCAATAGAAGTATGAGAAAGGTATGTATACAATTTTATCAAGAAAAAAAGAATGTACATTATGAATGATTAGAAATGATAATGTCAGATCGTGTTTTAATAGCCATAATGCATCTAAAATTGAATGAATATTAATATAGATAATAATATTGATATTAGTTAACAAACACCTCATTAAAATGAATAGATACACAAATTTAGAAATTGATAAAGGGAATTTATTTTTTAATTGATTTACTTTAAGCTATTCCGATTAGTTGACTAAGAAAAAAAAACAAGAATCAATCACCATTTGCATGTTGTAATAATGTTGAAAAAAAAAAAAATTTTTTCCAAAGCGTATTTAAGTTATTTTAAAAACTCGACACAATATGATTTTCATATGTTTTAATGGTTATTATATACTGTACAAGTAAAAACAGTAGCAAAAAAAAACGAAAAAGAAACATTTTATAGGATTTAAGCAGTTTTGTGATATGGGCAGAGCAGCATAATAAAGATGGGCATTACTGTACATAGTTACAAAGAAGGAAGATAATCAAATGAAATACAGTATACGGTATTTTACGATGTATGCAGCAGATGAGAGTAACCACATCTAAATATATTATTCCTGCCTCTTGCTTGCAGACTGCACATAGATTTATACAATTGTTTGTGATTTCAAATACACTTAGTAATCAAAACAAACACATTTGATATAATTTGGGTAAGGTTTAAATAAGGTTTGAGGTTTATAAATATAAAAAAAATAAATAAAATTATATAATTATAGATTGTTCATTAATATATTAATTACATATTTATTTTTTGAAAGGAAGGAAGGATAGAGTATTCATATTTTCTGCGATTTCAAACAAATGCAACTTGAAAAAAAAATGTTTGCTTCTTACCAATGAATTATAACTTATAATCTCATTATGTTTCAAGTTTGGTAGCTTAACATTGAAGGAATTTGGATAAATGTTACATTAAAATTTATAATAATAGTATCTGAGAATATTAACATTTATCACATAGGTGGTAATAATAAATATGTTTTTGTCCTTGTTTATTTACTATCTTGTTATCATGACTGCAAATACTGTACAGTAATTGGACATGGCACCTTACAGGCCCATTAAGTCCACTATAATTATTATCTAATTAATATTTAATATAAATAATGCATAATTATACTATTGATGTATCAAAATAGCTGGTAAAAAGGACTAATAGATCCGGTTACATTTTTCTTGTCTCAGAGCTCTTGGGGATTGTATGATATATCATCCGTCAGTTGCTAAGGAGGGCAGTATCAATAAGGATTGCTATGTGCCTACGGGCGAAAAATGAAACTAAATGCAGGAAAAAACAACAAATCAAGCGTTTTGAATATCACCAACTTAGAAAACTGAAGCCTCAAATCTGAAGACAATGGGCATAAAATGCTGTCTGGTATTAAGTCCAAGGTGGATATCTACCAGGAAAGACCAAAGGAATTCAATTTGTTTGTCTAATCTATAAGCTGGGAATAAAAGATTTATGTCTGTTCCAACAAAAAGTGAAACCTCAATAAAAGATACGACCTTACACTAAGATTATGTTGACTTTATGATCATAATGTATTTTGTGGTAAAACATGAGCATGCTATGACTCAATAACATCCTCCTCCTCTTTTATTTCATTTAAAATTTTAATTTACAGACAATATTATGGGGCAACAATGTAAATTATCAAATTTATAACAATGAAGTTATTATTTAATTAGTCCAAATATACTGTACTAGTAAGTTATAATTTAGTGACATTTTGTACGCTCGCCTTTCGATTCAGTTATGAAGCATTTTCGTTATCCTTAGTCACTGGGTACACCTTTGCTGCCGTGTCGGCACAGTAGCAGACAACCCCACCAGGAACCAATACTCATAGGTGGAGAGAAGTAATTTTTATATTTTTTATATTTTTAGTAAATAGTTAGCACGGGATATTATTGTATTATCTCAATCATGTATTTCACTTTGAATATTAATGCACCAGCAAACAATCAAACGGTGATAATTTGCTTTTTTGGCAAAATAAAAAATAAAAATAAAAAATCTCCCTCCCTCATCACTTTTCCAGCCTAGATAGTGAGATAAACCTTTTTTAAAGGGCCTTATTTCACTTATTATTATTAACATTTAATGCATCCTGTGCATAATGTAAGTATATTTTAACTAAATATTACATACTTTTATACAAATAAAAAAAATTTAAATTTATTCAGGAATAACATAAAATTTGAATTAAATGTTATAACATTTTAAAAATAAAATTAATACCAGGTTATTTTAAAAATGTGTGCTTGATTATTAATATTCCTTATCTAATAAAAATAATTATAAACTTATATTTAAGCATAAATTAGGAATTCCAATACAGTGAATCTCTTTCTCAAATTCTGAATTAATTTGAAATTTTCTTAGCAGGTGTTTAAAACTAATAGTACTACAGTACAAGGTCAATAACAAGTTATGACATAATTATTCACAATAATTGATTAACTATCACTGGTAGACTATGAAATTATCTGGTCCAAATTATTGATTCATCATTCAGCATTCCCAAAATTTAACCTAAAAAATTCAATATGGCTGCTTTTGTTATTCTTGTAAACAAAATATTATTCTTTAGGATTAATTTTTGAATAACAATGGCTAGGAAAACGTGAATAAACTTCAATCAACAAATGCAGATGATATTTAAACACATGTAGTGGATAAACATGCCAACACAGGAAATATAAAATCGCACTTCATCAATGTCACGCATGCTTCAGATGCAGACACCTATTGTTAGTATAAGTTGGAAGAACATCAAAGTAAAACAGTTCCCTGATGACATAAGCAAGCCAAACTTTAAAGCAGGGAAGAAAGTTATGACCTTTGACACCAGGTAAAGCAAATCTGCATACAAATATTTGTATAGAAAAAAAAAAAAAAAAAAAAAAATTATATAATTATAATTATATTTGATCTCCACTCATATCCATTACTGCTGCTGCCTTGATTTTTTAAATTTATTTTCAAAACTATTTTTTATATTTTCAAATTTGTTGAAGTAACTGCAATATAGTCACTGAATTAGCTGCAGTATTATTACTAATTCTCTGACGTTACAGAGGTTTTCTGAATAAATTGATTGAATTGATTATTAATAATTAGTACTTTTCATTTTGACTATGTAGATAGGTTTGGGTATTACCAGCAAAAAAATTAGATATGAAAAAACCACCACAAAAAATACTCCCCCCCCCCCCACAAATTTTTTTTTTAAATAGCTCAGAGAATCTGTTATTTTAATAGCAGTGAATTTATTACCATTATGTTCTATATTTGAATAGCTATCATTAAATTTCAATTTTCGAAAAAAAAAAAAATCTATGTAAACATAGACTTGTTATACTGTGGCATGCACAAAAAAGTCCCAATCAATTAAATTAATCAATTTAATCAAATTGTGAACTAAAAAAAAAACCAAAACAGATGCAGAAAAATAAGTAATTAATTCTGCAGAACATGAATGTCATATTCTGTAATAATCCTTAATAATGTATAGTGTATATCCTTTACTTTTCTTATAGAAGGTATTGCAATTTTTTTTTTTTGGTTTTTTTCTAGTTATAAAATCATTACTAGTCTACTGTAGAATGGGATTGAATGAAAACTTTATAAAGACACTAAATCTCCAAATTGATATAAATACTATAAAAATTGACTTTTAAAATTGTTCACTTTTATCCTATAAAACTATTTATTACCTATAAAAAACATTGCATTTTAAACAGTGTTGGAGCAAATTGCACCTCCCTATGGATCTCACATCCTTTGTGTCATTTTTAATCCCAAACATGAAATCAATAATTTTCTTCAGGCATCAGGAAAAAAAAATCTGAATAAAAAAATTTTTATAGAAAAAAAAAAAAAAAAAAAAAAATTATATAATTATAATTATATTTGATCTCCACTCATATCCATTACTGCTGCTGCCTTGATTTTTTAAATTTATTTTCAAAACTATTTTTTATATTTTCAAATTTGTTGAAGTAACTGCAATATAGTCACTGAATTAGCTGCAGTATTATTACTAATTCTCTGACGTTACAGAGGTTTTCTGAATAAATTGATTGAATTGATTATTAATAATTAGTACTTTTCATTTTGACTATGTAGATAGGTTTGGGTATTACCAGCAAAAAAATTAGATATGAAAAAACCACCACAAAAAATACTCCCCCCCCCCCCACAAATTTTTTTTTTAAATAGCTCAGAGAATCTGTTATTTTAATGGCAGTGAATTTATTACCATTATGTTCTATATTTGAATAGCTATCATTAAATTTCAATTTTCGAAAAAAAAAAAAATCTATGTAAACATAGACTTGTTATACTGTGGCATGCACAAAAAAGTCCCAATCAATTAAATTAATCAATTTAATCAAATTGTGAACTAAAAAAAAAACCAAAACAGATGCAGAAAAATAAGTAATTAATTCTGCAGAACATGAATGTCATATTCTGTAATAATCCTTAATAATGTATAGTGTATATCCTTTACTTTTCTTATAGAAGGTATTGCAATTTTTTTTTTTTGGTTTTTTTCTAGTTATAAAATCATTACTAGTCTACTGTAGAATGGGATTTTATGAAAACTTTATAAAGACACTAAATCTCCAAATTGATATAAATACTATAAAAATTGACTTTTAAAATTGTTCACTTTTATCCTATAAAACTATTTATTACCTATAAAAAACATTGCATTTTAAACAGTGTTGGAGCAAATAGCACCTCCCTATGGATCTCACATCCTTTGTGTCATTTTTAATCCCAAACATGAAATCAATAATTTTCTTCAGGAACGGCTGTCAAGAGGCGTTGACATCAGCTAGACGTTTTGGATTACAAATACGATATTCTTGAAGATGCTTTTCAATTTGACCTCAAAAATTAGTAGTTCAGTTAGTACTATAAAATGTTAATTTACTCTCTCTTCCTCCCATCAGACATTCCTATGGTTTTCTTGTCTTGAAATTTATGTTGTTTTTAAAACTTTAATATTTGTTTCTACGACTACATTAAGCCTCTCGAAAATACCTTATTTAGGTCTTCAACTAATCAATTAAATAATACGTCTTTTGTCCTTGACTTCGTTCATTAACTATTTTATTTGGAATTTTGAGAAGCTTGCATGCAACTGTTTATGCCACGCCCAGTTATGCTTTAAACTAAGCCTTCTTCATAATGCTTGGGGAGTGAAGTTGATAAACTGGCTTTAAGATAGGATTTGAACCCAAGACCGCGGTATTTAGAGGCAAGCCATCTTAACCAACAATGTACAGATCCAATATATTTAGTCAAATAGCAATTGCAGGAAATTTTTGGTTAAACGATTACAGTTTAGCATGTTGAATAGTTATTTACATCAAATCAATTAATATTTTGAATGCTAACAGACTGTGAAATCATTCTGTGTGTTTACATTACAGGTTAAAGTTCGTAAAGTGACATGAACATGTACCAATATTATTCTTAAAACTCTGCCGATATTATTTGAGAAAAAAATATTATTCTTGATTGTGATTAAAATAATTCACTGAAACTTCAATTTTTAAAATTTAGGTAAAAAATGAACTGGTGCAGGAATCGAACCAATTTCAACTATCAGTTTAAAATTAAATTTACATAATGATTTTTTATTCACATTTTAGTGATTATTATTATATGGTACAGTTTATCTTACTCCAAGTGCCAACCTTTGTTGGAATTGTTTTTAAATGTTATTAATGTTTAGTTATTCAAAGATGATGTGACCCAGAAAAACAAAGCACATTTCACTAAATTAAGTGTTTTACAGTACATATAAAAGGAAAGTATTATCAGCATGATAGTTTTTTGCAATGCAGTTTGTTGTGAAAATGACATGGTAAAAATGAAATGGTTAATTAAAAATGAGCTCAAACCATACTTGTTAATAATTTATAAAAAGTTGCATTAGAATTGGTTAGAGAGAAGAATTAAAAAAAAAAACAAAAAAAACAGAAAGCCAAGCTGACAATGAGGTGGACATACCTACCAACATATCTCAGAAAATGAGGTTAAAGTTCAAACAAGACATAGTGAATGTCAAAGTTCAATCATAAGACCAGTTGTGTAAATAAAAAAGTCAATGAAGTAAAAACCAAGCAAAAACTTAACTACAAAATGAGAAATGGTAAGATAACATGCATTTTAAATGATGATGCCCATAGTGTTACTGTAAATTTAGATCACTAAAAGATTTAACTTTGAATTTGTTAATTTGATTTTGGTCAAATCTATTCTGTTTTATTAGTCTGCGATTAGTTTAGTTTGAGAATATCATTACTACTGTTATGACTAGGCATTTTGTCTTGCATAATAATGTCAATTGCTAACTTGGAACATAATACCATAGATCTAATCTTTCAACTAGAGAGCTTTCAAGTGCAGATAGTCATTATCTATTAAAAAGTGCAAGTAGATATAGAAACAAGAGAGCCGCAACTACAGTCAGACAGCAGTCGGAGTGTAAGAGTTTGAATAGGGTTTGAATCAGGCATGAATAAGGTTTGAATCAGGCATGGATCCAGTGGGGGGGGGGGGGACACAAATTTTCCCTGTTTTGCCACTAAATTTTAAAATTTCAATGCATATCAATGTTATTTTTTGAAATGAGCACTACTGTACTCGCTTATCTATTATAAAAATGTTGTGCCCCCACCCCGTTTCAAAAATTCTAAATCCGCCTCTGGTTTAAATTCATATCACTACTATTTCTAGAGAACACAACACCTCCATAAGTAAATTTTAAGCATTTGAAGTAGGGACAGAGTGGATGGAATGGTAACGCTATCAATCACGGTGGATGGAATGGTAACGCTATCAATCACAACACCTTAGCAAAGAGTACAAAATTTACACAACATTATACAGCTAAAACTGTAATGCAATTTAATAAAGACTTAATAACTTTTTGCTAATTATGAAAGTTTTAGTAAATATTTAAATGATATTGACAACCATATTTCAAGAAATAATGGTAACTGGAAAATCTGGACTTGAAAGCTTATGTCGCTAGAAAACACAAACAACCAAGTTTCTAAAAAAAAAACACCAATCATTTTTTCAAAAAAAATTGATAAATATTAACCAAAGATTGAAAATATACACATGTAAAAGATGCCAAGCAGAGTATCTTGGCAAGGATTTAAAAGTGCAAAGGAATTTATCAGTGAAGAATGGCAATTAAAAAAAAATGGTACAAAATATGAGCAGTACAGTAGGTAATCAAAGAGCTAGGAAGCTGGTACAGAATTTGTTTCCAGACAAGGTGGTTATAAAGTTAGGAGGTGATCTCTGTTCCAGTACGTGAATGGACAGCACGATAGAAACACAAACCAAAGAAAAAACACCACTTTACATTACAACCATGTGACTGGGCCTTTCTTAGATGGAGGAGGTTTGGAAGCAAAATGAGTATTATTAGACGGTGGAGATGTTGGTGGTGGGCGTGAAGATTTAGGAGAACTCACTTTGGAAGACCGATGTTTACGTGATGTTGAAGTCGATGTCTGTTTGCGGACAGTCTGTGTCTCATTGCGGAACTCTAAATCCTCCAAGCGCTGAGTCAGTGCTAGTTTTTGCTGGATTGCCATTCGGAGCAGTGAGTTCAATGTCTTCTTCTCTTCCTCCGCTGAGAGTAGCTGTCGTTGGTATTCGTCCAACTGGGTGACGTACTCATCACAGCGGCTGGCAAACATAGCACGTAACGTGGTGAACGTTGCAGCATCCTCCTTTAGAGCCTTCAACTCTCCGCGTAGTTTCATCATCGTTTCTGCAATGATTTGCTTCTCACTTTGGTATTTGCTCTTGAGATTTGACAATGCAACTTCAGCAGTGGTTTTATTTGCTTTCAAAACGGTACGCAGAGTTGCAACCTGTTCTCGTTTGGTAGTCAACAATGACTTGAGCTTCACCACCTGCTCTTGAAGGTCTTCATTCTCGGTGGAACCGCCATCCTCATTTCTCTTACGTGATACCTCAACAGTATGCTCAACCGAACGTTTTAAGTACTTGATTTGATCTTTAACGGTGGTTATTAGGTTTAGACATGTAATTGGATCACCATGTACTTTCTCTGTTGATCCATTGACAGGTTTGGATGCATCGGAAGCTGTGGATTTCTGTGACGATTCATTCGACTCCGTGTCTCCATTACCAACTGCATCGTCTGCTTCTTTCAAATTAACGCCTGAATTTTTCCTTTCTTTTTTACTAGCTGAATCCGAGGCTTCCAGTTTGGACTCCCTCAGTCTACTTGCAATATCAGCTCTGAAGCTATCACGTCGACTCTGTCTAGTAGCTTTGAAATGATCCAACATGATTCTATGTGGATTCTCTCCATTTACCACACAGACATGTTGGTACAACTGAGAGATGTCTTCACTGACACTAACAAGCTCATCTTGTGTGCAGTCCAAATGACCTTGTGTTTCTGACATTGAGTCACTCATTTCATTAAATTTTGTCTCCAATATTCTATAATTCTCTTGCTGTTTTATTTCTTTCATTGTCAATGTTTTGATTTCCTCCTGAAGATCTGAAATATTCTTAATATTTGTTTCTTCTGACTCCAAGCTTTTCTTAAGGTCATTATATTTGCATTCATACTTTCGGACAAGTTGTATAAGCTGGTGAACCTTCAGAAGATTGTCGTCAACATCTTCTGGGAGATCTTCGACCTCAACTTTTCCATCATGTAGGTCCGTTCCATTACTAATTTCTGACTGCGACCTTTCTAAAGTTCTGCTCAATTCAGACTTCTCTTTCAGAAGTCTTTTGACTTGCACTTCAAGCTTCTGTATCTCAGAGCTATGAAGTTCACTAAAAAGGTCATTGGCAAGACTTGGAGCTTGATGTGAGTTTTCATTTCCCTGTGAAGCATATTCAATTTCCATTCGCTGCAGGATAGGGTGGGCTGGCTCATCATCATCGGAGCCCAGGTTGGTCCTGTTTTCTAAATCCTCATTAATAGCTTCTAACTCCGACAGCATTGCCTGATCTAATTCCTTCTTCAAGGCATGTTTCTGTTCACGTTCACTCTCTAGCACCTTCAATGTCTCTTCTACTTGTTTCTCGGCAATTTCTTTTAACCTAACAAGATCTTCAATTTGAGAATTTAGGAATTCTGCATCCTCTATCAACCTCCTGTTTTCATGTTTAAGTGCTTCATACTCAACTTGGGATGACTTTAAGGAGGACACCTGTGAAATAATTAACAATTATATAGTCAAAAATTATTTTATAATATATTCATAGTACCAAAAATTTTAACATATTTCTTTTTGCTAATTAACAGAAGCATAAATAATACTGTTCCATTTTTTTTTTACCGTCTGTAATCAATTCAAGTCATTTTTATTTCACGTGCAAATAAATTAACAAGTGGTATAACCAAAAAAGCAAAACTTGCAAACATGGCAAACAGTCATTCAAATAATAAGAGCGCAAAAATATGGGTACTGTAAGCCTACCAATATAATTAAAGAGTAGTAGTACCTACAAAAATATGACTTTTAAGGTTTGTGTTAAATGTGTAAAATTCAAAGTTTTAATTTGGTTGATTTTTTTGGAAACAGAAAGTAATTTTCAATGACCATACCTGCTTTTGCATAGCAATGTTCTCCTCTTCTAGCTCACTGTAGTCTTGTAACAACCTTGTCTCTCTGAATTTCAACTCCCTGACCTCATCTCGAGCAGCTTTTCGCTGACTGTCAACTTTCTCAAAAGAAGATAGAGAATCAGAACTCTTTGCATGGAAATGTTCATTTTCACTCTTGTATCGTTCTATTTGCTGTTTGCTTTGTTTGACCTCTAATTCGAGGTCAGCAATGCGGGTAAGAAGATCTGCCTCACGAGTTGCTGACTCTTGTAAAAGGCTCTCTTCTCGATGCACTTCTATGGCAGTGTGCTTCTTTTGGGATTGTTGATGATGTTCCAAAGCCTGAAGTGAAATTTTAAAGTAAATTTAAACTATATAAACAGTTGGCTTTAAAATTGTTCAAAAAAGTAGTACAAGTTAAAATTCGTGAAATCAAGAGATATTTTTATATCTTACCTTCCGTTTGAGTTATCTTTTTTGATTGATTAGAATATATCAAATGTTGAGGATGATGATAAAAGATTGAAGCATATAATATTTACTCATTACACGATGTATAAACTATAAAACTGACTTGGCCTATACTAGGTGTAGACCTTGTAAAATGATTCTTCATCATTATTCAAAAGTAAAACTTTAATTTTAATTAACACTCAAATTAACATATAAATTAACATTTGTTTTTTGAAAATAAGTTATTGAACATTTGGTTTTGTTAACCATCAATATTGTGCTATTGTCTTGTGCATACTTCAAGACTCCAGCAACATAAAAGAGCCCCTCCCACATTTATTATCGGTCAGAATGACTCTTTTGTTTTTGACACACTGTCATCAGCTTAGCTATGCCGCCGCCTATAACTAATTAATTAGTTAAAGTTGGGCCCAGCCTTTTCTCAAATCTAGGTTTACTTTCTTTCAAAACCTGTTAGAATATAGAGCGATTTTTATAATAAGTTATCGTTTCCAGACAACCTACCTCTTTTGCATGTCTAAGTTCCTGCCTTGTGGTTTCATATAGCTTATCTAAATCTTCAAGCTGGGCCTTGATAGATTGTTTCTCCTCCAGTACAACCAAGCCATATTCCGCCGCTTGTATCTTTTCTCGTTGGGCTTGATCAAGTTCGCCTCTCAATCGAACCACAGTTACATTTAACTCCTCTATTGTTTCGCCGAATTCATCAGAATCAGACATTATGATATATTATAACTAAAGGAACTTTCTATAATAAAGATCAACTTTAAAAATATGGATTTTATCCCAAAAATACAGAGGAAGCTCAGCCCATCAACTACTCCGCCGACCGCTCGCCATCATAATTGTCTACACACTGAAACGACCATATTTTAGAGGTATAAATCAATTGTATTTTCATAAATCCAATCTTTTATATATGTTAAACAGTATTTACATGCATTATATATCAAAAGATAATCTAGTTTACATGTTTCTCTAGTATAATTTATTAGTTTTGACGAAATAGGTGAAATTTATTGAATAACAAATATATACATGTACCTATTGATGAATAGTATAGTCTTAATCAAGAGAGGGCGATGGTAACTTTTTGACCCTCTGGAATTAAAGAACTTCCGCCTCCACGTAAACATTAATTTGGGCCTAGAGGCTAGCCTAACAACAGTCACTGCATAAAAATCGCTTTTTAAAGTGTATGATTAAGAGATGAGAACATCCTCGATTTCATCATGACAAATGGTATGTGTAGATAAGTTCCAGTTAACTCAATGGGCTGTCTTCCGCTAAGCTAGTACTATAATTAGGTTGTTTACTTGACGATTACTTCAGCAAGCTAGGCCTAGTCAAGTCGTCCCAAGCTCTAGGTCTAAGCCTAGCTAGCTGGACGGAGTGATTTCATTGATAGAGCAGGCAACAAACATGAAAGCAAGCTAATATCAGCCAAGCTAAGATTTATATGTCTTTTTGTTTTGAGCTAAAGTGTTAATGTTGTCCACTAGATCTAAAAAAAAAAAAAAAAAAAAAAATCACAATTGCTTGCTTTTATAGGCCTAGGCCCCTAGGCTAGGCCTATATTTTATTTATTAATTATACAGTATTACTATAATATAATACATCTCCCTGATAGTGTAGAGAAAGGGCCAGGCCAATTTGACAGTCTTAAAAATTGGAAAAAAATATTTTAAAAAAAGCAGCTGTGATCAGCACATTGTGCATTAATTTGCAATAAGTGCCGCTCTAGAAAATGCTTTTCTCTTGAATAAATTACTAGCTCAAATGCAAGGGGAAACAACATTTCAGAATAAATAAGTGAGTAGCACTTATTTCAATACATAACAATAATGCATTGACATTTTAAAATTTAGTGACCCTGTGCCCCTTGCTTCAATGGATCTGCACCTGCAAATTTTATAAGCACCATTGGCATCAGTGCTTATATTTTATTATTTACAGTGAGTGTATAAATTTTAATTGTACATTTCTCGTTGGATTTTTTAGTTTACTCTTTCGATGGTCTGATAATATTTGCCTTACTGGTTATATGCACCTGTGCGTATATGAGACGAGTACCAAGGCTCAAGAAGTGGTTCCTCTCAGAAAAAAAAGGATTTTTGGGTGTTTTTTATAAAGGTGTGTATACCAGCTCTCTGCCACTGCTTCAACCATCCCTTTCTTCTCATTCTTTCTTCTATCAATACGCTGAACTCTCAGCCCCTACAATACACCTGGTAACTCTCACGCATAATGCGCAAGTCTCACGCATAATGCGCAAGTCTCACGCATGAGCCTCCACTCCTTACACCTCACGCCTATGTTGTATTATCTCACTCATCAAAACAATTTTGTAAGATAAAAATTTATTGGCTGATTATACCCTAAAATTCATAAAAATGAAGTGAATTCATCATTAAAATGTTAATGCAGGCCATATAATTTTCTTTTAACGAAGGTATACCGGCTAACGACTAATCAGTATCAATTCCACAACAATTTTAAAAAAAAATAACATAGAGGGTGCTCTATTTCATGATTTTTACATAGAGGGCGGTATATATTTTTTTTTGTCTCGTACATCAGACGACAACAAAGTTGGCAGGTATACAACAAGCTTGTATAAATGAAGTTTAAAGAAATTCATAGTACTATTTCTTAGGTTTTGTTAATTGCCTCATGCGGAATTAATAAGATTATTGATTGATTGATAATTGATTGATAGATTATTTTAACCCCTTTTTAATGTTTTTAGCCATTTTAACCTTTTAGCTGACTTTTATTGTTTTTACATTTTTGCTGTTTCCTCTGTGATTTTATCTTTTGTGTCTTGATTTAACTTACATTTTAACTGTGAACAAACAAGAAGAATTTCAAACCATGTTCTCACTGTGTTTGACAATAAAAGTTGAATTGAATTGATTGGTTGATTAATGGATTGATTGATGATATTAAATTACCTGTATGGTTAATAAGGGACTTCAATTTGTTTACTCTTTTTTCTTTCAGCTTCAATAATTGGAACAAGACTTCATTTTCCAATTGCAATAACATGTACTGTCATGGCTGTGTATATACTATTTTTAAAATGAAATTATGAAATTCATCAAAAGACATATATATGAATATGGCACTGTAATAGCTGATTATAGCAAGTATATGCGGTTTGTGCACGACATCCAACGAAAATCGGAAGGTGGACGGTTGAGCATGAAGGTCAGCTAAGTATGGAGGCCAACAGGATTATTTCTGGCACTAATGTAGCAGACTAGCTTTATTTCCAGGCACCGGTGTAGCTATTTCAGACACTACTGAAGCAATGTTGTGTGGTGTGTTGAAGCCTGTTTACCACTAGGCGAATTTATTCATGGGAATCAAAATCTTAGGTTCATGCATATGCGCATTCACATTTCTATCAGAGTTTTTTGTTTAAGCGAAATCAGGAGTTCAAACTATTTCTACTTTTTGCAAATCAAAAAATTTGCAACCAATCAGAGCTCAGGAAGCGAACCAATGCTTTTGATTCGCGCAAATAAATTTGCCTAGTGGGAAATAGGCTTTATTTTGAAGATATTTCAGCCTTCAGCCTCTCCTGAACAATAATTAGTTCAAATGCTTCTAACTTATCTATCAAGTATATGTTATGGCTCTTCTTAAAAATATAAAATAAGGATAAACTTTATGTCATAGTCACAACAAGGCAACATTAAATTAAGTTGCTTAATGTACTGACCCCGTGATACAAGAAAATTATGAAAATGGAAAACACTTAACTATGGTAAAACTATCCCCTAACGGATTGGTGTTTCTAAGCTTTGGGTTTGGGATCTTCAATATTAATTAGGTTATTCCCATCTTGTGTTCCTCATCATCAATGAACAATGAATATATGACGCCTGTGTATCTTTAAAGGTTCGACAACTTTCATTGTTTGAATTTAATATTTTTGAGTATTTAGATTTTATCACAGACAGGGATATACTTACGGTTGTATTCGTTAGCATTAAGTTTAAGTATGTAATTGGCAGATAGATGCTGAGTTTCCATAAAATTGCTACAAAGCATAGCTGTACCCAGTGCAATCGAGGAGGCTCCCTGATTCGACTGATCAATAAGTGTCATCAACAGTTGTCTGTGGAAGCGTTTTAATAGCGATTTTATGGTTTCCCAGCCTTAAAGGCTCTATTCAGACTGGGGAGTCAAAGCTTGACTCGTTTATAGTCTAAACCAGCCTGGATTGACTCAAGTCTAGCTTGAAGTTGTTATCAACCCAGGCAAGCTGTGAGGCATGAGCCTGGTTTGAGCATTAGTCTGCACTTAGTATCTGTCTAAATTCTGTTTTCCACTAGACAAATTTATTCACACGAATCAAAAACGTATGTAGATGCACAGTTTAATTTTCATCACAAGATTTTCAATTGCGCATACTTATGGGTAAAAATTCATCTAGTAGAAAACAGCTGTTAAAGCAGCTCTTCCACAGCCAGTTGTCAATTAACATTTTATCTATAGATAAGAGACAGTTATTTTACTTATCAATGCTTTGTCCATGAAATATAGATGTAGTTTGTGCATATATGGCATGATGATGTCATATCACACCCATATTATGTACAAATCATGTGTATATCTCATGGATAGTGTTTGATAAGAGTTTTAAACGAGTGATCATGGTGGACTTGTACATTTTTATTATGATCATTACAATATTATTGTTATTACTTTATTATTATTGTCGGTACCACCAACATTATTTTTATTAAACTTTACAATCCCAAAATAAAATGGTTGTATTTTGGAGAAAAATTATCAAGGAATATTTTCTCTAAAGATTCTCAGTAGCTTGCATCTTATAATCTGTATTTGATACAAATGTATTAAATATTTATGACTACTGTAAATTTTCTGTCATTAATATTTAACACAGATGCTGATCAAATCCATCTCAATTAGTAACTTCATTCATTGTACTTTGAAATTCATAAAAAAAAAAGAGGAAAAGTTACCATCAAACAAGGCGCTAACTACAATTTAGAAAAATGCCAAATACAAAGTTTAAGTTTATTGCATTATATAATCATCATTGAAATAAATACAGTTCAACTTGCCCAAGTCGACTTCGCTTAACTCAAATAATTTCTAAGTCGATCCTACATGGCAAATAGTTGTATTTTCCATTAATTAACGATCTTTAAGTTGAATTTTATCCATTTTGGATTCAATTTAGGCAAGTTCAACTGCATTTAAATTGTATGTATTTTTTACAATAAATAAAATATAATGATCCCTGCCATGGGGGCTTAAGCCCCATCGGACAAGTCAGGCCCACCCACCAGCCAAGCTCATTGGGCAGTCGGACTAAAAAAAAAATAGGCCTACACCAAGACAAAACATATCTTTCAGTCAGAGGTCCCTATTTCTTAAAAAGCCTCATTTGGGAGGGGGCACCCCCCTCCCAAACCCTCCCTTCCTCGGGCACAAAAGCTCAATCCCCTGCCGGACAGCTGAAGCCCCCAGAAAATGTATCCGAAACCGCCACTGATTCTTATGTGTACAACACCTTGATATGAAATACAGTATATAGCATGTTATTTTGATATACTGTACTATTTTTATTTTATATTAAACATCAAAAAGATAAGGGTTCATTTTGTTAAAAATTTGAAGTGTGATACTGTAATGTGAAAATTCTAATACAGTACTCAATTCACATGTGATAGAACATTGCATGGAACTTCCCAAGATATTGCACTATCATCTACACACATATGCAAATATAAATCTTGCTGAAGTTGGTACTGCGTATGTCTCTTACAACACGAAGGGCATTCAGACTGACACATTTTAGCAGGGGACAAGCGCTAAAATTTGTCCAAGAGGGGACATGTTTAATAATTTTCCTAGTGTGAATCTGGTATAAAAATTCAATTACACATTTCTTAGTGCAGACTCAGTGATAAATCTTAAAATCACTTTGGCCCTCTGACCAATTTTATGCCCACTTTATGTTCTAAGGGTTATTGCATGTGGTTTTAAAAACAAAATGTTATAAAACTTTTCTAAATATTCCTCCATTTTAGCAACTATACAAAAAAACGATATTTTTCTCCTTCATATGTACATAAAATGTATTATGACTCGTAGTATCATTAAAGGAAAAAAAACAAGACTATAATTTATGGACTGTACATTATTTTTTATTCTACATCTGAGGCCCTACACATTTTGCTGAGTGTTAAAATCTACATAAAAATCAATTTTAAAATCATGGATTGATTTTCATGTTTTTCAAAAGTATTTTGTTAACTACAAAAGTGTTGAAAGAAGAATGTTAACACTACATTTTACAACATGCATTTTAGAAAAAAAAATTAATGTTTGGGAATTCAACGTAACAATGCATGAAGGGAAGACTGATCTTGGTCTTATTTTTAGAAATTTATAAATGCTGTATGTACATTTTTTGAGGGATGTATCAAAGTGACTTCTTAAGCCAAGTACACTATATATATTTGTCTGTCAGACTCAAAATGTTTGATCAGACTCTGAAGATAATAGTTTCAGATATCTGATCAAACAAATTCTGTGGCTTTCTTTGTCTTAAAACCAAGACTACTTTCAAGTTTGACCGACAAAAATATGATGTCCAGCATTATCCATTAACATGATGCATGATGGGTAAAGACGGATACATCGAATCAAAATACATCTCGGTTTACATCCTTGTATAAAAGCATCAATGTACAGTAAACATAAGTGTATATCTTAAGCTATCAAGTCTTGCCAACATGCATTGTATCAACCATTGCAGGTAACAGAATACAAAACAGGCTTGTATTACTCAAAAATGATTTCAGCAGTTCACCTTATTAGGTTTTTGTGCTGAAGTGTTTTTTTAGTAAATTATCACTAACCAAATCACTATTTGGTATTAAGATTGTACGTTATTAAGACACTCCCACACTTTTGTCCATCAAACTAAATAATCTGATCAAACGCATTACCTTTTATCTGACAGACAAAAAATTGGGCATGCAAATTTGCTGCAAGTAGTTTTGCAAGGGAAACCGATATGTCTATTTCAGATTCTTGATTATTTAAATTTAACCTTGTGATATTTACTGGGCTAGTAAGATTAATTTGCAGTTGGCTCATATCAGTTTATCATATAAATGTTTAAATAGGCAAGCAATGTAGACCTCTTCCTGGATTCAATTTACACAAGATCAGAAAAAATATAGATTTAGGAATTAAACATCACAATAAATTTATAAAAAAAGAAAATTATCTTGCAAAGAATACCAAACATATACATTGTCACAGAAAAAATGCTTATTCCGGTACTAAAAAAGTGAACAAAAGTTGAAATAAAGAATAACAAAAGTAAAATAAATTAATAAAATTTCAACCTTATTTACTATTAGGATTTTTTACAAATTATACAGACCAAGATCTTTAGAACATCTTGACATAAAATTATTATACTGAAAAAATATGTGACCCTCCACAACAAAATAAGTCACGAACCTCATGATACAATGTCCACATACAGATATGTGAATATAAGTGCATATCATTATAATATGTGGATATAAGTGCATATCATTATAATAATGTACGTATATCGTTATAATAATGTGCACATATCGTTATAATAATGTGCGCATTTTATAATAATAATAATAATTTGCACACATTAAAATAATGTGCGCATACCGGATATTGACATCTGCTCAAATCGCAATATTTATGTAATAGCCAAAAAAATTATTTATTATAGTTCAGTATACTGTATTAGTTATCATGTTTAGAGATGTATGCTGTTGGTTTTGTTGAAACATAATTTTTAATTGTGTTGGGTACTTAACTGGTTTCATATTTATTTTGAATCTCAATATAATTTTAATTTTAATGCTTTCACTGCTAATACTCCGGATGTTTCTGGTTCGAATCCTCTTGCAGCCCATACTTATTTCTTTTCTCCATTTGTTGTGCTTTGTACTGAATAATGGTGGCAATATCACAAAATACAGTGGTTTCTGCTGCAAGAAAACTTACTTTGCAATAAGAGGTAAAATTTTGTAAATAAAAAATTGGTAATACTTATACAACCTAGCAAACAAACACTTGTTTTAATAATGACAATTATCTGAAACATACTTGTGAACAAATTATTCTAATTGAAAACTTTTACATATCAAAACCATATGAGGATTATTTTCATGATAAATCAAATAACACATACAAACATGCGATACCAAATAATTACAGTGGTAAACAATCAACTTTGACAGATGTTAAAAATTAAACACGATAAATATGTCAATTATTAATTACAATAGTTATCAAATTAATTTAAATAAATATCAAATTAACAATTTTAAGATCATGTGCACCTACGTAATAATACAATACACAAACTATATTATGCTAATGAAAACACACAATTTTTTAAATCATGATCAACATCAGAAAATCTTTTTCATACGTTTCTAATTTATATTACGACAAAGAATTTGCTTTTTGAAAATAATTATAAGTTTATTTTAGACACAAAAGCATTATGTTAATTACCTGTCATAATTTCCTCTGATCAATATGATCATTTACATAATTAATGAATATGCATAATAAACTGGCACAATGCCAATGTTTGTGAAAAGTGTGTTTGTATGTGTATGTTGAATATCATCTATTTTGAGTTAAGGTCATGTTGGAGACTAAGTACCAATCGGGTATAGTGCGGAAATAAAATTGCTTTGAACAACAATCTACATTTCTTAGATCTGCTGTTTACAAGGATTACAGAAAGCTTGATTACTCTTTGTAACCAAACCAACCAAAATCAAAGCATCACTACCGCAGGGTGGTTCTAAGACATGTCGACCGCCATCATGTTACACGGATGGTACCTGTGCACGCATTCTCTATCAGCTCAACAAAAACTCATCCTGTACTGCAGAAAATGATTTACACGTTTTTCCATTTTCCTTATCTTCCCATCCTTTATAAAGTCTGTTTACATAAAATTGTTGACAAGATAAATTGTTCCGGACTTCATTAAGGACAGGATCGTGCTCCATAAACGTTTGATAAAAGGCAATAAAACTATTTAATAAAAGTTCACGATTACAGTTTATTTAAAAAGAATAATCAATAAAAAAATTTTTTGCAACATATAGTTAAAATATCGATAAAAATATTTCATATACATTATTCTTAGGATTTCCTATTTGGAATAAAGCTAACATTGATTACTGCACACTAGACTTAATGCAGCAGCTGTTGTATAATGAAAATCCAGATGAGATTGTGCTTGGATATTAGGTGCAATTACAACTGGATCCACGAGTCTAGTGTTTTCATTATTCATGAACTATACTGCTTTTAATGCTAGCAAGCAACTAACAGAAGGTTGGAGATGGGATAGAACGACTGACCCCACCATGACCTTGCCTTCAAAAAACTTTTAGTTCACAATTCCTTGTCAATCAGTTGACAAGAAATATAACATTTTCTGCGGGATTAGAATCTTTAATATTTAAAAATAAAATTTATTGCTAAAAAGTGGTAGTTAATAACAAATCATGCTTTTTTTTTTACCGATTTTTTTTTTAAGGGTAGGAATATTATCATGAAGATTTTTGTAGATCAGTTTTAGGAACTTTTGAAAATATGAAAGATAACAATTTGAATACACCATACAGTTGTGAAGAAGAAACAGAGTGCACGTCCATCCACTGGGCTGTAACAACACATGAAAAACGATTTGCCATTAGTACAATGCATACACCCTTACAGAATTCTAACAAGTATACAAAAGGTATGCCAAGAGTTTAAGTTGCATAACTTCTGAAGATCTCTTATTGCATCATATGATCAAAAAACGTCTGGTTTTTTTTTTTCATGGCTAGGTAGGGTAATGACAAATCGCAGCCCCTGTCGGCACAGCGGGATTACGTACGATGTACTAGCAGTGCACACTCTAGTTGTTATCTATACAACTTTATGGAATAACTCTACATAGCAACACTGGTCTGAGCATGCTTAGAACATTGTCTTGCAATAAAGGAAACATGGCCACCACGTAGCAACAAAGTGTTGCAAATCGCTGCCATTTCGGTACAGTGGGATTACATATGCTGTACAAGCAGGACACACTCTAGTTTTTATTTATACAACTTTACGGAATAACTCTACTTAGCGACATTGTTCTGAGCATGCTCGGAACACAATCCTGCAAAAAAGCATAACATAGCAACCACTTAACAGCAAAGTGCAGAGGTAGAGAAAATTAGTAACTGATATACTTTCTATATTTTAAAACATCCAATTACTTTTTTTTTCACTACTTCTTATTTTGCTTTGCTTCCTTTTTCCTTCGTTTCATTAAGAGTGGATTGGATGATTCAGATACGTTTTTAATTTTGATTTGGTCGTAGTCGACTCGCATCGTGGCTAATGCATTAGTCATCTCGTCCTAGCAAAGAGGAAAACAACATATTCAATATCATTAACATTATTATTTATTTATTTATTACAAATTCAACATTATACAAATGTCCGGATGGAAACCATGAGCCAACGATCCAACACAAAAATGGGTACCTCTTGACATTGGATTGGATTTATTAGGTGTAAACACCAAGGATAGCCCACCTAGTCTAGAAGAAGACATATTTCCAGTGCGGTCCTCCTGGTGGTGATTGGGCAGTACACCGGCAGACAATCCCCTATATTTTTCAGAAGCGTGTACTGCGTTCTTTAACGAGCACGAGTCATAAATGCACACGGGACCGACGGTTTAAACGTCTCATTCAAAAATACGGTGCGCTATTTTAACTAGTATTTCAGTCCTCCAGCTGAAACACAAGGAGAGTAAGCGATGGGACTTGAACCGGGGACCTAGAGATCTCCACGTTCAGCGCACACACAGCGGCTACCACCAGATTAGCCGACTGAGCTAAGCTGCTCTCTTAATAACATAACAACATTAAATTATATTACATTAACATAGAATTAAATTATATATAAAATATGTAAAATTTTATATTTATTTATATATTCCATCAAGCAATGAAAAGGATTTATTGACCAAATGTATGCTAATTTTGTGAGATAATCTTCCAGCAAGTAAGCAAAAATCTCCGATTTCCTGTAAATTTAAGTTTGCATGTGTTTACCACTATACCACCCTTTGCAACAATTAGGTGTGTTAAAGAAAGCTGTTTAACCCAGTTCTCCCAGAAGTGGCTTGATCTTACCACCATTTGTAACTAGGATAATCTGAAAGGATCACCCCACAAATGTAAAGAAAAAAAAAAGGAGAAACAGCTTACTTGAATATCTGCCCATTGTTCGCTATCCTCTTTCAACACTTTGGCAGAGTGCAGTGGTGTCTGTGGAACCTCATCAAACCTCTGTAATAAAAATCAGATGTTTTCATTAAAAGGTGTGCGCAAGGGAAAGTGTGATTAAGAAAATGGGAAAAAGTACTACAGAAAAACAACGATAGCACATGCCTGGTTACGTGATCCATATGCAAACTTTGTAATTTTACCCTCACCTTGAAATGGTTAATGTAAATGGACAGTTTCGCTGTTTAATATTTATAAACTATAAACAAATACAACATGGTATTATTTCGGTAAATCCTGATCCGGATACCAAAAATATGATGATCGAATCACTGGCCAATAAGAAACTGGAAATTGTAAACGCGTACATGTGATTGGTTGATGATAAAAACATGCTCAACTTGCTAACCGATAGCGCTTGCTAACCGTTAGCGGTATTCGGATACTTCTAACAGTTAGCGCTAACCAATCAGGCTTTCTCACGCAGGTGCTAACTGTTAGCTCCCAATCCGGATACTAGGGCTCTCGTGACAACCAGGCTAAGTAATCTTTGTGGTAAATAACATGAATAATCATAGATAATGTTCCTAATAAGCATATTCACCTGGACCCATGGGTGGTTGATAAACTCTGTGATGGTTAGTCTCTGCGTTGGGTCGGTTTTAAGTAACTTTCTAATGATATTCTTTGCCTCTTCTGAGACCTGGCTCCACTCAGGATTTGGGAACTCGTACTGGCCATTTCGGATCCTTTTCTTCATTCCGGGTGAGATTGCCATTCCATGGTTACTGTAGAATGGTGGGAAACCACATAATCTGCAATAAGGATATATTGATTCAAATATCTTAGCAAACATTCAAAATAAAAATCTAAATAATAAATTACTGATTTTGTAATCTTTGGTCCTGGAATCTGTTTTCTGAAAACCTGCATGGCTGATATCGAATAAATTAAATATTCATAACTCCATCAAATAAACAATGTTTTAAAGTGGAATTCAATGCAGAATCAAAGAACACCAACAATTCAATTTTTCCATGAAAAAAAGCTGGTTTTTCCAGAGCCAGAGGTAGAAATCGTGGCCACCCATAAGATAAAAACAAGTACCGGTAGGCATAAATAAATCAAAAGAATAAAATAACAGACACAAAAGCGCAAAAATGTACAACCGGACTCTAAATAGTGATGAAGTTTTCATCATTAGCGGAAAGAGAAGGATGCCGCGTACGTCTGGATTTACCAACAGAAGGGCGCCCTGTACGTCTGGTTGTGAACTGGATAAACGTGTGTAAATTGTTATATTGAAAACTGAAGGACGTCGCTACGACTGGATTTACATAAAAGATGCGACGCATATCCGCGTCACTTTTGCTATGCGTGTGCTCTATCTTGTATTTCTAGAATCTTTGCTACTATCGAGATTTTAAAATGTGATCCTTTATAATGAATATTTTATGTCTTCTTAAGAGGGATTTCCCCCATAATTCCAATGACAGTGCAAGTATTACACAATGCTCAAAATAATAACTTAATGTCAAGGTAGCAAGATGTCAAAAACTAACACAAAATAATTTTTTTTCCCCATATATTTGAAATCTGCTTTATATCATCATTTTTGAAATTTAGAACAAACCCAAATAAATAAAAAAATGATTTTAACTGGTTATGGTTTCCTAAAGATTAATGTAGATGAAAAATACCATAGAAAATTTAAAAAAAATAAAAAAATCATTTCTGAAATCAACTTTTGCTCAGTTTTAAGTAACAAAAATTATCAACTTTGAACATAGAAATTGGTGTAATTAAAAAATTTTAACCCATAATTTACAGTGAAAAATAATAGAAGGACTTTCAGTCACTGAAGTATTTTTAATATATATATCATTATCAAGTATAAAATATGAAGTATTTTTATCATTTACGGTATATTATTATCAAGTATAAAATTCAGGGCACACATTTTTTAAATTCAGTAATTGGTATGCTACAAAATGAGCAAGTTAATTTCACTTTTTTTAAAAATGATTTTTTGTTATCTCCCGGGTGAAAATACATCTTTAAGCAAACCATTCAAAAAACACCTTGGGACAAAACACACACAAAATGAAACACCAATTCAATTTAAATTCCATTGTGTTTGGACCAATCATTTAAAAAAGAGAAAGACATAGCCATGGATGTCATTCCTAATTATGCATTCTACAATTAAGCATAAATTTGGTTTTCTACCAAACACTTGTCCCTATGTTTGTTTTCAAAAATTTCATTTGACAATAGGCATTTCCCTTTCACTATCAGACCTCTAAAGTGACCACTTTGAAGAGCTTGCATTTTAGGTTTGTTTATTGGTTCACTGACTATGTTTATTAGTTTTACTATCATGAGCAGTACAAATATTTATGCTAAAAGTTATTCCAAAATCTCCTCATAAATCGATCGAGCAAGCAAGCATAATTAACAATGACTATTTAGTTTATTGCAATTACAGATTTAAATCAGTCACTTTGTGACAAATCATGTTTCTGAGATAATGGCCAAAATATGTTGTAATCCAAATATTTTCAAAATCTATTTTATTGCACTAAACTTGCAATTATACATCTATACATCATGCTATGTCATTATTTTCCCCATCATGCTGTATTAATACATATATTACGGTATATTATTACGCAATTATAGTCAAGTTCTGAAAACCATACAGGAGAGTAGAGGCTGAAGGAGCCATTATTTCCTAGAAAAATTGCCTAAAGCCTGCAGGGCTAAAGGCAATCAAAACATCTCCTGGAAATTAACCCATCTCCGGAAATTCATAAGTATGCATGTTTTTACTGCTTTGTTATCAATCTTTTACGAAAGTTAGTGCCGATGGGTATCGCTATGTGCAGTAAAGTCAAATTAAAATTTAAATGTGTCAAGATGTTAAGAAAGCTCATTAACCAGATCAGTGGTGGATTTTAGGGGGTGTGGAGAGCCAGCAAGGGCCCCATAAATATTTCAAAATAATTCTTTTTTAAATGGGGTAGAAAAGAAAATTATATTCAAATTTTAAGTCTGGCAGGGCCATTTCCCGCCCTCTAGAGCAGGTGCCATCATTATAAGTTTTTCTGCTTCAGCACCAACCATGGTGGGGCTGAAGTGCTCTAGACCCTCTCTGATCCCTGCCCGCCCTTTGCCCCGCCGCAGCAGATCTCCCGGAAATGACTTCTTCCAACTCGGGACCCCTGAATTTGTGCCTGCTCAGGGATAGGAAAATTATGTGCAATTGAAAAAGATAACATCACAACTAAATTATAAAAAGCATTATTTTTTTAAAAATAAAGTAAAAATAATCTATATTTAGATCAGACCAAAACTACTTCAAAGAGTGCAAGCTTACAGGATGTACATGATAACTCCGAGAGACCACATGTCACATGACTTATCATACCGTTCCGGGCCAAGAACTTCAGGAGCTGTAAAAGGTCAAAAGGTTAAAAAGCTTTAGTATCAGGAAATGAAACATTGTAAGAGATTCAAATACAAGGTAAAAACAATACAAATAAAACCAATAACCAAGTAATATTTATACATCATAATGTTATTACTGTAATTTCATTTTATCTGCCAAGCTAAATATATTTCTGTATATATTTGTGTACATTCTATATATTTATTTATATCTCTGTATAACTTTTTGTATATTTTATATGTGAATCTTGTAACAATAAGTTTTTTTTTCAGTATATTAATCCAGATTCCTGGAAATTGGATACAACTACAGAGTGTACTCTATAAACGTTTCAAACCATATCTCTAGATTAAGAAATTTCAGTGACTGCTTGATATTTGAACTCCAACTTTTCCTTACACCAAAACGTACCATTCCACCAAATTTTATGATTTATTCAATACTTTCTGAATACGTAACTTCCCTGGTAGAGGTAAAAATTTAATAACATAGTTTACATATTTGTAACAATAATTTGATTCTATAACAATTGGCCTGAAGTCAGGGCACCTCAAAGATTATAATATTTCAGTATTTCAGATTCTATCAGATTCAACATAATGTTTGACAAGACTTTGTCTGATGGAGTTGAGCATATAGAAAGATACAATATATTTAATTATAATTATATCAGATAAAGTCTGATGATATTTCATCCCTGGGTTAATATTATAACTGAGCGTTGGCTGAGAGAAAAAGTTCCTGTTTGTTGTGCCAAGGACCTCAGTTCAAACCGGCTTCTCTAGAGGGGTGGGCTCAGGGGGACCCCATCAGGGAGAGCTGCCCACCCCCTCCCTCTCCCCTCCCCATCGGGAAGAAAAACCACAATTCGCTTGGGAGAAATTTTATGCATTTTGTACATATTATTAGTAGCCTCTACAATTGATTAAATAAGCCTTTGAAACCCCTAAATTGTCAAAATGTTTGGGGCTTTGCCACCCTGGACCACGTTCGAAACATTTTAAGCGACGCTCGACCACACCCACTTTGCTCTCGTCGGGGGAATCGGCCCCCCCGTCAGGGACCTTGTACCATCATCGGCGAAATCCTGGCGCAAGGGAACATGCTACTGGCGATGTATCAATTTGGAATAATAACAAAAATTTTAAACAACTGTAAAAAAGATTTATGTTACATGACAAAAAAAAACTCCTCTATTTCCTAATATAGTAAATCTCTGTCCAATCTATTTTCTTGTTTATAATTTAGATTGTATGTGTGTGACATGACATCATCAAGACCATATTATCAGTGTAAATTTTCCAATTTGAACAATTCATACTTCCATGTTCTGTCCTGTAACTGTTGCATTTTATTTGACGTATACAAAAAATTTTATTGCATTAACAATGTATCAATTTACGGTACTTTTGTTGCGAACATCTTTGAAACAACATCACTTCCTTTACTAAGTTTCTATTTATTGAATCAAAAATGATTTATTTGAGGTTTTACATAATGCATAAAAATTGTAGTCAAGATGATGTGACTATTTTGTAAAAAAAAGCGGTTTGCATTTGTCTCATTTAGTGGCATATATCTAAGGGTTTATGGGTGTGAAAGCTCACACCCCAAGTCACCCCCATTGAAAATGTTTGAACCAAAAAAAAAAAACAAAAAAAAAAGTGCTCAAGTAGATAAAAATCACCTTATTTTGCTAACTGGTACCCACTCACTTAATCTTCGAGACCCCCCCCCCACTTCATATTCGCATCCCCCCATTAGTCCCACACCCCGATTTCAAGTCTCCTAGATACGCCGCTGGTATTGTTCTACCCAAAAGCCAAAAATGGGTACTTGGTAGAATGTGGCATTGAATGTAATCGGCTGGTGATGGGGGAGGTTGCACAGGGTGCATACCGGCCAAATTTTGGGGCAAAGATGACCAGAATATAGTAATATCTGTACCAAGGGTAGCATACAATACAAGGTTTTTGATACTTTCTTCAGGTTATGTAATATGAAAACTTTGTAAAACATATAAAATTTACAAAAATTAAACATTATGTCCCTAACATTATCACTATTCACTATTTATTACTAAGTGTTTATATAACTAGTTGGATACTTGGATTTATTCGGTGTAAACACCAAAGATCAACCTATGAAAGTCAAGAAGACGACTTGTTTACAGTGGGGTCCTTCTGGTGGTGATTGGGCAGTACACTGGGAGACAATCCCCTACTTTTTTCCGAAGAGTGTACTGCGTTCTTTAACGTGCACATGGACCGTAATGCACACGAGATCAAAGGCTTAAACGTCTCGTCCGAAAGACGGTGTACTGTCAAATTAAATAAATACCTACATGATGGCATGCATTTTGATACTTGGAGTATGTATTATACTACCTTATCTGAGATTAATCAGTGGACCTTTCGGATTCTGTTTGATGTTAACAGACTTATGTTTATATAGATAATTGATGACTACTGTATAATACAAACATGAAAAAAAAACATCATAACAGAAGTATCAAGTTAGTGACACATCAAAGAACCGGTCTTAATCTGTTTAAGCTTTAAAATGAAGGTACAAGAACGATTCTCTTAATTTTGATGTTTGACGCAAACAACAATTAAATTTAAGTGGATAAGAGACGAATCAAATTTGCTTTTAGATTAATGAATGAATGAGGTCGCTTTAGATTGAAAATTTAGGGAGGCAGCCCAGAAATGATCATGTACAGGATGATATAAAAATTAAATAAAGTCTAAAATAAAAGAATTAGTAGCTAATGTTTTTGTTTAATATTAAGAACATTTGATAAAGTAAGCTTCATGAAGTCAGATGATTGTAAGAGTGAAAAAATAATCAATTAATCCATCATACATAACCTATTGATCGACTAATCAATCAATCGACCAACCAACCAATCAATCCATGAATTAATACATTAATAAATCAATAATCAATCAACCAATTAATAAATTATTAATTAATCAGTCAACCAAGTATCATGAATCAACTAAATATGTTCTAAAGCCCTCAGGCGAACAAGTTTTCAATTTCCTACTGACAATGCCAACTACAGTATGGTAATTGCTAATGTCCTAAGAGAATTTTCACGTACAAGGTTCAGCACGCCTCATCGCATCTCTGACAAATTTGCTTGTTTAATTTTTTACAGAAGACGTAAAGCATAATAGTGAGCGAGTTTAAATCTATCGTTCACAATTTTAACAAACTACTAAGGTTCAAGATATCCTAGCAAAGTCAGAGGTCATGAAAGGAAATTGCTTCATAAAGGGAAACATTGATCTGATTCAACCAGGAAGTGCATATTGTGTTGGATTATTTATATCAATGATATAATATAGCAAACCATTCATATGATAAATGTGGAAACCTGACAAAAAACACCAGGAAAATAACCAGCTGGACAAAAACCACCCAAAATGGAATATACCATTGTTAGAGTGGGGTGAGCGGTGGGGTGTACAATGTCGGGTGTGCCTGGTATAATACAGCAAACCATATTCAAATGATAAATGGACCTACTATTTTGAAGTAAATAAGTAAATATCTAGGTTTGATAATGCATAATTGATTACTTTATAGTAATTAAAAATGTACAACTACAGGTCTCTCATACAGACATCTCCAATTAAAGACCACTTTGCTATTTTATTTTAGAGACCAGCTTTTAATGACCATGGAAACCCCGGTCTCAAAAGTGGTCCTTAATTGGAGGGAAACTTGTACTTAATAAAATGTTTGTATATAGCCAATGTTGTACAGCACGTTCATAAAAAGATGAGGTACTAATTACTATACTCTATTCGAAAACTATGTCTCTCCTGAATATTTTTATAGCATTTTTTGAACTTATTATGCTGTTTATTATCCTGTTGTTGGTTGTTCTTGCACCTATTCAAGAAAGTTAATATGTATTTGTACTGAAATCAGGAAAGCAAGTAATGTTGATGTTTTTAAAAAACTTTTTAAAAACTCATCTTTTTAATATTGCTTTTAATTTATACTTTTAATATCTTGTTGCTGATCTGAATATTGTGAACTTTAACTTAGTGTTCCTTGCCAATTTGTATTTTATTGTGATGCAATTTGATTGACTTTTAATATGCTGTTGAATTTTAGCTTCCCGTAATTTTAACTTTCTCTTTTGTACCGTAAACTTTTATTCTTGTCTATTTTATTGTAATGCACATTTGAACATATTTTAATGGAAATTGCGCAAATATAAATGAGTAAATTATTTATTTATTTAATTAATTTATTTATTTCAACATTTGAGAATTTCTTTGCTTGAACATGCACCTTATAGATCAATGCCAATTATTTTGCAATGTCTGCTAATCATAAGAATGTAAAATGAATCCAGTGGTATTAACCAAGTCTTAGGGCTCTGAATAAGGGTCATTTATAATAATAATAATAATAGTGTAGTTTTATATAGCGCTGGTATCCATCAAACAAGATACTCATGGCACTTGATATGTGGACTAGGAACTCAATCAATGACTTTCTTCGCCTCTAAGGGTCCCTTCGTGTCTGTGCTACCCAGATACCTGGTACCAGCAACTCTCGTCGTCCACTGGTCTGTTCCAGTACCCCGGGGTACCCCTCCCCACTACTCATCCCGAATAATGTAGTGGGCTCTTAATAGTGCACACAAGCCATTGTATACACTAGGCCTACGGTTTAGAGTCCTTATCCAAGAAGAGTTGTTCTACCAACAGAAACATAGGCGAGCATGCCGTTCGAACCAGCACCGATACTGCTGTAGGTTGCGACGCCCCTGCTAACCGCTCGGCCATTTAAATCACCTTTCCACCATGGAGGAAAGCCAGAATAGTCGGACTAATCTCACTTGCCCTCAAAGGAAAGAAGTCTGAAACTAACTTACCAACATAATAGGGGGTATAGCATGGAGTCTGCAAGCTTGTTGCCGATGTCGTCTCCTTTGCAAAACCAAAATCTGTTAACTTTAAAACCGAATTAGCACCTTTGTCTTTGAACAGGAGATTCTCTGGCTTCAGGTCTCTGTGTGCGATGTTCATGTTGTGAAGGTAGTGAACAGCCTTTGCAATGTCGGATATAATTTGTGCCGCTTCTAGAAAACAAACAAAAAACGCAAAATTCAAATGTTGCAAATGGTTGCTTAAATCTTCATTTAAAAAAAAAATGTTTATATTGCAAATTGTTAGTTACTGTAGGCTCGCTAACACAATTTGGCCTTTGGGCCATGATTTGTGACCAATATTAATGGCTTTTTTTGGTTAATTAAAAGTGAATTGACTGAAATTGTTGCTGACTCTCAGCTAATGGATTACAAATTAGCATATTTCATTGGTTAATAAATTGAAAAAAAATTCCTAAATGTTAGTGCTTGCTAAAAAGGACTAGTATTAGTACTTAGTTGCAACATTTCACATCACAAGTGGTGCAATGTAATTAAAGATTTATTTTCTGTGTTGATTAATGCAAACTGTTCCAATCCACATTGTTTTTTATGTTTGAATTCTCATCCTTTAATTTGTCAAATTGGTAAGAATTATATCAAACAGCTGGTAGTGAACATGTTTTGAAATTCTTATTCTCACAAATGTTGATGAATGTTGAATTAGACAATTTTTGAAGGAATTCCAAAACACTAACACTTTTACAAACATTAAAATTTGGATATCTTAGTAGACGGCCAGTAGATTTTATCATTCCCTCATCAATTACGTTGTCTTTTGAAGTTTATATACTACATTGTTTATGTGCATCAAGATTTGCTACTTTATTAATTTAGGTTGTCTGCAAATTTTATGGTTTCTATGTTCAAAGGTGAACACATACTTCTTTGACAAAAAACTGTTGTAGCCTATATATAGTAATGATGTGCCTATGTTCATGATGTGATGTCATCATGACCATATTTGGGCATATCACATGTTTTTAGCAAATAACATTTGATAGCCTGGACAAGACTTTATTAACCAGAATCTATGGGCTTATTTTTTTTGCCAAAGATAGGTTACAAATTTTCCCACATGAATAAAATATACAAGCGGTACTGGGTAAAGACAACTTGATTTCTCGCTTCAAACAAGGTAAGCATTCATAGAAGTCTTTATGAAGATAAACCTATCCAAATGAACATAAAAGGGTCGGGGATCAGGACGTACCTTCGGCTTAAAATTGACAAAGATTGAAAGACAAAATGTATGCATAATACTAAACAGGCATTAAAATGTGAAAAAAGTGTAATTTAAAAACTATTTAATGAATATGAATGTATGATGTCAATAATCTGTTAATTATAAAAATAATGTAAATAATAATAATAATAGTACTTCATGCATAAAGCTTCTAAGCGCACATTACTAACCCGGTCATAAAAGTCATATAAAATTATGAAAGAACAAAGGAAGGAGGAAGATAGGAAAGAAATATTTACCGAAAATAAACAATAAAAATCATTTTGTCATTAGTACTACTCATTTTTGTAGCAGATTTTGGACACTAATCATCAGAGGTCAAGCCTACACATTTTTCATAATTCGACATCGAAATCTAGACTGTATTTTGATTTTATTTGATTTATTTAATATAATACGAAACAGAAACAAATGAACATGGACTGATCATTTCGAAAAAAAGCATATCGGGGATAACCCTAAAATTGCGTAAAAGGCAAACACTTCTATAGGGGTCTCCAACATGAACTAATGTGAAATGAACATTGAACAATAAATAAAGAACAATAGAAAAAAAATTACTTAACAACAAAATAAATATAAAAAAACATTGATAAAAATAAGACAATAACAACCATAGATATTTCATCTAAACAAATAAAATGTTGAGAAAAGGAAGTACTGTAAGTTTCTAAAGCAGAGTAAGGCAGCCTGAATAGCATTAAATAGCATGTACTTAGTTATCTATATGATGCAGTGAAGGTAATTTGTTTTTATGTTTTATTACATTCGTATGTTATTTATAAGAACAACACTTGAAAATGACTAATAATGAATGACTAATAATAATTAATACATAAAGCAATAGTAACAAACAATAGCAGTATTAGAACATGGAGGTATAAAGCAGACCCATGTCTGCACGATGAATATTTTACATATTCTATTCTACAAGCTTTTCCCAGTAGGCACTGGTGTTACATGAGATATAACCGCAAAAAAATCAATTAGTATTAGTGAACACCTATGGAACATAATATTTCACTAGTGTTGGTGTTCCTGTTATAATATTAACAATGTCAATTAACAATATTCATTAAATCATCACACTGACAAATATAGAGCTTGTTTGTTATATTACTTGTGGTTTTTAAAAAGGGTACACAATAAAAGTGGAAAGGGGGAAGTCATTGGGGATGGGGGACAGATTACATACCTCTTTCTGTAAATGCTGTGTCTGCCCTTTCTTGTATCCTACTGAATAATTCTCCACCTTCCATACTAAATATCAAATAATAAAACAAGATAAATATAATAACATTAAATGTGAACAAGTATATCAATCTCTAATACTGGATAATGTATCAATACTGGAAATGAATGTATTTTTTTGTCATAAATTTTAGTTTTAATATTTTAATACTTTGTGTTTAACCATATTATTATTATAATGTCTTTTTTTAAGTATATTTTTAGCAACTGGCCAAACAAATTTCACTGTTCACTTGTTTGACGACAATAAAGAATTCTTGATTCTTAATTTTAATGCTAATATACAAATAATTATATCATAGGAACAATAAGAAATATTTGGCAAGTACTACAATATGTGACAATAATATTAAGAAAAAAAAAACAAAATGCATTACTAAGTTTCAGTATAATTTGCGAATTATAAACAAAAAAAAAATAGAAATATTAACAAAAAAAAATATTAAGTAAAAAAATCCATGATATTGATAAAAATTACATTATTATTATTACTATTATTATTATAATATTCATTATACACTAATGTTAATTTATTCTGCTCTTTGACAATACACAGAACAGTAGTGCTGGATTTGTTTCCTCGTCTGTTATTATTTTATCATGATGAAAATTAATGAACAAACTGAATGATTGTTGAACATAATAGCATTTGTACAGTAAAACTCTAAAGGCCCAATAAATAAAATCTTTAGTTTATCACCCTACCTGGGCTGGAAAAATGATGAAGGAGGAAGGCTTCTTTATTTTTATTTTTTATTTTTCTAAAGCCAAATATCACACTTGAGTTGTTTGCAGGTGCATTGATTTTCAAAATCAAATACATGATTGAGATAATACAAACACTATCTACTAACTATTTACTAAAATAGTTTGAAAAAAAAAAAAAAAAATTTTCAATAGAAGACATGTAGGCAAGGGTGACAAAATAATCTTTTTTTTATTGGGCCAAAAAAAAAAAATTAAAAAAACAAAAACAAATCCTGTTAAACCAAGGAGATAAACCAAAACAATTCTAAGAATCCATGACAAAAAGTCAATTTGATTAATATGGTAAATAATAATGACAGATATTTAGTCATTGAAGGATCTAGTGATGTCATTTCTAAAAATAGACCATTATTCCAATTTAGGATTTGTGCTACAGTGTGTGGCATTCCATCATGGGTTGACACTGCATGATCCTGAGTATAGAGGTCAAGGGTTATGAATGAACTCGAGATTAATGTACTAGATAGAGCATTTTGATTTCTCCCATGTCTGGCTACTGTAACCCACATGTACAGTATAATTCATGTGTTGATATTCATTTACTCTACATACAGCTGAGTGTTTAAAACTTGTTATCACAGGATCTGTCTTCCTATATCAATCCTAGCCAACTCAGTAACCTAGGTTTGTATGTCTTGCTACAGATATTTGCATACAATCTCTTTCTGTAATTGTCTTACATGTCCAAAAGCTAAATAATGAATAATTCATGCGTTGATGAATGAATAATTCATGCATTGATGAATGAATAATTCATGCATTGATGAATAAATAAAAGAATGATTAGTGAATGGTGAATCATGAATGAATAATCAAACTAATTAACTAACTATTAAAAATAGCAGAATGTTTACTAAATCATTGTAACAAAAGTTAATAGATACCTAACTCCCCAAGTAACAATACATAACAATAAATATATAAATTTATAGATAATAATAAACTCTTACAGTCTAGATATCGAATAATAAAAACATTAAAACAATAAAAATCAAGCAGTTTTTTAAAGCAGAAAAAAGAGAAACGGGGATCAAAAAAGAGAGAACTATCCAATACGTGGCGCAATGTAACTAAGTGGAGGGGCTATAACATAAGACATGCGATTTAAGCGAGCACAAAAAAAGTAAGAAAGGAATATATAAGAGAATTTTTAATATTTTCAGGGAGTTTTTCCCAAAGTCTATGGAACAGATGAATGACAAAAAGGTGAAGAGAGTTAGTTCTTTCAAAACAGTCTCTTGATGCCGACTATTGACAAGTGTGAACTGACGGATGCTACTACAATCAACAACGCCAGTAATGGACTTACAGACAAATGATAACAGAAGAAATTTTCTGCGAGCAGATAAACTAGGCCAGTTGAGTTTAATGAGACGATCTATGTACTCAATTTCGCCTCTTTTCTGCTTAAGGACAAGTCTAGTACTATAACCCTTCGCTGAACTGCCTCAATACAGTCTACAAGTGTTTCAGTATGAGGCAACCAGGAAGGGACACCGTATTCAAGTATAGGAACAAGTGCTTTGTAAAGGGACAAAATGGCAGAAGGTGAGGAGCCACCAGCACTGCTGGCAATTAAACCCAGCATTCTGTTCGAATGGGAGATACTGTAATTTTGTTAAAATGGTCGTCCCAAGTAAGTTTATAAGTACCAGATGACAATGATTCAACACAGCATGTATAGGTGAACCAGCTAGATGATAAACTGGTGAATATTCTTTTTTTGAACGAGTAATGTGGAGAATTTTAGTTTTATTTAAATTAAGTTCCATTTTGTTTAAATCACACCAAGAATTGAGACGGTTAAATCGGACTGGAAAGCAAGTTCGTCGTCAACAGAGAAAATATCTTTGTAAATAATGTTATCATCAGCAAACAAAATATTTTATACTTTTAAGATTAAATGTTTTAAATGTTAAATAAATAAATAAATTTATATGTATTGTTATGATGCAAATCACATTAAATGGAAATGAATGAATAGTTAAGGAGGAACTATATTATTTTCGGCGATTTCAGGGAAGCACAGGGCATAACATTAACAATAAAAACATTTTTTTTTCTGAAATTTTCATTTTTCGTGGCAGAGGGGTGCTAACTGGCCAAAAATTAAATTATATTTTAAATCAACATTAAACTAAAAAGGGTATAAAATAAGTCTACTGCACTGCATTCTAATAATTCTAACTACCAAAAATAATATTATTATTGCTGACATCACCCTGTGTGTACACAGTCCAAAGGGCATATCAATAAATTTTTTAATAATTAAATAAATAAAATATAAGGATAATAGAAAAATAAATAGGATGTTTACAATTACAGAGGGGTTGTTATGGATTTTTCCATTAGAGTACAGTAGATTCAACCTCAAAAGCAGGATATATTTGCACCATGGGGATTACAACGAGCGAGCGTGCAGCGTGTGCATAAGATACGAACAGCTGGACTCTAATTCTCAAACAGCACAAACAGTATTACGTTTGTTATCATGTGTACTTATCACCATGGCAACGACTGCACCAACTTATATTTAAATATCATGCTGGTAGGGTAGATGGAGTATTGTAATTTTTGTGCAATGATTCAGAATTTGAATCAGCGTTTAAAAAAAGAATGATGACGACTCAAAACAAAACTAGATTTCAACAGATCATAACATGACCTTCATAATTAATAAGGTTTGACCTTAGGATTCTAGGAAACTGACTAAAGAGAAAAGTGAAGTTATATTTTCAAAATATATGTTATGATGATATAATATACAGAATATTGTTTTAAGGTTTGTATGACAAAAAATAATTTAATGCTGCGGTACACCACGTACTGTAGGTAGTTCTAAAAAAACTGTTTGTTGAGATTGTCTCAAACTTTGATTGAGTTGCTTCAATCGTCTTTATTAGAATTAAATGAATGTGTAATGTATGAGACAATACAGATTTTAAGTTTATAGAAGACTATAACCTCTTTAATGAACAGTTGATCTATTGCATCATGAACTGTATTCACTATTTAACATTTGGGAATAAATGATTGCAAGGACTTTGCAACCAGGAAATTCTCAAACCCAGACATTTTGTCAACACAGTATTCCGGTTGTGAAATATTAAACCTGTAGAGTTTCAAAAATTTAATGTTTCAAAAGTTGGGTTACGAAATGTTATACTACAAAATACTATTCGTCAGACTGAAACTGGTCTGTGGAAATACATTAAAAAATAGGCTTCCAGCCAAAGTGTGTGTTTGCTACTTGAAATAATTTTTTATGTGTCTACTTTGACTTATAACCCATCCTAAATTTACACTGTACAAAGTAAACAGATTGTAGAATTTTTAGTTTATTCTAGGACAGGTCTTATCTAGGCATGGCATCGTATTTTATAGGCTTATTTTGGAAGACTGTTCATTTCTATCATTATGCTTATGATGTTCGTATCCCATCATTCCTCTAAAACCGGATTTACTTTTTCCACTTACAAGTGAGATGACTGCTAACTGTTTACTGTACAGCCCCCTTGGGCCAGTAGACACAAAAAGAACCAAAAACTATATGGAAATTGTTAGTGAAATAGGTGCACAGAATCTTTAACACTAAATTATTAGTAAAATAATATTTTAGGTTTAATATTTTTATGACCGACAGCATATTTTTTTTAAAGATTAAAACAAAGTGTCTATGGTATCACTTTATCACTCTAATCTTATTAATATCTACTGTACTTCATCAATTTAAACCAAATTGATTAAAAAAAAAATGACATTTAGTAATTTTATTTTATTACTTTAAAAAAACAGAGCACATTTAATGTGTTAGTTAGAGTGGTACTCTAACACATTATAATTAAATACTTTCTTCTCACTTCACCACATTTTATTCCATTTTTTGGCACAACGTTATTTAGAATTGATCGAAGTAGAGTAGAGGGTAGATTGTTTTCGTAATCGAATCAAAATAAGATAATGGAAAGTTTGATTTCAAGAATCAATCTAAAAAAAGAATCTGGTTATAAACAGAATTCAATCTTTGTTTAATAATTCAAGAGACTAGCAAATAGTAATCCATCAGCCATGAATTCCGAGAACAACCTGATGAGATGAAGATGCATCTTTGCCATTCTACCATAGATCACTAATTATACATCTCATTATCCTACTATACAGTACTATATAATAATGGATGGATGGATTTATTCAGTATACACCAAGAAGACTTATTTACACTGATGTCCTTCTGGTGGTGATTGGGTAGTACACTAGGGGACAATTCCCTACTCTTTTCCGAGTAGTGTACTACCCTCTTTAACGTGCACATGGGCCATAATGCACACAGGTCCAACGGCTTAAACGTTTCATCCGAAAGACGGTGCGCTTATCATAACTTGCATTTCAGCTCTCCAGCTGAAAACACAAGGTGTGCAGCGATGGAAATTGAACTGGGGACCTACAGTAGAGATCTCCATGGTTCAGCGCACACACAATGCCTACCACCAATTTAGCCAACTTGCTAAGCTGCTCTCTCATTTAATCTTTAAAATGTCATATGCAATGCTTGGATTATTTTGTAATTTTTCCCACTAATTGTCTTATGAATTTTGCATTTTTATTGTTGTTAATCAATTTTAATAATAATGAAACAATTGATTATTTAAATAAAATTAATTTGTATTTTATATTGCAAATTTAATTATTTTTTAAGATACTTTATTTTGTTTCATGTGATTAGCCTTGGCTGAGACTTTGATATAAATAAATAAATAAATAAATAAATAAATAAATGAATAAATAAAATAAATAATGAATGAAAAATAAAGAATAAAGAAAGAAAATGACATAAATTATAGCATTGTTACTCAAAGTGCTCTTAGTGATTTCTGCACAACATTTTTTTTGACTCGCAGCAAACATAATTCATCCTTTCATTTATACTAGAAAGATAAAAATCCTGAGATTTTCTTCCTGTGATTAGTTATGATGATTGTACAGGTAAGTGTAGCCTTATATCTTAACACACCCACCACTGACATTAAGAATGAACTATTAATGTTGTGAAACTGTGGCACTCAAATAGGTTGTGAGCACTGCTATAAGCTGAGTATTTGCTAACTCTACTCTAGTTAGAAACCCTTACAGGTGGGTCTGTCGCAAATAAAGGTTACCTATTAATTACATTAGACAGAAGAGTTTTGCGTTACTAGAAATACCATCAAATAAATTACATTAGAAATGAAATTACACCAGCACAATCTTGAATGCATAGCAATGCAAGTGCCATTTCTGTTGCTTATAGCAAATGGCATATCATCAATACTACAGTATACCTTTTATTTACATATCACAGGTTCTGTGGTGCATATCCAGTAGATACAAATTAATCTCAGTGAGAAGGTTATGATAATAAAGAACACATTGTAAAATATTTCATTGAGTTACTACGTCTAATCAATAACTACATCTAGTAGATTGAAGAGAGAAGACGTGGTTTAAAACTCACCATTCCATAACTACGAGAAGACATCGTGTACCATTGTAAATGTTCTCGTACACATCCTTAATATTGACTATCTGTTTACAAGCCGACGCCCTCCAGTGTAATTCAACTTCTCGTTCGGCTTTCGCACTTCCACGTAATACCTAGAAAAAACAATTGTCACATTAACTGTCATAATTCAAACGTGATAAAGTATGTATTGCTGTGTCAGTCATATAAAGGGAATAACTTTTCCATAAATCCGTCTCTTAAACAGTTTAATACGTACTTTTCAGTTTTTTGAACACCACCATTTTATTTTTTGTTGTCACTGTTTAGAATTCCAGTATCATTCCAACTCGGTGGGTTTCCTTTTAAAACGCCACTGTTTGTGAACTTACCCTTAAATTATATTTGTATTCTTTCCTCCAACACCATATCCTACAGTACCCTTTTGTTGTTTGTGCCTAGCACCGTGTTAATTTAAAACCAAATCCCACGTCAAGCCTTTCTATATAAGCTTTATAATCCTAAGTTTTTTAAGTTTACATCATCACATTAAACATCTCATTAATTTTAATATTCCTGGCTAGATTGTTTCCATTTTGATTTTTTGCATCCTCTAAAAAAATAATTTAAATAAACCCTAATTGTTTTACTAGTAACAATAAATATCAAAATTGATAGTCGCAGCTTTTATAATACATATGAGGCATGTCGTGGCGAAATGGTTAAGTTGTCGCTCAGGCCAGTATTGAGTAAATGAGCTATAAAATATGGGAGCTCAAAAAATTGCCTAAAAATCCAAATTTGTTTTTCACTATAGATCAACAGTTTAATGTCTTATTAATCATGTACAATCATGTACCGAAGTATTAGTTCTGGAAGTTGTCAACAAATTGTTTATTTAATGTTATTTTGATAGTTCATTCTATTAAACAATATGCATAAATAACTTCGAAAAGCAATTACTCAAAATCATGTTTATCTTTATTCTAAAGCCCCTATCGCACTGGACTTAATTTAGTCAAATTAACCGAGTTACTGGCTAAATTGACCAAAAAAAATCCAATCCGAACGTCGGTTACAATTCCCTCAGGGTTAAATTAACCAAGCCGAACGTTTAATTTTACCGACCTTAGCCTGCCCAGTAAAACTTAGCACGGTCTCGGTTAAACTAACCACGCTGGTCAAGAAGTCCAACCTGAACGTGCAACCCGGTTAAAACTTCTTCCATGTTGACACCGCTCGAACAAAACCGGAAGTTGAAGTCACAAACTAGCGCCCTCAATAATATTTTTTATGCACAAGGTTGAATCTTGGTAAAACTATGGTAAAACTAACCGCGTGAATAATCCAAGTGTGAACAATGGTGAAATGTACCCATGACTATGGTTAAAGTTACCCTGGTTAAATTTGCCATTTTTTAAATCCAGTGTGAACAAGGCTTAAAGTGTACTCATGTATCTGAAAATACCAATAACTTGAATTTCAATTTTTGCTACAACTGTATTCATTTTGCCACAACATGTCTCATATTCTTTTTGAAAAAAACTGTGCATTTGGGTGGTAATGGTAAAATAGTTGTACATTGTCATGGCAGTGATTATGCTGGAAATACTGATGTTGTCTAAAAGCTCATTCACACTCAGGGCCAGATTTTTTAAAGTGAAACAATCAAAAAATAAATGTTAAGTTAGTTTATATTGCAGGACCTGGGCTGACATATTTTCATCTGAACATAAACCGAACTTAAGTCACCAAGGTCACTATGATAGCTTATACCACCTTTATACCGTAACATTTCACCCAAAAACCAGACGCAAAGGAGGAAGTGTGAACGTTCGCAGTACGACCCTAAGCTGACATAAAATGCTAACAGCAAATGGAACGGTCGTTTTCAGATGCCCGTAGTTAAGAGGGAACTGGGTCAATATAATAAGGGTGGTTAGGCTCTAACACTGAGTGGTTTATCTACAGTATATTGGTAAGATTTGTCGAGTCATTTTGTAATAATTTGCTTTGAGTACTTGGCTAGGTTCCATCTTGGCATACCAGTAAATCACAAATGAACACCCAAGTGTAAGTAAACATACGCATGTTGCACCGGATACATCCTACAGCTGTTAATATTTACGGTGTACACTGCCAATGTAAAAACTCAGACTTTCTACTATAAACGTTTTATTCCACTCAATTTTTAAATTGTTGCTAATAACAAAATATCTTTTCCATTAAAAAATAAATGGCATTAAGCTGCAGATCTGGCATGAACTTTTGTTTTTTTTTTCTTTTGCTATCTTGTATTGAGACTGGGGAAGCACGAAAAAAAAAAAAAAAGAAGCTTAATGTACTACCCCCTCCCCTCTTGCGCCCCTTTCTCCCACTGGAACAATATTACGCTGAAATAGTTTGTAAAATCACTCCATATTTGCCAGTTAATTCCCCTCACTTAACCTCTGGTGCCCCCTCCTTCCCCTACAGTATCAGCTCTATGTCAATATTCCAACATACATGCAATGGAAGAAATCATGAAAGATAGTCATTAGTATATACTATAATCTATCAAAAAAATTGATCAATCGCAGATTAATGCTATTGTAATTTCATTAAAAAAAATAGGCCTAACATTTATAATTCTGGCACACACATGTAAGTATTGTAAGTCCTAATTCCTACCTTCAATGCATACTTCTCCCCTGTGAGTTTATTGTGGCATTCCAGTACTTTTCCGTTGATTCCTAGGCCTAGAACTTTCTTGGTTAGTACATAGTCATTTGTGATGGGAATTTTCTTGGGGGAGAGGACCTTGCGCCCCTCGCCTGTTCCAGACTGCAACGTTGACTGGTTATCACCCATTCTAGGCTGGCTCATCTATGAACAGATACAGAGATGTTTCAGAATTAAATGTTATTATTCATCCGTATACTTCGAGGGGATTTTAAATTGAAATTAATGATATCAATATCGAAACTGCCTGGTGAAATGGACTATGTGCCCGAAGAAATTTTAGTCAATACTCCACTCTCTAAATTACTTGTTTTTACTTAATTCATTAAAGCAACGACTTTTGTCCAATTCTATTTTTTTAGGGACAGTGCACAAAAGTTCTTTTCTATTAAATGTATATACTTGTCTTTAGACAAATGAGACCTTTATTTATACCTTGTACCATGAACCCACCGTTGATAAAGATTTCAAATAAAAATACAATTTTACTTTTGGCTGTTCACAGCACAACTGCAGTAAATATGAAAAATTAAGTTTATGAAACCAAACAATTTTTATATTAAATTTTATTACACCAACCAGTATGTAATATCCCTATAAGAAATCTTCATTCCCCCTTCCAATGTTCTTACAAAAATAAACTTCAGTATTTAGGCACAATAAAAAAAAAGATTAGTTTATCATCCCAACTTGCATGTCGTCTATGATATTGAAGAAAAAAACATTTTTGAATTTTTTTTTCCCATTTTTAAAGTAAACAGTTTGTAGATACGGTATTTTTTGTATTATCTCATTCATGTAATTTAATTTGAATGTCAATGCACTAACAAACAACCCAAGAGTAATATTTGTCTTCAGCAAAATAAGAAATAAAAAGCCTCACCCCTCATCACTTTTCCAGACTAGATAGGATGATAAACTAAATATTCTCATTGGGCCTTAAAACAAGGTATAAATAAACACTCTCCTATCTATGTACTTCCTACTATATGCTTTATCACTACAGACTACAGTACTTTTATCCAAGTACTGATACTAACGTTATTTCTAATCTTAGACAAACAACTTGATCCTGGTTAGGATAAAAACCACATACAGTTTGATATGTACAGTTTATTCAAATTCACTGAAATAGAGGGAAAAATCTCAATAACTCATACATATTCTAAGATAGTAAAACAAAGAAAAACATAAATCACAGAAAAATATTTAAAAATATGTCTGTACTGGGTTGAGGAAGGGGAGAAATGGGGGTGGGGGAGACCACACAAGTTTATCAAATTACAAGTTGTACTTTACATAGTCAATATCAATAAAAATGAGAAACTGATAAAAAAAATGAAATAGGTATTATCACAACTGTTTAATATAAAATATAAAGAGACTAAATATAGTAAAATACAATAAATAGACATTAACTTCGATGGATACTGATGACATGAAAAATGATGGATATGAAAAAACTGATTCACAAGACCAATTGGTGGTTAAATAAAAAAAAAAATCCCAAGATATAAGTGTTATTCACCAACATACCATGTTGAAATCCATTTTGTAAAGCATAGAGGCCTTGTTTGGCATGATATTAAAACCGAAATTATAAACAACATTTGATACCAAGTGATATCTAATTAACCTTTGTTGATTTTGTTAGCCATCCTTTTATCTTTGTTACTATTTCAGGAAATTATGTAATTTTTCACTTTAATTTTAAAACTGATACAGTATATATTTTTGTAAATTTTTCATTTAAAGTTTAATGTATTTACAAAATGAATGGATAATATTTAAGACCAATTTAAAAAAAAATAAAAATACATGAAGATTCGAGAGTTAAATGTGTTTTCATACAATTTTAAGCTTTGTCTACTATCAAATCTTATGGGCAAACATTTTTCTGAGTTAATACTACCCATATATGGACATGGTATTGTAATGTTGTCACACCCTATAAACACATAGCAGTTACTGTCACATTAAAATTGATTGTGTGCAAAGAGTAACAATAGAGAACTTTATTACGCAAAAGGTTCTGTTCATACTACACTACAATATCATTTTAAGTGACAAATAAATATGATATGCCCATATATGGATGCAATATGACATTATTATGCCCATATTTGGGCACATCATACAAATTTGGCACATGAAATGTTATACTGTATTGTAGACAGAACTTAGGATTACTTCACATGTAGCTCAAAAAGGAACTATATAACTTCCTTATTAAGTTTCTCTTAAAACACAGGAAAATTTGCTGAAAATTGCAAAGCATGAAGCAGCCTTTGAAGCAATATCAATCAACAAGCAGGTTTATATTTTAAAGAGTATCATCTATGATCTAGTGTCTGGGGTTTTGATGTTAACAAGAGAGTACAGTAATATGAATTACCATAAATCCTCAAATAAGCGAAGCACCAAACACGATTTTTTTTCGCCAGATGCCGCTCTCGAATAAACGCCACAGTGCTTATTTAAAAGTACATAATTACCCTATGTGAAACAGGGTAATTTGAAAAACAGGGTATGCGAGATAGGTAACATGAAAACAGGCATGGGAAGTGCCACATCAATATAATTTAATAAGCGGCGCTCTCAAATAAGTGTCGCTCTGGAATAAGCACTGCACTATAAAACCTCCAAAAATGTTATAAGCGCTGCAGCGCTTATTCAAGGAATTACGGTAACTCAACAAAAAGCAATGGTGACAAACATTAACCAATCAATTTAGAGCTTTTTCCACACTATGAAATTTTGTGTCACAAATTTGTGAGATGTGATATGATGTCATATTACACCCAAATATGGGCATCACATTTTAATATTTGTCACATCAAATTTCACAGTATGGACAGAGTGCTTAAAGCCCCATTCCCAGCAAAATTTCATTAAAACAGATTTTTTTTTATAGAAAAGATGCATATGCATTACTCCAATTATTATAAATCATGGAAAAATATTGGCATAAATTTTAGTTTTACGCAAAAGAATTTAAAAAAAAGAGAAATACAGACTATTTCTCATAGAATATTACCATTTTCTCGACGAGTTCTTCGTTACTAGGCAAATTCGGAGGTTGTAGATCGCATCCGCTGGAATACTCTCGCTTTTATGTATACTTTATACATTCAATAAAGTGCGCCCTCTCTAATGGGATTAGTTTTTGTACTTCGCATCTCGCACAATGCGGTCGTTCGAGTAGGCCTGAGATATGTTTGTTTACTGTAAGTTTCAAAATCTCAGACAGAATCAGTTTTTTAACAAATTTGAAATAATTCCTATGAAATATTATACTGTATTTCACAAGTGTCAATCTAGCAACAGAAAATATCATGTCGGCCGTTTTTAGGTGAGATAACAGAACCTAAATCGAGGTAAGGCTAGGCCTAGCCTAGCAGTGTTGGGGGGCTAATGTTTTCGGCGCCTACTATATTTCTTCGCACGACCTATCGCAAAATCAAACATGAAAAATTCATCTGCGTTTATTTTTTGTGTGGAACACAAAAAATCAAATTTCAGTCTTATTTTACATTTTTTTCATGCTTAGGAATGTCAAAATTTAGTTAAACTAGCAATTCCATATTATATTTATAAATCTTTAAAACATTATACAAAAATTAGATTTTTCTTAACAACTGAAATTTTGCCGGGAATGGGTCTTTAAAAGGCTTTACTACAATGATTCACAATAATGGTATGCAAAAATCTGAAATATTATTTTGGATGATTAAAAAAACAATCTAACATATTAGGAGGCAGTATCGGTATTTTGAAATGGGAAAAATAATCTGATTATCCACCGGTGATACATGTTAATATGACCTCAGCTCCCATGATGCATCAGTACAAGACAACCATCAAAACATCAATTTTAAATGCAAAAGGTACTTTTAAAAAGGGGAGATAGAATGACAATCTTAAATACGCATAACACCACATAAAATACAGTAATCAATTACAGAAAACATAATTATGAAAGTAAACGACGCATATCAGAACAAGAAATTTAAATATCAAATATCTACTTGAATGTAATTGGTTAATATCCAATAAGGCCACCATGAATGTTCAACCAGAAATACTTAAACTATATAATAAAAACACCAATTATAACAGGCAAATGATATAAACAGTATAATAAAATTGCTTCCACACAGTCAGTGCTTCATACTTATTATTACTGTATATATTATTTTAAAATAACGTTTAAAAAAAAATTCAATCTCAATTTCGTATAGTTTAATTCATGATCAGGGAGGCTCGGACCGGATTAGCACTTGACTTCCAATTCCAGGATCCTTGGTTCAAATCTGTGAACTATCAGAATTCTGTTTCTGGAAAACCCTTCCCTCTCCCCTCAAGAAAATTTACCTAATACTGAATGAATTTGTTCAGGCAATGTTTCAATTAGAGATAAAAAATTAAAAATACGACTGTTCAAAATTGCTTGTTGCAGAAGCTGTTTCTAAAGTAGAGTTAGTAATCTTTACCAAGTTGAAGTAAATTTAATGTTACATGTAAAATTAGAGAACCTGTGATTCATAATCCTGTACAATTAAAATCCATGCAAAAAACTTGTTGTTTAGCATCCGACTACTGAAAAGAAGTCAGGGTTGGGAGAAATATAGCTTTTTGCAATAGGCTGCGAAAACATTAACAAAGGAATCACAATTAATGACACCTGCAATGACACCTAAACTAAATAATTTAGGTTTTCATTCATGGGAAATTAGAATTTGACATTAATGTATCATTATTTGTGTGACACTAGCATAAATTACCATATTAATCACATTTAAATATCATTTTTGGATTAATTTTATAAACAAACAGCGATAAAAGGTTTAAGATAAAAAGCAAAGTTTAATCTATTTTTTTCTACGCCAGTAAATCCAACTAAATTACTTGTTAGTTCATAATAATACTTTACAGTACCTTGCCAAATTCTTGAATTTAAGACCTGATACGTTTACCAAGATAAAAAACGAAAGATACATGGTCAGTTTATTACAAATAACTTGAAACATTGTGGTTCAATATGTAGTTAGGCTAAATATAACTATTCTGTAATTGATCGTCGTCATATCGAATTCGCACCTTCTCCCTGTGCTGGTCCGTGATTCATCATGCAGTTTACCTATTCACACATGGAAATGGAATATTCCATTCCATATTTTTCGTTGTAAAATAATCTTCCGTATATCCCAAAAATGAAAGAACAATATTGTATAAATATTTACTGTTTTGTCTCTTACAAAACATCTCAGATGATAATAACTAGTTGAGACTAGGCCTAATATTTTGCCCGACCCTTGGCACTGAGAGCCTTCTTGCGGTACGGTACACACAAATTACAATACAAAACGATGAATATCGCCAGGCTAAACTCTTGTAATCCTTGCTTGACAATAAATACACCCCGGAAGAAGATATTACTACGTTGAATTCTCCACAAAAAAAAGACGTAAACCGCCACAAAATCCAAGCCACATTAATATGTTTACATCTTAGTTTCTAAACACATCTAAATGAAATATTTACCAATCTTTGAATTGGAGAATTGACCGATATTTGATGTCTGTTTTCGTACACACAAAACCTCAAACAGAATTTCAGAACAGCGCCACACAGTCGATCGGATGACTTGCTTGCAAATAGGTGGCGCAATGTCATGGATTTTTAACACACACAGGCACATACGATTTACATGTAAAATAGATCGTAGTTTATTTTGAAATATTCTATTTTATATTGAATTTATACAGATTGTATGCCATGTTTTGTGTTATATTAGTTTCTACCATACTCACCTTTATAAACTGTTCATACATGCTATAAATATATATATAAATGTAAAATGCGAGAGCGTATTAATATTTTAAATGTGAACAGAGAGTGGAAGAGCTGTAATATTTTTTACTATGGCGTCGATTTGAGGATATCCAGGCGTGTCACTAATATTTTTTATTTCACCTCAGAAAACAAACATATCACTTTAAATGAAGTATCAACAACCAAGAGACTCTTCAAGAAGAATTAAGGATAGTCCTGAAATGCACCAACGCATGGGAAGAGACGATCGTTATGACACAAGAGGAGGCGGAAAATCTGGGCCCGGAGGTGCAGGTCGCGGAGGTTACAGCAGGCGAGACTTCTACGACGGTGACAAGCGGCGTAGAGATGATTTTGAACCTAGGGATAGAAATAGTTTCGGCAGCCGTGGATCTGGGTATAAGTATGACAAAGATAATTACTATAAGAGTTTGAAAGTTACAAACTTTCCAAGCCACGTTTCTGATAGTGCAATTAGGGATGCATTGTTCCATGAATTTAAAAAATTTGGTGACGTTAAAGTGAAAGTAACTCATGGAGGAGATGATAGAATTGCGTTTGTAAATTATGCATTTGCAGAACATGCAAAGGAAGCGAAGTTAGCAAAGTCAGGGAGGCTAACACTTTTTGGAAAACCACTTTATGTTGACCCTGTTTACAGACGGAGAAGTGTTTCTCCTGATTTGGGATATGGGCCTAGATCATCTCCAGGCAGGCGAGTTGGTGGCAGTTATCCCAGAGAACCAGGTCCACGTGACCATGATTTTCAACCTTATGAAAGTAGACGCTTCTCTGGTGGAAGTGGAGATAGCTTTCGTGATAGAGAGCCTTTGCTTCTTCCTGAGGATGATCCAAAAGCAACTCGTACTTTGTTTGTGGGTAATTTGGAAGGTGATATTCCTGAGAGCGAATTAAAGCATGTTTTTCAACGATTTGGAATAGTTGAAGATATTGATGTAAAACGACCAGCGCGTGGCCAAGGCAATTCATATGCATTTGTTAGATTTTGTAATCTTGACCAAGCTCATAAAGCAAAGATTGCAATGCAAGGTAAATACATTGGTAGGAACCAAGCTAAAATTGGCTATGGTAAAGCCCAGCCAACGACTCGTTTGTGGGTGGGTGGTCTTGGCCCTTGGACGTCACTGGGAGTGCTTGAGCGTGAATTTGATCGTTTTGGAGCAATTAGAAAAATTGATTACATGAAAGGAGACAACTTTGCTTTTATTTTGTATGATTCCTTAGATGCTGCACAAGCAGCAGCTTCCAATATGCGCGGTTTTCCTCTTGGGGGTCCAGATCATCGTTTGCGCTTAGATTTTGCTGAATCGTCGCATGATCAACGGTCAAAATTTACTTCCTATGGTGATCGTGCTGCCTCACCACGTCGTAACCAGAGAGATGATTATGAGCAAGGATTTCGCTACAATGCTAGCAATAAAGATTTTGATAGTGGTAGAGGTCGTCAAAATTATGGTAGAAATGACGCTGTTGACGACGGTGGATATCGTCAAAACCGTGGAAACTGGCAAGAAAATCGCTATGGAAATAACTGGAGTAGACCAGACAGGGATTCTTATGACTCCAGAGACAGTCGCAAGCGTCCTATGTCGCCCTCCAGTGACCAATCTCGTGAACGTTCACCCGACAGACGTAGTTATAAGAAAGTGCGAGGTAGATCAACTGAGCCAAACGAAAGGACTCCGGAAAAACGCATGGATGACCAGTTTGATTCTGCTGGAAGTGATCATTCTCCTGAACAACCAAGACGCCATGGTTCAAGAGGGGGCGATGATGATAGTAATGTATTTCGTGTAAGAAAACGTGATCGAGAAAGTAAATCTGACAAATCAAGTCGAATGCGTGAACGAATTTCTGCTGTTGAAAGTGTTTTTGACCTGCAAAAATATTTTGGTGCTGCTTGGCATGGTTTTATTGTGTTAAAAAATAGTGCTTTTTGTACTCGCATGCACTTGTTAGATGGTGATATTTCAATCGTTGAGTCGCTCCTCGGTTCTGGTAAAAATGAGGAGGAACAAATTTTACGCATCACACAGCGTTTACGTCTTGACCAACCTAAATTAGAAGAAGTGACTAAGAGGATAACATCAGCTGGAACTGATGGCCATTGTTTATTGTTGGCACTGCCGGCTGAGGATTCTCCCAAGCTGCCCAACGGCACCCAGTCTCGGACTCTGAGGAACCTGGTGACCTATCTGCAGCAGAAGGAAGCAGCAGGTGTGATTAGTCTGCCTGTCGCAGGTCACAAGGACAAGGAGAGTGCTGGGATATTACACGCCTTCCCACCGTGTCAGTACTCACTGAATCATCTTTTGCGCATTGCTCCCAATCTAGGCGGTGATCCATCAATAGGGGATCACTTAGTAATTATCATTGTGCGTGGTATTGCCTAGACTTCATGTCGACAAATGTAGATAAGCAAAAAATGTGATTTTTAACTTTTATGATTAATGAAAAATGAACAGATAGTAAGCATATAAAGATGTCATTTAATTACATGTGTGATAATTTTGTTTGATATCAATTAAGTTTATTATTTAAAATTTAATTTCATATAGTTTTGAAGTTGAATTTTACTGGAAATATTTTTTAATTTTGTAAAATTTTGTTAAAATTCATCAATGCAGTTTTAACACATTTCTGTATTGTATAGTTTTGTTTGTGTCTAAGCTAAATCAGATGCTGATTTGGTCACTGTAAATAATTTGGATCAAACATCCATCCTTACTGACATTTTAATGTTCTGTCAGCAGTGCTCTACAAATACACAGTATGTTATATTTTAGTATTTTATTTGCAAAAAACTTAAACAGTATTGTGCACGAGTTAAAATTACTCTAAATTTTGTGACGTTTCCACTGATGTACAGTATTTCAAGACAATAATGGAGGTTGTTATAGTGGGTTTTTTTTTAACTGATTACACAAGTGTTGGATTACTAATTAGTTGATAGCAAAAAAAATAAGCAGTTTGATACAGGATATCTTGTCAAAATTCACGAATTGTGTGTTTTAAAAGTCGGTTTGATTTGTTGTATGGATGGATGTGAAGTCTATGTGTGATTTTTCAAAAATCGTTTGCATCTTGTTTCTCAACTGCCGCCTTAATGAACAACCTTTGTGAAGTCTTGACAAGTAATTGATGCCATTGCAGCAAAAGCCAATAAAGCTGACATATTTGAGTATGTGAATGACAATATTATTAAATGCTGAATGGCCTTTGAAATTAAAGGCAGGATTTTATCAAGTTTTCTGATAGCAATTTACATCATGTCTCTTTGCAAACAACTCCTGTGATTAATATCGTAGTGAAGATTATGATTTCATTATCGTTTAGAATTTTATTTTTAATTTTGTTAAAATATTGCGATGATTTTTACCACCCTGATAACCCCTGATGTTGAAAATATATTGAACTCGCAAACAAAATAGTATATCATATATTGCCTGCATGGATAAAATCTATCCGTTGTGATTGGTTGAAAATTGTTAAAATTTCAAATTCATGTGATATCACTTGGAAATGAAGATGCTTGATGAAAAGTTTATCGGAAGTTGCCGAAACAAAACGTATCCTGCAAAAAATGTGACTACGCATTTGGTACATGAATAATGATGTCTACTGTACATTCAACATAACTGCTCGACGTGATATACCAATGCAAATGGATTGTGATTTGAATGTGATTGAGCAATACCAATACCAATTTAATGGCAGCATGAAAGGTGATTTTTTGAACTTGCCAATGATGGAAAGGATACTGTTTTGATAATACAGTTACCTCACATTTTTCACTTGCAGGTGAGATATGTCAAGGAGAAATTGATTCCTCTTGAAATTGCTTTTTACACATCAGTTTTTTGTTTATATCAAGAAGTATTTACCAATGGTGCAATATTTGTTATTACTGAGTGAATTATGGAGTTCAATACGCGATTTTGAAATGTTTTCTTGTGTCGTTTTTAAAAGGAACAAGGCGGTATAACCGTATGTTTTGTAAAATGATCATCGATATCCAATTTTTGCCCTGAATGTTTTTATTATTTGGAATTGTGGAATAAGTTGCTATAAGGTGCTATTGATAGAATATAGAAAAAAAATTATCTTGTGCAATATATACAAAATATCAGTATTTGTTTACTGAATATGAAATACTTAACAGATTCCAAAGATTGTTTGAAGTGCCTACTTTCTGCAAGAAAATATGTGCCTTGGTTTTGATAAATGTTAATGCCAAAAATTTACAAAAACAAATTGTGTGTGACAGATGTTTTCATCGTATTTTGTTCTATCACCTTGATGGGGGAAAATGGAGCGAGTATTTACAGTATTGTAGAACAGATTTTAGTTTTGATGTTGATACCGAGAAGGCGAGTATTATTTTGCTGAAGGCGAGTAAGTACGGTACTGACATCCGGTTAACAATTTACGTCTTCTTTCACTCCACTAACTTGTCTTGCTCTTTTTATGTTTGAATTTCAGCTGGACCATCCAACGACCTGTTTCTATGGAAAGACTAGGATTTTTGAATTTGGCAACAGAATCATTTCATTTAATGCTTACAAGTGTGGGAAATTCTAAAAGAAATAATTACAGTGGATTTACAAGACAAGATCAATCAATTGGAACCAATCTCCTGATTCATTTGTACTACGACTACTGGATTAGCTAAATTTAATTATGTGATATTACTATAGTTTCTTGCATACAAGGCCACTCCTAATCTCAGCTTCCCCCTCAAATTACAATTCTGAAGGTACAGTTAACCAAGTGCATCAAATCGCTATCTAGGCCTATTTGGCTACCTGGGACTCTTTGTGAAGCCTCTGAACTAGATGTACTGTACCTTGCACTTTGACTTCAGGCCCTGTACAGTACTGGCTATCAGCCCACACCCAAAGTTATCCGATTTTGTGTTTAAGGGAATGGGCTTCTATTTAATAAACTATGGTATTATCAACAAATTTTTGAGTGGTTTTCACAATTATCAACAATTCAATATGTACTCTTTCCTATTCCTAAGAAATTTGCACGTTCTATCCATTCTCAAGTTAGAGTATACACAAATTACTATGATATTAGATTTAGTGTGTTGGTATGCAAGCTCCTCCACCATGCTTAAAAGAATATCATAGATTACGCCACAAACTAACACAAAACAGTTTGTGAAATTGAAAATTTTATTTCTGTATCTGTTAAGTTTATTTGTATATTTGCTATGTAACAAAAGAGTTCACAACAACAGCTGCAGCTCATGCTAAACTAATTATCTCGGACTGCAAACTATTTTGTGTTAGTTCATTTGTAGAACAATGATGCTATTTTGTATACATTGTGGCAGTGTTGATAATTGTGAAAATTACTGATTCAAGTGTATAATTTTTGATTATCAAAAAACAATGTTGTGTATCTGAATTTTAACTTTCCCTTATTTTTTTTGACAGTTGACAAAATGATCATGATAATAATGTAATACAGTGCAAAATACTACAGTATTTAAAATTGTTTATAAAAGAGTTTATTGAATGCATATTTTTAAATCAATTTGACAACAGGCATGTCTTTACTTAAATGATCTTATTTGAAGTATGAATTAATTATAATTTTTTATTAGGCCATAAATATGTTGTGTTCGCCAAGTACAGCAACATTTGGAAATTAGGGTTTGATCAGGATTTTATTTTTACTGTAGAGCTTATTCTATAGTTATTTCCCACTATCACTCACCCCATATATTTTCGTTAAGAAGCCATAGGACTGAAATCCATAGTTGCAGTATGAATACCTGGTAATATACTGTAGCCGTTAAAACTTCATACAAGTATTTTGGGCTTCTCGGTAAAGAAAATGTATTTCTGCCAAAAAAGAAGAAAAAATTACCCTAGATATTCCGTATTTTGGGTTGGGCGGGCAGGTTTGCGTAACACAACATTTTTTAAGGCCTTTATATGAATCCTCTGCAATGTTTTGTAAGCTTCATTCACCTATTCTTATTTATTGTGTGGGTTTGAGATGTATTGAATATGCAAGCGTTTCTAGAATTGACTCGCTTATCAGTTAAAAAATTTAGGCCTATAATCGTTATAATTGTGACTACAATTAAAAAATCTTACTTGTGGCAAACAGGCATCAGGTGTAAAACAGTACATATCTGTGTGATGCTATTTACACTAATCTGTGTGTGTGTGGTAACTATTCACACTTACCTATATTATCAGTTCTAAATATAAATTTGTGTGTGATGGCTATTCACACTTGAAATTATCTGAGAGCCCTTAAACCAAAAAGTTATACTGTTGTTTTATTAAACCAAGAAGACATCATAAAATGATGTTTAAAGGACACAGAATAATTATGTAAATTCTGTTGTAATTGCCACTTTATGTCGCTATGATCATAGAACTGTGTAGACAATCCCTAAATAGTTTCCATTTGGTTTTTCTCTGCAAATTATTCATACAATGAATGCCTGTCCCAATTTGTTTTATTTAATCTCTCATTTGCAAGGATGATAAGGCTTTTGGGGGGGGGGGTGGTGATAATGTACTGTAGGAGTGTCTTACTGATGTCTGAGTGTTTGTACATACAATGTGTTATTACATGTCCTGTATACTTGCTATAACTGAAGGTCTTTTTATGTACAGTAGCTGATCACCAAGGTTAAAAGCAGTGGCGGCGCCAGACTCCCCAATAAAAGGTCAAAGTTTACCGACAGGGGGTTCTCAGCCACACCATGGTTGGTGCAATTTTAAGAATAGGCACCCCTAGTCCCAAAATGGCAGTCTTAAACTGTAAAAATGTTTTCACAACAAAATGACTGGCTTCCTTCCTGATGGGGTACTGGTGCCACCCCTGCGTAAAGGTTTTCAAAATTTGAAAACAAATCTTGTAACAAGTACAGTAAGACAATCAATTTTCAATGTCAATGTCGTCTCATGTCATGATGGGAATTTTTGAAGAATTAGAATTTAAAATATACAATAATGACTTCCTTGTTCTTTTTAATGTGTTCTGTGCCACTAAGTATTAATGAAAACATTAGTACTGTACTGTATACCTGTCTCTTATACACATCTAGATGTGTATAAGAGACAGTCCCTGCTTGTCCTTGTGTTTCAGCTGGAGGGCTGAAATACAAGTTACAAAAGCGCACCGTCAGATGTGTATAAGAGACAGCCTATATTATCAGTTCTAAATATAAATTTGTGTGTGATGGCTATTCACACTTGAAATTATCTGAGAGCCCTTAAACCAAAAAGTTATACTGTTGTTTTATTAAACCAAGAAGACATCATAAAATGATGTTTAAAGGACACAGAATAATTCATGTAAATTCTGTTGTAATCGGAATTGCCACTTTATGTCGCTATGATCATAGAACTGTGTAGACAATCCCTAAATAGTTTCCATTTGGTTTTTCTCTGCAAATTATTCATACAATGAATGCCTGTCCCAATTTGTTTTATTTAATCTCTCATTTGCAAGGATGATAAGGTTGGGGGGGGGGGGTGTGGTGATAATGTACTGTAGGAGTGTCTTACTGATGTCTGAGTGTTTGTACATACAATGTGTTATTACATGTCCTGTATACTTGCTATAACTGAAGGTCTTTTTATGTACAGTAGCTGATCACCAAGGTTAAAAGCAGTGGCGGCGCCAGACTCCCCAATAAAAGGTCAAAGTTTACCGACAGGGGGTTCTCAGCCACACCATGGTTGGTGCAATTTTAAGAATAGGCACCCCTAGTCCCAAAATGGCAGTCTTAAACTGTAAAAATGTTTTCACAACAAAATGACTGGCTTCCTTCCTGATGGGGTACTGGTGCCACCCCTGCGTAAAGGTTTTCAAAATTTGAAAACAAATCTTGTAACAAGTACAGTAAGACAATCAATTTTCAATGTCTGTCGTCTCATGTCATGATGGGAATTTTTGAAGAATTAGAATTTAAAATATACAATAATGACTTCCTTGTTCTTTTTAATGTGTTCTGTGCCACTAAGTATTAATGAAAACATTAGTACTGTACTGTATACCCTACACTTGGCAGTGTAACCATAACATTTCAACCATATTTTGATTTTGAGACATGGTTCTGCCACAAAACAATTAAGGAATGAAAATATAAATAAAAATTTTGACTTCCACATAGTACATATGCTAGAAATTTAAAGGGTATGCAGTATACCAAGACTAATGATATTATTAGTTACAAAAATTAAGTTATTATTTTGTTTGGCAAACCTGGAATATAATATATAAATTATTTTATTTTCATTTGTTTGTTATTTCGGTATAAAAACACACTCGCATCAATTACAGAGGGCAAACCTGTGAGCTTGCAATCAAAATACAGTAAGAAACATTAAAAAAAGACAGATAAAAAGCCAATAAAAATTTTAAAAAACCAATCAATAAGTTAGCAATGCAATCAAGACAATGAACAACTTAGCATACAATCAAGTCAACGTCCAATTCAGTTTTTGCTGATCTGTGGCAGAGTTACAAAAAGCCATTGACTAAAGCCTCTCTCCCACAAGGGGTTTTTCCAGCATACGAGTTACAAGAGTTTGCCGAGTTGCTAACTCAACAAACTCGGGGAGAACTCTTACCTACTCGTAGTGCTAATTTTGAACATGTTAAAAATTAGCGCCACGAGTAGATAACTTGTAGTACTCCTCGGTGGTTTTGTCATCTACGAGTTTGATGCGAGCACCCCGAAACAAGTACGAGCGCACTGAGTTGGCTCGTACCTAACTCGTATCTTATTCTGTACAAACTTGTTACGCTCGTAATAATCTTGTGGTTAACTCGGTGCTCTGCTCAGCATAATTCGTACATAACTCGTAGCTAACACGTGATAAACTTGTATAGGTCCTTTCCAAAGATCACAAGTTTTTAACTCGTAGAAATCGTGCGACTCTTAGGTGAAATAAACCTAGGTGAGAGAGGGGCTTTAGCCAATAAAAATTAAATAATTTATGCATCTGTTAATTCACGATGAAAGTAAATTTTTCTGGATCTATTTTTCCATAGAAATTAAGAGCTAATAACTTAATGGTAGATTACATTTGGTTTTAACTGAAATGTGCCTGACAGCGATCTTGCGGCCGACGAAAATGAATGAAAACCCTATATGTGCGGCCCTCCAAAATACCGATCGTATGTAAAAAATAACATTAAAACCGAAAATAATGTGGCGTAAAAGCAGACTTGGAGGTTTTTAGAAGCACGCTGGAAACACCAAAGTTTAAGTGCGGCCCTCAGTGTTAAAATGAAAAATTCACTTTTGCTCTTTGATTTTTATGCCCACCCCAGCGGCTTAATGAAGAATCTAGATCCCCAGGGGTATTTGGGTGTATTTTGGTGTGCAGTGCTCATTAAAAAGAAAATGCTGATAATATCCCAAAGGCTGGGGCCTTGGCGCGTTACATCACTGGTCCAACCTTGAAAATGTTCAACAGACCCTAAATGAATGAAACAACCTTTGAAGAATACAGTACAGTATTTCTAAATTTTTGTTCTATCAAGGCCAGACGAAGACAGAAAATCTTGGAATAATTAACGTTCATTAATCGCATATTGGAGTTTGCCCAAACAATTTCATGTATTTCTACTGAACCTCCAATCCAGGCAGAAGTTCAACGATAGAGAACAGCTTCGCTAAGTTGGCTGATCTGGTGGTAGCCACTGTGTGTGTGCTGAACCGTGGAGGTCTCTAGGTCCCTGGTTCAATTCCCATCGCTGCCTCTCCTTGCGTTTCAGCTGGAGGGCTGAAATACAAGTTACAATAGCACACCGTCTTTCAGATAAGATATTTAAGCCGTTGGTCCTATGTGCATGTTAAAGAACGCAGGATACTCTTCGGAAAGAGTTGGGGATTGTCTACTGGTGTACTTACCAATCGCCACCAGAAGGACCCCACTGGAAATAAGTCTTCTAGACTTTCTAGTCCTTGGCTAACCTTGGTGTTTACACCAAATAAATCCAAATGTTGCTGAAGACACACGTTGTACAACAAGGAATCAAACCATGTCTGTTATTGCATTAGCCACATTTAATGTAAAATATTGAAATAATTATTTACAACAAGATTATGCTCTTACTAACACTTTATAAGCACAAAAATATACACGCATCAAAACTAGACTTGTTGAGGATTATTCAATAATTCCATTTCACTTTTTCTACCTCACTTATTTGATTATCAACATATGAAAAGTAAACTCTGAAAAAAAAATGAATTTATTTTGATATTAAAATATTACTTGGAAATATATATATATAAAAATCACTGAAATAAAAATTAAATTATGAAAGCTGAAGAGATTTTGCGGATGTCTGGCAAAAATGATAATGGACATCATAATAGAATTACTGTGATAGTCCGCCGAGCGAAATTTCTTCATGATGTGCATAATATCATGACTATATTTAGGCATGTCCTATTTTTGTCAAATGAATTGCTAGTCGAGACAGGGTTTTTTTAGACGAGAATTTATAGGCTTATTTTCTTTCTTTTTTTTTCATATTTAAAAAGCTAACTGTACAAATATACCATTCTGAAAACATAAAAGTTACAGATGACCTCCTAACAAATTAAGATTGCTAATTAGATTTATGTGAACATTTTATAATTAATAACTGGCATGAACTTTTAATTCTACTGACTATCCCAGCTTCCATAATGATACAATACTTTGAGGATTGAGGGTATTTAAATTTAAACACTACATTTAAAGATATAAAACATATTTAACATATTTACCACTTTTTTAGGCAAAAATATTAATAAATTCCAGCTTTCAATTTTGTATAAAATGCTTGAAAGACGCGAAGAACACACTTTAGTAATCCATTACTACTTGTACAACACATTATATACAGTAAGATTAAAAAGAAACGGGTTTGGTTAGTATAAAAAAACAAACACATTTATATAACAAATAAAGAGTCACACTGGTACTCATAGGGACTCAGAATTAAAACAAACAAACAAACAAACTTAAAATGAACAATTCTACAAAAACATTATCAACATAAGAATCATTAAGCAATCAAGAAATATTACCTATAACACACAATAAAACCATTTTATACTTCACATGTTTAAAAAAACAAAATAAAAGTACATAAATGCGGCTTTTATTGGCAAGGGCAAAAATCCTCTTGTTACATAACCTTATACTGTAATACAAAAATCACATTACTGTATTAACAACACTTTAACACAAATTTTACTTTACTGGCCTACTACCAGAGAGGTATTGAGATGGCTGAATGTATACAGAAATTAGTAGGCCTATTTAATGGAGGTATGAATTTACCATTGCGGCACAAATATTGGAGAACTTTCCAGAATGCTTTACAAGATTAATTTAAGGACAACATAATTCTGTTCTAGAAAATGAAGAACTTGTATAGGCCTCATGCATTGAACTCGAAAACACGGAAAAGGAAAACAGGAACACTATCGTTGACCTGGGATGTAACTATACAATAAGATCTTTATCCAATGACCTTTTAAAAATACATTGACTGGAAGTACTGTAGCTTACCTCAAGGCAGTTTTGCCGGACAGAAATGTATGGAAGGCCATTGTGGTTCGACTATTGTCCTTGTGTACTGAAACTGACTTTTTCTAAAAATAGAAAAACTGGTACACGATATGAACTATCTTATATTACACTGAAATCCAATTTGTCCTGCAAATAAAGACTTTTTTTTTAGAATCCTGTGATTTTAGAAAATAGTTTGTTATAAGCTGTCTTAGTACTGAAACCAAGGCAGAATTGAGGGAAGAGTAGAGGGCAGATGAACAAAGTGTGTGGTACTAAGCTAAACATTATAAAATTTTTCCTTGCAAGTATTGTCTCATGAATCCAGTGGCTACTTACAAAGCGTAATGCCTTTGCTTCCAATTTCCAATGAGAGTAAAAACGGGGGCACACTAGCATTTTTTTTTGGAAGGGGGTGGGGGTGTTTGGCTCCTGCAAAATCCCATAGATATGCTACTGATAGAATCCACCATGAGCAACTACATACCGAATATTTCGTTGCAGGCTTTATTTATTAAAGAAATTAGAAGTTTACAACATATAAAAAAAAAATGAGTTTTTAAGTCACATCATTCAGTAAAATGTATTCACTTAGAAACATGAAAGTAAAATATTAAAAAACCTTAAACTAATATTTAAATGCTGATTTATAAGAACCAAATCAGACAACTATCTAAAAAATATATATTTTTTTTAACTGACAGCCTTTTTACTATAAAACTCTTTAAATTGATTACCAGCCAATCTAAAGGGTCTATGCAAGGATTATAAGCATTACGTGTACAGTTTGTTTAATACACAAGAAAATTTATTTTCTCAATTTGATTCACAATTTAAAGTTAATAACTTAAATATACAGTATAGAATATTCAAATATTGAATATTATTTTTGAAGCAGAAATTATGTTTTTAAAGAGGTTTTACTGTCTATACATTTAGTGAACACAAGACTTCATTCACATTACAAATGGTCCTGAAGTAGAGCATCTGGAAATGAGCATTGGGTTCAACCATTTTATTTGCCCTCTGAAGTTCTATCCTGTCTATTAAATCTTATTTGAAAAAAAAAACTTGTGACATTCCTAGATACAGTCATGATGACATTACACCATGACTATATATAACTATAATACACATAATTGCTAAATTTCTTACATCCCTGAAAATACCTCTATAATTTATATACTGTACCTACAAAATTTAATTTCTACTTTAAGCTTTCCACTTGATTAAAAATAATATCTGTTTTTCTAAGCAAAAATAACATGGAATATATACATATTAATAATAATAATAGAATTGTTAATTATACTTATTATTTTCATATATTATGAATATCAATATTATTCTATAATATAATATTAAAATTGATAATCTGCTTATATTAATCTAAATTATTTGTTGTTATCTCAGTTATCTATATACAAAATAGGTAACAAAATTCCTAATTATATCAACATTTATAGCAATAAAAGTAATACAAAAGTAACCAAAAACTTACAACTATTTATTTCATAATTTTATGAATATATTATGTTGTGGTGGGAAAACTAAATTTAATATAGGTTTGATACATTACATAAGGCACTATTTAATAAAGTAAATAAAAAAATGAAAAATTATTAAACTGTTATAAAAACTGGTAACATGCAACAGTTTCAAAAGATAATAGTAACAATAAATTAAATTTGTATCAACAGCATTGTTGTTTTTTCATAGTGACATACAAAACGCAGACTACCTGATTTAATAGGCCATGCAACTAGGAGTGTACCATTCCACAATGTGGTAATTGACCCCTTAAATGATGTAGACTGCTAACCATGTTAACAAAAAAAAAAAAAAAAATTCTCCTAATGGAAGTGCAAACTGGGGTTTTTAAAAGACTTCCACAAAAGGGGTCACTGCAACGAGCTGGACAGTCTACAGTGGCACACCCTATTGTGGAATGGTACGTGCCTCGATGGAAACAACTAACAAGCCAGCCTTGACCATGTAAATATATATGGAAATTGATTGATTGATATTCATGATGACCTATCACCTTTAATATAATTGAGGATCAGTTAAAGGACAACTGATCAGTCTACGTTGGGTAATTTCACATTTATGATGTAAATTATTTTTATAATCCAATAATATAAAAACACAATGCTTTTGTTGCTTATACTATAGTATGAAAATTATTATTATATAAAGATACATTATACAAAAGACAATGCCATAAGAAAAAGTTTACAAATATAACAAATATGTACAAATGAGTCAACACACACAACAATAATAATTACCAGAATCATCATAATATTAATAATCATAATTATCAATTAAAAAAAATATAAGCAGTGAGATTTATTTATTACAGATTACATTTATTTTTTGTTCCTTTAATGACTACTTTGTAATTAAAATTTACAAATAATTCCTGCAATGTCATGTTGGCTTACATCATATTTTGATCTTTTATTTTATCTTCTGATACCATCAAAACAGTCTGTTTCAGACACTACAATGATAAAAGATACACTGCTAAGTGTGCTCAAATCCTATCAGATTGTGTCTGTCAGAATCAGAAAATATTTGATCATAACTTTTATGATCACTTGATGTGTTTTCTGCTAAATATGTTAAAACACTATCAGATTTTGTCTGTTAGATAAATTAGACAAACTTTTATCATAGTTTTTAAGTTTACTTGATGTTTTCAATAATTTATGCTAAATGTGTTTAAACCCTATCAGATTGCGTCTGTCAGAATCAGACAATATTTGATCATACTTTTTTATGATCACTTGATGTGTTCAATAATTTCTGCTAAATGTGTTCAAACACTATCAGATTATGTCTGTCAGATAAACTTTTATTATAGTTTTTAAGTTTACTTGATGTGTTCAATAATTCTGCTAAATGTTTTCAAACCCTATCAGATTGCATCTGTCAGAATCAGACAATATTTGATCATAGTTTTTATGATCACTTGATGTATTCACCAATTTCTGCTAAATGTGTCCAAACACTATCAAATTTTGTCTGCCAGATAAAACAGACAATATTCGACCATAGTTTTTCTCATAAAGTAGCACTGTTTAACTTCCAGCAGCAGGGAAGAAATGGATGCATTGATCAAATGTGTGAAAAAGTCTGAACAAACACTTAAATCTGATACAACCCAATATACACTACATTCACCTACCCACTCAAAAATATTCTATTCTTATAGATCCATTGCACTACATCTTTGGAAATACACAACAATTATTTAGATTCATAAAATTGAATTTAGATCTGAAAAAAAACATGAAGCAAATGCATTGCATTGATATCAGTACAAATAGTGAGAGACTACTCAACAGATTATACAATAGGAATATTTTTCTAACAATTGTTGCTACACTGTTTGACAATTCATTACTAATAATTCACTTCACTAGCTGTGATCTGGCTTTTTTGGTCTGGATGGAACAGGGGGTGGAATTCTCTTTGTTGGAGTAGCATGATCTTGTTGACAAGCCGCTGGGATTGGCACCGATAGCGACCCATTCAAATCTGTGTCGGTTTTTGTTATCGGATTGGGCAGTTCACCTATATCTTTCAATGAAGTCTCACTTCCGCTGTAGATCCCGGAATCAACTGGACGAGGGGATAAGGGTTCATGAAACGTTGGCAAGGAATCGCGTGTTATGACTGGGGATTCTACGGACCTTCTTGACATAACCGATGTGCTGGTTTTCCGTGGCAGAGGGGGTGCTTGGCCATCCATCACCTAGTGCAAAAAAAAGTCCACAATCAACAATATATGTCATTTTAGTTTTAAACATCATGAGAAATTTTTTATCATATTAGCAAATTTTATTAGAACCAATTTACGATAGTTAAGTTACTGTACACGCATGAAGTATCAACTTACTTGAAGTAATAATTAGATTTGATAATCCAAATTATAAATAACATTACAGGAAAAAAATGAATAAACGTTAAAGTCACCTTAAAAAATTAATCTACATAAATAGATTGAAAAATTTTACATAAAGCTAAACAAAAACCTGTGTGTAGCCCAAGCCAAACCGACACAAAATTTTTAAGAACTTAGGTTGACTTTTTTCCCAATTTTTTTGCAAAAAAGTGTATTAAATTTTTTTAGCGAAAAGCACAAAGTATTTGTATGTAAGATGTTTCAAAAGCCTTGATTTTAAGCTGTATTTTCATAGCTCTGTCACCATGTGTCACCAAAATGAATGAGGTGACACATGGTTGGCAACATGAACCCTAAATAAGCTTAGGCCAAAAAAAAAAAGTTTGCCCACCGACCATGGCCCTATATTCCAAATGTCACAGTGCATATAAAACACTACAAAAGAAATATATTTTTAGCCTATCACGTACATCACTTCCCATTACTGATGAGATCTATGGTAATTAAATTGTGTACGTTACCAGTACTGTTGATATTACCGAGGCTGGATACAGACTGGTCATGGTTAACAACGAGTCCAATGCTAAGTACTGGTTACCATGGGTACTACAGACTAGCCTTTAGAAGCCCATCACATAGTTTAAACATGCAAGCAATGTTATTAGAAGCTAAGCGGTACAGTACATATGTATATAATAGAGGAGAGGTTAATTCAAAAGATCAAGCAGTAATATAGTATATACATATGATATAAAACATGCAGTTAACCTCAGTGTGGTCCCAATATAGATAAATAGCAACATTGTGCAATGGTCACATAGGTGGCAGCAAACATATACCAGATTATAGGTGGCAGCAAACAGAGGAGATAGATGATAGATACAAAGCTTGAGTATCACATTAATGATTAGTTGTCAGATTTCCAAAGATGAAGCGAATGACAGAAACACTGTAGAAACATCAATAGGTGAAGACATATGCACAACATGTAGTTCCAGACATATATATATATTATGTAAGTTCATTTGGTTACTAAAGTTAGACTATTTTCCAGATAATTAAGTTCCCTGTGCATTCCTTTTGAGTAAATATCATGCTGGATTATTTCAGAATGACACCAATACACAGGCATATATTAGACTTCAGTGCACTCAAGCGATTCCAAACTAACCTTGCGCGGTGGAATTGCTGGTGGTTGCTGTTCAGCATCGGGGATAGGCGAGTCGGAACGTGATCCAGAAGAAGTGCTCCCTAAAAAATAAAGAGGTTAAAATTTAAATCAAAACTTCAAAATCACTTGGACAAGTCTTGGACAGAATAAACCCACATCTTCATTGGTTTTTAAATGCTTAGGTATATCATCACCATTTAAACCAATTAATAATAATTGATTATACAAACCTGTTCCAGAGTTAGGCCTTGATGTTGCCCTCTTGGGCAGCGGTGGTGGTAACATATTGTCACCGTCAGAACTTGATCTATTTGAGATCATGCTGGTACGGTCAAAGGCACTGCTTGTTGTTTCTAGGCTGCTCGAACTGTCAGATTTTGCAATTCTTGAGGCTGCTAAACCACTTGAGATGCTCCCAGAGCTGCTGGAGCTGTCAGACACCAGTATTCCACTAAGCACTGCCGAGAACAAAGGATTTAACAGCTGTTCATTAGGGAGTTTTGCAATTGCAGGATGACGCGACTCTAGAATGGGTTCACTCATTATACGTCCTCTGCACAACGTAGACTTGGCTAAATTGCATCCTAGAATCCATGCGACCGCGAGAGTTCCTGCATGCGCAGATGACTTTATATGACGTCACTACGTCGTCGTACAATCGAAAAGGCTCCCTACTGTCATGGCTTGGAAAACCCTCAATAGTGTTTCACTATTGGTAATCCTTGGACTCAGGTATTTTATTTCGTTTCTTATTTTCTCCGGAAATATTGTAACAAAATAAACGGGACTTACTATTGCTAAAGTTATGAGTATAAGTATTACGGCAATATCTATACTAGAATATATTACTAAAACATTCTTAAGCTAACTATTCAGTTTAAAATTTAATGGCACACCTCAATTATATAAAATTGTTTTAAGCATCTATGTGTAACGAGAACAGATTAGCTCGGTCGCCTAAACTGGTAGTATATCACTGAAGTGTGGTGATCTTTAAGACTGTTAGTTCCTGTTCAGTTTTATCGCTGAACTCCTGTTTCAACTGAACGGTTGAAATGCAAAAAGTTGGCACTTAGATGTGTTATTTCTGGCTTAAAAAATATTTTTCTGGGTCCGGGACCAGCTGGCGACCCCTGCCTGTGGGTTAGATTAATCACATGTTTCTATATCAAATGCACTGCCCTATTTAATGATTCGTAAGACAGAGTTGTAGTTTCTTACCATCTTGCTGTACTTGTAATAGTCCAGGATCACTATTCTTGCGTGGTTTTCGTACATAGGTCTTAGGGCGAGATGGCTACGAAAACAATTTGAAAATATTATTTATATTCAAGTCATGATTTACAAAAGGCTTACTGCTGACTAGATGCATTATCAGCTACAATGCTACAGGGCCTAGCTTGTAGACTGTCTTCCATATTATATTTAAAGCTTTGCATCTAATTCTAGCAAACTATATGAAACCTAAAAATATTTTTCACAAATTTGCATGAAACTAAATCTGTAAATATACTGTACTATAAGGCCTTGTCCACATTATCAAATATTCTTTGACAAAAAACTGCTTTATGCCCATATATAGTCATGATATGCTTATATATGGTCATGGTGTGATGTCATCATGACCATATTTGGGCATGTCACATGTTTTGTTTTTTTTCAATAAAAGTTAATAGTCTGGACAGGGCTTTTATGTTTGTAAAATTCATGAGATGATGTTTGATCAGATTTTGTATGATGAAGCAAAGTAGCGTCAGACTTCAAAAACAGCACGGTGTCAAAATATGTTACTATTATCCCCGACAATAACATCAATTAAATACTGTATCTCTTTGTATATATAAATATCAAATAAATATATAAATACCAACAGATAAAAAACAAGCTTCTATGACAAATAGAGGTCCAAAGATTTAATAATGCCACTTACAGTCAAATTTAAATCTCGGGTTGGTAGAGCAACAGGCGTACTGGTCCTACGACCCATGTTTCGAAGCTGGTCAGGTGTAGGTATGGGTGAAGGTTAGAAGATTTAACGGGAGGAATGATAGCAGACGGCAACAGGGTAGCAAACAAAGCAATGAAAAAACATTGAATGGTTATTTAGCATGTTAGAAGACTTCACACCTTCTACACTATATCTAATCATGGTAATGATATTACTGAAAGCCAACTAGTAAGTACCAATTTAGTTCTACATTTAACACATAAAACATTTAAGACAATAATAACCAACATTACTTCAGAAAGATATCTGAAACTATACATTACAAATATTTGTGATTTGCCCATACACGGACATGGTGATGTAATACCACTCCCGTATATAGACATGATGATGTAATACCACCCCCATATTTGGGCAAGATGATGTAATATTATTCCCATATTGTAAAACTACTCCCATATATTGGCATGATGATGTAATACTACTCTCATATATGGGTCAGAGATGGAAGATATGCATTCTATTAAGATATACTGTCTGTTAGAAAATCTGGATCAACATCGAACATTTAATTCATATGCTCATTAAATTTTAACAAAATTAATTTAAGTTAAGTTATCAACTACTTTATTCTAAAGAGACAGATCAAAAGATTTTATGCCTTTACCTTCAAATTTCAAATGGGGTAGGGGAAACAAGCTTTTGTTCTCGTTGCAATTGGCAATTATCAGCAAATAGAGCATAAAGCAGCAATGATCATAGCAACGGATAGTTGTTGTGGAAGTTGCAAAATTTTTAAAAACAAAAAAGTTATTTGACTAGTTTTTATTTGTTTATTAAAAATTGTTCATACTTAATTTAGAGAATATATTATTTAAATATCTGTTAACAATAGAAGTATTTGATCTTTCAATTTTCAATTAAAAAGTATAACAACTTAAAAAGTAACCAAATGTACTTGAATTAAATTGTACATGTTCAACAAACAGAGTAGGCAAACCAGATATTACGTTTGATTGTTTGTATTTATTAACTCAACACAAACAGTATATCTTAAAAATTAAGATGTAAAAGATTTCAATTAATCTTATTATACAGTACATACATTACTATTTATACACATTTCTATTACCCTTATAGCTTTTTTTTTACAGTGAAGAACACCAAAAGATACAGTACAGTGCGTATATGTCTACGAAGTGTAGTTGTCTATGATCGGGGGCACTATTTATTCATATGATTTTTCATCCAAATACTGTTCATAAATATGATATATAGTAATAATAAAAATGATGATATTTTAAAAAGCTATTTCAAAATGTGTGTTGGCTAAAAATATTTACAAAAATAATAATGCAACATAAAAAAAAAATAATGATAAACATAATGAAAATATGCATGAAATAAATAATAGTAATAAAAATAATAACAATATTAGTAATATAACAAAATATTTAATGATAAACAGAATGATGCATCTAAGATAAGCAATAACAATATTAGAAATAAATAATTTATGTACTATCATTTAAAAATGATAAAATATAATACAACAAATGCTACATTTTTTTAAATTTTTATGAAAATAATAATGAAAAATGATAACAAAAATATGAAAAGTATGCATGCAATTAACATTTTTGCAAACAATAAATGTTTAATTAAATGTGTTTTGGACAGTTACTTGAATAGATGCAATAACATAATATGTTGTATTAAGTGTTACTTTGAAAATTTTTACAATCTGTAGATATTATTAGATTTGTATAATGTCTGAGTTGCAAGCTTTATATAGAGATCAGAAATAGAGATAATTTAATAACGATTAGGAAGTTTCATTTTAAACCAATAATTTTTATCATTCATAGCTGAATGAACAATTGAGGCAGAGCAAGTGAAGATACATTATAAGTATTAGTCAACAATTTTTGCCGTCATAGTTCCAAGAAGAATGTTGACTTGCGGATTGGGTGTTTAAAAGACTGAAAAAAAAAATATAGAATGAACTAATTTTCAGCCAAAAAATAAATAAAATAAATGGTAATATCAAAAGTACTAAGAATAAAAACAATAACAAATAATAAAGATAATTTTTCAACTCAAAAAGACAAAATTATGTCTTTATGTAACATGGTAAATGATGTTGTGTCTAGAACTTTAAGATTGAAATGTAAATCATTTTTCACACTAAGCAACAGATTCCATTTGAATATATTTTATTATGTATTATCTCCTGAAGACGACTGAAGCAACTCAATCAAAACGTTGGGACATTCTCAACAAACAACAGTTCTTTTCAGAACTATCTACGTGTGTACTGCAAATATCAATATGTTATTACTTCACCATGCCAACCTATAAAAAATATATCTTCTATTACTCAATTTTTTTTATCTACAAGGGTACAAAATTGATTAAATTAATATTTCATTTTAAAAACATTGAAATTAGTATACTAAAGGTTAATGCAAATTGCTAATTCTAATGTTAAACAGAGAAATATTGAGAAGTACAGTATACAACAATTTTACGCAAATAAAAAGGGGAAAATACTCTCAAGGGCTTAATGTAATGTAGTAATTAGATTTACATACTTGCTTCTCAACTAAGGGTTTCTTCATGTCTGAGCTACCTGGTCAACTGGTACCAGGTATTCTTGTTTGTCCACAAGAAATGGAACAGTACACTGGGGTAACTCCCTACTTGTCTCGAAAGATATACTGGGTTCTTTAAAGCGAACGTGCCAAATTGTGTACACTGGGCCTACGGTTTAGTCCTTATCCGAGAGACCACCACCAGAACCATAGGTGAGAGTGCCGTTCATTGCCAGCGCTGTTATTATGGCTGTAAGTTGCAGTGCCTTAACCGGTCGGCCATTGGACTCGCTTATACAAGATTTTTTTTTAATTAATTGAATTTTAATGAAAAAAAGATTAAACATGTAGAGCAACAGAAATAAAGTGATGAAAGATCCTTGCAAAAAGAAAAAGAAACCAAAATAATGGGGCAAAAATTTTCTTGGAGAAAAAAAAAATAAATCCGTATAATGACTATTTGTGATAATTTGCTTTTAAATTCTAAAATGTATGTTAGCTGGTCTGATATTTTACATTAACTTTTCTATTATTTTAAATAATTTTATATTTGTATTTTTATATGCATATATAATAACTACATAAATAAATTCTGCAGTTTGCTTTATACATAACTTTATTCATAACTTATTTATATTTATTGTTGATATTCATTTATTTATTTATTTATTAGGTGACACATTTAATAATTTATCCCACTCCATGCTCTAAAGGTCATAGTGGTAGTTTACATTATGCACTATATAAGTTGACAATTATTATTATTATTATTATTATTATTATTATTATTATTATTATTGTTATCATTATTATTATTGTTGTTGTTTTCATTATTGTTGTTGTTGTTGTTGTTGTTGTTGCTATTATTATTATTATTATTATTATTATTATTATTATTATTATTATATAATAAAATTAGTATATACTCCCTGTAATGTGATCCTTTAAACAGGTGAAATAACATGTTCAATTGTCCATTTAAAATTATCAGAAATTATAGTAAATAAAACAGTCAATCAATATATTTAATATATCATAATTATGAATAAAATGATTTTTTTTATAAAAATGTTTACAAAGATGGCAATAACAATAATAATAACAACCTACTTCATGAATGAAAGCGTGCACCCAATTAAGTATAGTTTGTAAGTCTTAACAGAGCTGCCTATCTTTTTACTGATTGTATAATTGAGACTAACATATCTACCCCACTATTTCAAAAGTAAATTCAAGAAGACAAGACTAAAAAATAAACAGTGAAATGTTGTAAGCATTACCCCACTATTTCATGGTCTATATACTACATATATCAAAATACATATTTGAAAAGTAAATTGAAGGAGACGAGACCGTAAAAAAAAAAGGCAAAATGTTGTAAGCAATGTAAAGGAAAAAAAAATTGTTTGTTTGTCTTCTTCCACCTGGCCCTAACTGACTAAAAAAAATAGGGGTGCAAAAAAAACCCAAAAAAAAAAACTTTAAAAAGGTTTTTTTTTTAGCTTTTTTCTTATGAATTAAAAAAAATGTGAGTGAATTTATCTTTATTTTTTGCCAAATGCCCTACAAATTAGTCTAAAGCTGTTGTCTGATGTAAGATATTGCCATTCTAGACCTCTGTGGGTTATTTTTATTCATCTGATGGGTATTTAAAAAAAATGAAGGGCAAAAAAATTTTTTAGGATAATTATAGCAACAATTATCATTTGTGCATCTGTCAAATTGGTAACGAAAATATTTTCTTTGCTCATTTTTCACTTGAAATCTAATAAAATAATAAAATAAAATAAAAATATCTTTAACCAAAAAAAAAAAAAACACTTCAATTTAAGTTGTAATAGTTTTTATAATATCTACTGGTTCAAAGATGTTTTGCTGCAGAAACTTTTCACAATGTTTTTTACAAAGAAGGTAGAAACAAACCTTGTTTTTGTTCTTTCTCAAGAGAGTCGATGTTCTGGCTTCTAAAAGTAACTCCTGTTTTTTAATTAAGTACATTGAATTGGAAACTTATGGACTTTACAGATTTTTGATGTTTTTCAAGTACTTTTAATGTAACTCTTAATGTTTGATACTTTTAAAATTTTAACCAAAACTTTTCTATAATTTAAAGTTTTTGATGTTCAATCAAGAAATTGTTGTACATACACTACAAAAATAGAGAAGACTGTTATTTTGATAACTAATAAATATAAATAGACCATCCACAACAGTTTAATGCAAATTCACCGGGTTATCAAGATTTCTTTCAACATTTAAGAGGCAGTTTTTGAACCAACGGCAGTAGGGGGAATTTTTCCAACGTTGGACAGGCCTGGAGACCCCTGTCATCCTGCCACCACGACGAGGTAGTCGGATCAAAAATAATAATTTGCCTATCCAAATAACATTATTTCAGTTGCCAACCCCTAATATTGTGGTCTAAAGAACAAACATACGAAGTCATAAAACCCTTCTAGTGAACCCTAACGAGGCTTTAGTCGGCCCCTTGATTTGGGCCCCTCCATTGGACATGTCGGACACTTTGTCCTCAAATTCTGGAGCCACTGCCGTTACCAGGTTGTGTTGTTTATGATGCAATCAATGAGTTTAGTGACAGCCTCTAAACCAGTCAGTATTCTTCTTTGTTCCTAGCACAAGTGCAGTGGAGAAGCAGAAAGATTACACACAAAACAATGGCTTAAACACAGCCACAAGAACATGAGGAGTGATATACTAAATGTTAATGTTGGCTAGACTACTACAAAGTAATGTCTTGTTTGAGCATGAACGAATAAATGTTAGGCTTACCGCTGAAGTTTCAGGGAGCTGGATTACACTCTTTGATCTGGTATCCCGGGCTTGGGTTTCATCAATTCTCGCAAGGCTAAAATCAATCGATCAATTAAATTCTATATTCATTAATCAATTTCATATAAATACTAACAATAACAAATGCAAAGATTAGATGATAATAAACATATGAATATTAAAATCAATGTAAACGATAAAAATAATCAAATTGACCACCGAGAAACTCCAGGGAGCTTGTAAATAGAAGGCCTATCGAACTAATGCTTTATATTTTAATAAATTAAAGTGAAAAAAGCTAACATAATAAACAAGGGATGTCAAATTTAAAATTCAAAGGGGCGGGGCAGAGTGAAATTCCTTTTACAGAACAACCACTTTTCACTATCAAGTTAAATAAACATCAGAACAAGAAAGCATTCGGTCAAAAAAATAGCTACATTTAGGGTAGGTACAGTGTCACTTTTAATTCAGGATTGGTTGGTAATTTTTAATTTTTTTAAATTCAGGTAATGCATGAATGTGATAGTATATCACCTATAACTAGCTTCCATACACTTGCTAAAACTGTCACTAATGATTTTCAGTGCATAGAAGTGCATAGTGTAGCCACAAAATAAATAATGTTCAATCTGATTTTACCAATCTTTTGGTGATGAATCGTAACCACCGACTAATCATCCGCAAAAATTCACACGAAAACATCAGCTTCTTAACAATCATCACACTTTAATTTGTTGATGCAATTTGAAGGGGAATTTTGACTACTGAACACTGTCAAGTATTTATGTTGTTTATTTGATGACAACATAAAGTAATTTGAGGATATGTATAAATTGAAACCTAATCCAGAGTGCCTAGATGTCCAAACCATGGTCTGTTCAATGAATAAACCATAACTTGGGTAGAAATGATAGTATAATACATACTCCAAGTATCGAAATGCACGCCATCGTGTCGGGATTCAATATTTCGACATTAATTACGTCATAATCAGGAAATTAGAGATTAATCAGTGGACCTTTCGGTTCTTGTGTAGAAATGTACAGCAAGTGTTCAAACAACCCTTTCAATGTAAGCCTAGCCTTAGGCCCTGGCAAAAGCAATCTTTATCTACAGGTTTTCTATATTCTAGGCCTAGGTACAGTAACAATAGTACTGCAGTTATGACCACTTATATTGGGCATTTCTGTAATATTGCTTTTTCCTTTTGAATTAATGATTTTATTGTTAAACTTCAATTTGGTAAATTATCAGATATGTAATAATAGTTATTTGCATTGTTATTTGTATGAGTGTTGCCAACGTCTGTTGCTAATAGCTTGTAGCAATTTTATGGAAACTAGAAATAATATTTTTCCTTCATGCTTTGTGTCTTCCACTTGTTATGTAACACATGATACGTCAATTATGATACACTTACGCTCTGCCTGGTGGCTTAAGAGGTCCAGAACTGGAAAGAGAATCAATCCTTTGCGGTGGTGGGCCGGGTGATGGAATGTTATCCTAGAAAAATAATAATGTAAGATTTTAAGACAACAGATGGTAAAAGTGTACAAATACCCAAATATCAGCCAGCAAAGTGGCCTAACAGGCTGATGATGATGATTATCTACTTGAAACAATCTCAGATAGATCTTAGACTCAGATAAAATTCAACTTTACAGATCGTTAATTAATGGAAACACAACATTTTGCCATGTAAAGTAAGATAAACTTTGAAATTACTTGAGTAAGGGAAAGTCAACTAAGGCAAGTTTAATTGTATATAGCAATAAAAAAAAATCTTTACTGTAATAACAAATATAAAGATAGTAAAACGTATTAGAAAATTCTAAGTTTTCTACCACATTATTAATAATTTCATCCAGAAATACAATAATAATAATAATAATAATAATTTTTTTTATCTTCATTCTTACTTGTCCAATAGATCGCTTGAGTTCTGTGAAGACCCGCTTGAACTCATCGTGTAATGGACGCAGAGTGTCGTCAATTAGACGACCATGAACCAGAAGACACTCTCTGATTATCCTCAACTGACAAATAATGAAAAAACAAATGCTGTTAAAAAAATGGTAACAAATTTATAAATTTTCATAAATTATTTAATTTGCTGGTTGGCTCTCATGCTTTCGACCTCTGGTTTTAATGAAGGTATCCCAGATCCTACAATTCTTATTTCCTTTTATATTTACTTGTAATGTAATTTAAAATTAGAATCAGTAGGATTGAATAAACTGATTTGTGATTGTAGGGGAATATTAACGTAATGTAATATGGTTAGATTTCTATAGCACTTTTATACCGAAGTCTCAAAGCGCTCAAGGTGTGGACTAGCTAGCATCACAGTAACTTTCTTCTCCCCTAAGGGTCTCTTTGTGTCTAAGCTACCCAGTAAACTGGTACCAGTTATCTCTTGTCTGTCCACAAAAGGCGCTGTATGAACCAGTACACCGGGTAACCCCTACTCATCTCGAAATATGTACTGGTTATTTATAGCGCACACAAACCACTGTGTACACTGGGCCTACGGTTTACAATCCTTATCCGAGAAGACTTCTCCACCAATATGCGAGCGTGCTGTTCAAACCGGCGCAGATATTATGATTGTAGGTTGCGGCGCCCTCCCTTAACCGCTCAGCCATCCAAATCACCATCCAACAGATGTTTTTACAAATGTAACTGTTTAACAGACATCTTTATATAAATATTTGTAGTATGTTCCTTAGTTCCATTTTGTTAGGTAGGTAAAGTCCCATGTTCATTACTGAATGTAGGGGAATGAGCTATTAGCCTATCAAACTAAGCTTCAGCATTGTGTGGTAGGGTGGTCCGTCCTTTCCACGCTGGATTTTCCTCCCTTACTGATTTTTTAATCGATAGATTGATTAATTGTTACCTGCTCCTCCATAAGACTCTTCAATTCATCAATGTCATCATCATCATCTGGATTTTCTTGAGCATACAACTCAGTCAGGAAAATCTAAGCAAAGAAAATGGATTAAATGGATTAAAGAGCATTCAGTTGGTCATTCAAAATCCAAGTTCAGTCTGTCATAAACAAAAATATTTGAACAGACTTTGTCTGAAAAGTGTTACTTGTTCTTTTAGTCTGCTGGAATGGAAATCAGGGCAGATATGAACCAGGTTATTAATTCATGAATGACATTGTTCTTATGCATCAATTCTGCTCTCCTCACCTAATTTGCATATTTTAAACTTATTATGGAAATTGGTAAAATACTAAAAATTGAAGGCGTGTATTTAAGAATAATTTAAATCTGACATTTCATTATGAAGTTACAGGCATTTTAATATATAGCTGTTTGAAGAACAGTATTGAGATATCAGCTTTCAAGAAATTACGATTTCGGCCATTTCTTTAGGCAGACCATCATTAATGTCAAAAATGTGAAAAATAACAACATAAACAATTAAATGAAAAGTACTGCATTAGTCAGCTATTTTTGAGGGGTATGCAGGTTTTTAATACTTTGCTGGAGTAACGTCCCTACCTTGTGATGCATAGTTTAACTAAGATTATGGTATGCAGGACATTAGAACTTTAGTGGGGTAATGCCCCTACCTCTCAATTTAGGGTGGGGTATGCAAATCATTCAACCTTAGTGGAGTGATATGTCCCTACCTCATGATGAATAGTTACCATTTCATGTATTTTTGGTGTTTAATTGTGGATATTGACTCAACATGGCAGCAATAAAAAAAATTGAATTGAAATTGAAGATGATGCTAGAGAGGGACAAGCTACTCACGTCGCAATACACCTTGATTCCACCTGACACCTGGGCTTGTACCACACCTGATAGTTTCCTTGTCAGAGGTTCTACAATACTAGAAGTCTTTGCCTCGTAATTCAACATCTCCAATTCTTTATTAGTCTTCCTCATAATCTCCACCGCAATTTTAATAGGGCTGATTTCATCCTAAAATAAATTATTATACAATACGAAAATTATGAATATCAAAACATAATGTCAACACAAACTGCAACCAAAAAAAATTGGTTATCAGTAATTGCGTATTTGTATACCAGTAAGATTTTAAAGGTATGAGAGTGCAATTTCCAGACCCTAGAGGTCCTTATTCTCAAAATGTTCGCACCTCAGCCTCAACTATGGTGGGGCTGAGGTGGTGTGGACTCTTATGCTCCCCCCTACCACCTGATCCCGCATCCGCCCTAAGTAAGTATAGAGACAGGTGATACTTACCCCTTTCGATATATCAACAACTTCCGCCCATTTTAGTACACCCGGTAGTCTAAGATTGGTCCTTAATGTGATGCGATCTAACCACATACTCTGGGATGGACAAAAATATTACTCACTCATATAGTTATATAAAAATGCATGTGTGAGCAAATACAGGTCTCCCTCTAATTAATGACCACCTCCAATTAAAGACCACTTTTCAGCAGTCCCAAATTCACAAATTTGTTTATGTTTATTATTCTAATTAGAGGGCAAAGCTGCTAAAGACTATAGAAACCCTGTTCGCAAAAGTGGTCCTTAATCAGAGGGAGACCTGTAAAGTTGAATTTAATATTTAAAAATTTATTTTCACATGTTTTTGTCAAACAAACTTTGATGGACAGAGCTTAACAGGATTTGTCTAACCATTACTGATAAAGAACCATTACTGATAAAGAACCATCAACTGATAAAGTACCATCAACTGATAAAGAACCATTTTTTTTTTCTTAATATCTTGGTATATCAGGCCTGATGTTACCACCATCAATGTTGATGAGAAGTGGCCACAATATTTATCTGATTTACAAGCCATGAAACATAGCGAGCGCCACTTCACAACCCGTCAACAGTGCAAGCTGGGTAACAGCGCATTATTGATAAAGAACCATTAACTGATAAAGAACCAATACTGATAAAGAACCATTGCTGATAAAGAACCATTACTGATATAGAACCATTACAGATAAAGAACCATTACTGATAAAAACCATTACTGATAAAGAACCATTACTGATAAAGAACAATTACTGATAAAGAACAATTACTGATAAAGAGCCATCAACTGATAAAGAACCATTAATGATAAAGAACCATATCCATATACTCTATGGATAAATGACATTATCGTGCCCATATATGGGCATTACACATTGTCAATAAAAAAAAAAACTTGATAAAGACAGCTCTAAAGATAAGAATATCCAATTAAAAAAATAACAATTTTAATATAATTTAATTAATAATTTGAAGCATTTACTTTCATAGGTTGGTTTTTGTCTTCTTCACCCTTCTGAAAAGGCCTGTCATAATAGAATCCATTGACGTCATTACCCTGGTAGAACATAGATATTGCATTAGGCACATCTTGACCTTTGAACCTGCTGTTTTCTGATGCTATGGCATTCACCTGTCTCACTGAAATGTCTAATAAAATATAAAAGCTAAGGAGAAAGTATTTTATATATAAGCACAATTTGTTTAATTACAAATTACAATGACAAAATAAATTAGTCTGTATTGTGATAATACTTACTGTTAGTTTTCCTTTTGTCAGAGAACATGTGATAAAAAATCTTTTTTATATGTAACTTTTAAAAATCAATGTATTATTGACATCAATAATAATAATAATAATAACAATAATAATAATAATAATAATAATAATAATAAAAATAATAATAATAATGTTAGACTTATATAGTGCAAATGCTTGAGTTTGGTGGACTTAACATTAGAACTTTAAAAAATAAAATTTAACCCCTAAAAAAAAAAAAAAAAAATATCTACACATTCACTCAACTTTTTTGTAATTAAGATACCGAGTACTAAGTTCTAAGTTTAAAGTAGATTATTGGAATAGACGGTTCTATTTTAAATATAGGGGGTGTTCACTAAAAATAACATTGGCAATAGTTGGTTTATCTAGCTAGCAAGTAATCACACAAGAGAATACTTTAAACTCTTACCCAAACACCTTCCCTTCAGTGACACATACTAAAATATTAAGGCAAGACTTTTCTTATACCTGTACCTTGTTTAGTGAATGTGCCGACTGCACATATTGATGATTTCGAATAAAAACTATTTTATTTTTGGCCAATTAGCACACCCGCCACCACAAAAAAAGTGGGAATTTCAGAAAAAAATAAAAGTTATTTATTTTTATAATGCCCTTTGCTGCCTTCAAACCTCCAAAGATTAGATCTGTATATTTCTTCCTAATCATATAAATTTAAAGCATTTAACCATCCTATTTTACATTCAGCAATAAAATTTTATTTTCTCCTCCGTCTGGATGTTTTTGGCAAAAACTATTTGCTAAATAAGGAAACACAATTTTATTTTTATTTTAATTCTGCCTTCCCCCGATGATCTTTGAAAAAAAAAGTAAACGAAATAAGGAATAAAAAACGTTTTGCCTAACCGACAATATGTAAAGAATAAACTTAATGTTGTACATCAACAAAGAAGTAATTCATGGAGAAAATTCTATCCCTAAACACTAATTCAATTAATAAACTAAACATGTTTGACCATTTACTCTGAGAAGGTAAACCATTCCTTGGTTCAACTCTTATTATTTCTTGATGCTGAGTGACAATCCACTCTCCTATTCACAGACTGCTAAGATTAACACATAGGGTTGCTTGTTATGTTACTAAATGTATGGATTCATTTTTAGTATTCCAAACATAAAAATCCTTCAGTAAGGATACACTGTGTGTCCCCATTCCTGATGGAATCATCTGCCTTGAAAGACAAAGCCTGTGCATTTGGAAAATCTGCTTGTAGACTTTGGAGGATATTGCCGACCTTGTCACAAGGTGCTCCACGGAAAATGAACGACTTGTTCTGAAAGGAAAATACAAGAACAATCAATATATGTAGGAATAAGTACATGTACAGTATTAATAAGTATATACATGTATATGTATGTCTATGAATAAGTATCTATAAAAAATGAAATGAATGAAAAAGGACATGTATGAATAAGTACATATGTGGCAAAGACAAGCCAAACCAGTCACTCATCGCAAATCGTGTTTGAGAGTTAATGGCCAAAACATGCTGGAATGTCAACATTTTTGAAATCTATTTTATTGCACTAAGCTAACCTTTATACAGTAACTCTACACATGATGATATGCTGTTATTTTCCCAATTTTCAATGTTAAAACAACAATATTTAAACATTTTGTAATGGTTTCCGCCTGAGAAATGCCGGAAATCATAAATTTTGATTTTTCAAATATTGCTCTATAAATAGATGCATGTTTAATGGATTGTAACTTCATAAGGAAATGTCAGATTTAAATTATTGTTTTACTATGTTTAGCTCCTATTTTCATCTTTAACCCTGTATTAATAACTAAAATTGATTTTTATGACAAGTGACGGATTCGGCTTGTTTTTGCCACATTTACATAAAAGTACATGTGTGAACAACCATATGTAGGAATATGTACATGTATAAATAATTATATGAATACATACATGTAGGTATAAGTATAATTTATTCATATACAATATTTGAATAAGTAAATTTATTCATACAAATACTTATTTGAATAAGTACATTTATTAATAAGTATGTAAAATAATATGAAAGATAATTACATATATAAATAAGTATCTGTATTAATAAGAATGTTTGGGCAATTCAAAACTAGCAGTGCATTGGTATTATACAATATAATACTTATATCCAAATAAAACAAATTTAAAAAAAGAAAACTCTGAAAACTGTTTGAATACATTGAAACAACTAATGAGGTGTCTGAATGCAATTAAGCCCTGGAAATAAAGGTAGACAAGTAAACAATACAGGATATCTATATATCTAAATGCCTGCCAAATGTACATAGTTATATATAAGGAAAAATGTGACAGATCTATGCAGACCAAAGATGTGGCATACTGTAGTATTTTACAGCAAGGTAAAGAACATAAGGTCTATTGTACGAAAAAAAAAAAAAAAGAAGAATGTTGGCCTACATTATGAAGTGCTATTTGACATTTGAAAGCCTAGAAAGGAAAGCACAATTCCTAAACACATCAAATTGGCTGATTGTATTGAGTCTTTCAAAACCGTAATAAAAACCTTTCTGTTCAACAACGCACGATACACATATGTTTTCCCATTTTTTTTTTCATCTGGGGGGGTTTTATTGCTGATTGATGTGCTATCGTTTGTCCTGTGTCCAGAGTTATGCCCCCACCTGTTCTTTACTCGAGACAACATCATTGTCTTTTGCAGTGTACAGTAATAGCTGTCTCTTATACACATCTTACTAAGTTCTAAGTTTAAAGTAGATTATTGGAATAGACGGTTCTATTTTAAATATAGGGGGTGTTCACTAAAAATAACATTGGCAATAGTTGGTT